TTTACCGGAATGAGCGGTCTCTTTCGAAAGAGAGAGAGAAACGGAGTGTCGGCTTCGTGCGCTCGACGTAGGCGATAGACGAGGTAACTCTTCTCTCTCTCGCGATGAGATTGTTTCGGCGGGGTTTGCGCCCGACTGCGGCCTCGCGTAGGACGCTACGAGCCTATGAGTCCCCGCTAGTCCCACTTACCAACCAACCAGAAACTGCTCGGGTATATATCCTGAGCGGCATCTCCGCCAATCCTCTCTACCTTCCACTACGCGGCGAGCACTCGAGAGAGTTCGCCGTATATACCGCGCGCGAGGCTGTTGCTCGCCCGCGATTTTACTTGCTTTTCGTCGAGCCGCCGGGGCAGAGAGAAGGGGAGGACTGTATCGCGAGATTAGCGATCGCGCGACGTTTTATGAACTGCCAATTGATATATGCCGGCGATACGTTCTCCACGGCGATTTTCCGGAGCCCACGCAGACGGAACTAGGCGCCCGTGTTCCCAAGCCAAGGACGGATTGGATCTCACTGGGGTGGGCGACCGGACGATCCCCCGCGGACGGTGCGACCACACATATATCACGCGTTATATATATAATTAATAATTGATCCTCGATTAACACGATTCTCATATGGATCCGTAGGAGCAGCATTTTATAATTTTTTAACTAACTTTTTCACGATAAGTTAGAAAATATATCTTAAAATGTGTGGGTTTCTGAAATATAACGCGTGCCTGGAGCGTATTGAAATATGGATTCGGTCGATCCAATCTTCTTATTCAAGAGCTTATTTCTTATTTATTTCCCAAATCGAAATTCTCTGGTGCTATTCTGACGCTTTTGAGGATATAGTTTGTTCACTTAGGCGGTCTGTAGCTTAATAGAAACCTACTTTGACGAAATTGACACTTTTCAACTTCTCTCTTGAACCTTTAATTCTATAGATTGCATTTTAATGCTGTTTTCAATAACTTATTTCGACAGCGAAAACAGAAATTTAAGACATCGTCAGAATCAATATACAGGATTATATTATATTATTAGAATTGAAATTGAACTTATTTTGCTATCTTAGCTACCACTGTGTTGTAGAAAAATTTAACATAGGTTGTAGCAAGTACCTGAGTCGAAATTTTAAATTCTACATTACGTCTTCAAGTGGGAAAAAACGTGGGAATAAGTTCCTACTTGTAGCATCACAGGAGCACAATAAATGTTCTTTTAATGCTATTGAAAGAATTTAGTCCTCCAGAGTCTAAATTTCTACATATATTTCTATATTAAATCTTCGAGTGGAAAAAAAACGGCAATGACTTCCCCATTTGTAGCGCCATTGGAACACAGTAGAAGACCTTTGAACACTTAATGTGGAACTAAATTAGAATCAAAGTAGGACTAAAATTTCGACTCGGGTATAATACCAGTGTGACCGGATTTATAAACGTATTGCACGACATAATTTCCCACCGCAAAGAGCAACCTGCTACCGCGTTAACTCGCGTTCCTCCTCTCTTCCTCTCTTTCTTCCTCTCATTCGTGAGTTTCATATTTCATATCGATAATTATTTTTATATATCGCAGGCGTGCAAGAGCGAACGGCATTTTATTACTTCCCGTCTCTCCGCCGTGTTCTCGTACGCGTTTTATCGCGGATTTTTCGATCGTAAACAAGATCGAGTAAACGCCGTCTGGCGCGCACGCACGACGGCCTTTCTAAAGATCGAACGTTTGTATTCTTTTCAACGCGATGCACTTGGGTGAAAGTCCAGTGCGGTATTTATTAGACGTTAGATCAATTTGACGCTAATTCATTGCCCGTGCGGGGGAAAAGTTCGCCACGGAGGATCTCCTCTCGTTGCGCATTGATATCGACGCGATCAATTCTGACCGCTGGAACGGGAAAAACGCCTATCTCCGCCGGTTCTTCGCGGTGGTGCGTTCTTGCACCGCGAAAGAACGGCAGTCTTCGCACCTTCGAGAAGGCTTACCTTTGAAAGAGATTAAAGTGGAGGGACAACGGTAAAAATTGCGAAAAATTCCGGGAAGTGTGACGAGCGGTCTCGAAGGCGGCTTAACTTTCATCACCGGTGTAGTTTTATTATCGCGCGAGGCGTGATAATCGAAGCGTGCGAGAGGGAGTTGTTAAATACCTCCAGAGAATCTTGAAGGCGTGCAAAAACATTTATATATCGGGGCGAATTGCGTGAAAACGGACGAACGGTGTCCGAATAAGTTTTCACTATGGAAAAATTCGCTCCATATTTATGCGGGAGTTCGCTTTCTAAGTTTGATAGGAAATCTCGCACTCCGTATATTACGGCGTGCGATTAGCCGCGCAATTATCGGCCGTCGAGCAGTATTTACCACCGCGAATTATGAGCAATTAGTCGCTGCTTACGTGGAAATTCATCACCGAGTCGGTTGTTAGTCAACTGTAATTTCTTGCCAAAAGAGAGAGAGAGAAAAGAGCGGTAAAGTTCGGTGAAACAAACAACGCGATTTTTTTTTGCTTCTCCGTGTAACAACTGTATAGAAACCGGAGATCTTAGTTTTATCGATAAATCTGTTAAACAATTTAGAAATAATTTTTCTTCAACCAAAATATATTACTTATAGATTTTTCAATTTCCAACATATATTTGTATCTAAGCCACAAAATCAAATTCTGTCCATTCCGAAAAATGGTTGAAGAAAATAATTTTGTTAACCATTTGGTCGTTCAAAGTTTGGTTCCCGAAAAACCTCGCTTTTTCGATCGCCTCTGCTTGAAAATTAACATTTTTTATTCAATTATTCAATTAAAACCCTTTGGTATACAAAATATAGAATTATGGGACATAGGAAATTACCAAATAAAAAAGTTTGAATATAAATATACATGTCGCTTTTATAACGTCTTTCGCCATTGTTGTTGCCGATTTTGAGCGACAATTTGAGTGGGGTTTTCGTGGCAAAGATATTCTCAGTGGTTTGCCTATCGGGGAGGAAGAGGTATGAAAATATAATTTTGGTACTACCGGGAGACGAACCTCTAAATGTACAACAGATCAGTCCGCTACTCTCGTAAATATAAATAAAATTAATCAGCTCTATAATATACAAATAACATGTAAAAATCCTCGAAGAAGTCAATATATATGCCCAGAGTATTTATTCGCCAATATAAATATTAAATTAATTAGAAAGTGAAAATTAGATCAAACAATTGGAGTCTAAAAGTCGCTAATTGCGTGCCGCACAATTGTCACAAGACAAGCGTAGCAAATGCAGAGGAATATATATAAAGCAGGCTGTAATTGAAATCCGCGCACGTCTCGATCGCGAGTTATCGCGCAAGGGAGATATCGTGTCAGGATCGGCGATCAGCGGGGGCAATATCTCGGGGTCAGATCGATACGTGTCGCCGGCGACGTGGATTGTATTTTGATCAGTCCTTTGAACGCGCTCCTCGGCGCTTGTGCGCGGAGAGAACTCGATTCGGCTGAAAGCGGCGGCGCGATGGTAACGGTGCCCGTAAGATGGTAACGCGCGCTAGAGTAGAGCATCCGCGAGCCGCCGCGGGTGATGGACCGTGACGTTCTCACAGATAACTCACGGCTTCCGACATTCATTCGCGTTCTGGTTATGTCAAGTTATCTTTGAGGATAACTCAGGCCGGAGGAGTGCCATTCTTATGCATTTCGCGCGTTTTATTTTTCGGAACGACCGCGCGCTATTCATTTCGCGATCGCGATTTTTTCCCGCGCTCCGTAACTTCGTTTTTTCGAAACTTCGTCGAGCGAGCATCTGTACACGCGTCTTCAAAAAAGTGGCATTTGCATCGGTGTGCGCGTGTGTCTTGCAATTAACGTCACGACATACCGTAATCTTGATTTTGCGTCCACAGACAAAGTGAGGCGACGAAGAAGATTGATTTACGTAGAAACGGTGAACTCTGTGTGTTTGCGTGTGCGTGATTAAAACGGGAGTATATCGTGAGGAATTAAATTGATCTTCGCCGTAAAATTAAATAATATCTGGTATTTCACTGCAACGTTAATAAGAAACGTATCGCGGGAATCTGAGGGAAAGGAGAAACAGAGAGAGAGAGAGAGAGAGAGGATCTATCATCTAATATATTTCTCACACATTGTCGAGAGCATCCTCGAGGCTTAGTCAGATTCTTCTTTATCGACTTGCAGTAGATTAGGAACATCCGCTTCTTTATCCAACTTCTATCCTGCACATACTATTTGAAAGATTGATAAATTATCTTAGCGCACGTTGTGAGAAATATGCTGTCTGAAATGATCCTTGCACACTGATAGAAAATTATATAGTCACTTTCGGTGCCAATTATATTTTATAGTAGCAACAACATGTATATAAGGTTATTACTCACTGACGCTACATTTATCAGAAAAATTATTCCAACTATTTTTATGATTAAAATAACAAAGTACATGTTTAATGTTCGAAATAATTTCCATTATTTTCCGTGGGAAAAAAACTTGGCGGTTTTTTCACTCAATATATTCATCAATGCTTTTTCGGACGGGTGTTTTAAAATGCGTTGATGTGTGATGTTGAAGCGACCAAAATAGATGGTAATCCGACGGGAGATCTGACGAATAATTTCTCAACCTAATATGTAGATGAGATCCTTCGTCCCTTTTACGCGTGCACCTGCCTGGTTCTATTGCCGGTAAAAGATCTTTTTACAAGTTTTATGGGTCACAGCACTCAAAGCGGAACAAACTATCTCGGTAGACTGAACAGCATTTTTATTCAACTGGAGTGCCAAAAGGATGCAGTGCCTCTCAGATGCTTCTTTTCGAACAACATCGTGATAACTACTGTTTTCTGACGTTATATCGGCAAGACCGTCAACTATCATAGTGTTTCTTAAGGTTACCACTTTCAAATTACCATAGGGTGGGAGAAACATTTTAATTCGAACCAGAGTTACAGGACATTAAAAAGGTCTTCGCGAGGTGAGAGAGGGAAGAGTAAAGATGAGTCGAATGGAGTGAGGTAAAATACAATATCGTCGTATAGTTTATTAAGTTACAATCAAATTAACAAGTAACATCGAGAAAGTCTTTGAAAAACGCCTCCTTAAATCGCTACCATATACAAACATGCTCCCCCAAACGATACTCTTTCGGAAGGAATTAGAGGCAGAGAGAGAGAGAGAGAGAGAGACATATTATGTACACGAGTTACGAGAGGATTACACGGTGATAACTGCAACGCCCGATTCTGACGAAGCGATGCGAAACCAGTAGCATTGAGAAAGGAGAAAAAAGCGCGCGCTCGTTTCTCTCTTCTCTCTCGTTGCCGCGAGAATGTGGCGACACTACGGCCGAGTTATCATGAGAAAACACGATCGTGTCGAGCGTGTAATATATTGTACAAAAATTGGCAGACGGCACGGTCGCGTTTCTCTTATTCCTACATGCTTCTGTACACACTTTTTACACTCGCCAACGCCACCAGAGAGAGATCGTACATGGCATTGCACGGTTGGATCGATATCTCGAAGAAATCGACATCTGTTATCGCTCTCGATCGACTTTGATCGAAGGCAGGTTGAAACGTCGAATACCGTGTGTTCCATTCGCGAAGAGAAAGAAGCGCTGTTTTTTAGGAAGAGAGACCGCCCGAAAGTGAGATTGTAAAATACATCTCTCCGCGTCACGATCGGCGGTGGTGCGTCCGAGAAAAGGATTGGCAGGCCAGCCGGTTGTACGTTTGAGACAAATTCTACGGGAATATACGTGATAAGAGAGCGTTCCCGGATGATTCGCGTAGTGTCTGGAATATTTCCGTCTTCCGCGATATATGTGGAGGCATATCGGTGTGTGACTCGAGTCTGCAAGCTCGGATCGTGCAAAACATTCGAGACGCTTTTTCGCGAGAAACTCTTGCAAGAATGCGATCGAAGCCGAGAGATCATCCGAGCAGCCACATTCGATTATCCGCGCATCCCTGAATGAAAAGTAATCGTCATCCGTTAAAGCCGGACGACGACCGAGAGCGGATTCGCGCTCTTAGATGCCATAAGTTATCTCGTCGAAGCGATGGGCAGGTATGCAGTAACCGCTGTAAGTCTTGATCTCTAGGACGCCGGTGTAGGATCTCGCCGGTAAGGAGCCGGGATCCGTGTGTCGTCTCGGGCATCGGTGCCCGCCGGGACACTGGCACAGGGGCGAGGCGTTCACTTCCTCGAGCTGCGAGTTCCGTCTCTTGCGCACGGTGAACAGGCGACAGGGCTCCTTGTGCTGGCATCGTAGTCTCTGCAACCGGATAAGAGATAGACACACACACGCATTTCCCGTTATTTCTACTTCATTGGTTCAATCGATTGACCCTTGACGATTGAAAGACGACGCCTTTAACGTTCAGGTTCAATATTATGAACTCGTTTTTATCGACAAGTGCCTTAAATGTGCAGCCAATTAGATGGCTTTTAAGTCACTTTTAGAGGTACTTTTATCAGCAAAAGTGAGTTGAGAACTCACTATGAACTTGAGATTTTTTATTTTAGAAAACTTAAATTTTAACCCTAGCTCCGAGTCTCCGAGACCTTGTCGCTTTGTCATTTTTGTTGATTAATATTTCTAAATTTGCAATGTGGAAATACAGAATAAGATGTTTATGATATCAGGTTATGAAAATGATTTGGGTTTGAACTGGACATTATTATAAGAAAATTATTATAAGAGTGTTTTCGGAAAAAAATTCTCAAATGGTTTTGTAAATGCGACTTAAGAAAAAGTAATGTTCGCTCGTAGCAGACACCTGATACTTAAAAAAGAAAAAAAAATAGTATGCCATGTGAAAACTAGAAAGCCGAAAAACGTTAAGTGGTTCATTAGACCGGAATGCGGCGAGCTAGGATTAATCAATTTAGAAATAAATTTGAATTAATTTGGGAATTTAAATTTTAGAAAAAAGATATAGGCATTGGTTTCTTCTCTTTCAAGGTATGGAAATATCAGCCGATGTAGAATAACGATCGATACGTCGGTCTTGAGAACATTTCAGAAGTCACGTCTCACGGTAAAAGGCACGCTCGCGCATTTTTTTTCTTACGCGATAAATCGTACCCCAGATATCGACTTACACTTTGCGGAGAGCAGGCGAAGGAGTAGATGAAACCTTGGTTTCCATCCGATGATTTGTGAGGTTGCCTTCGCACTAAGTACGGCACGCTACCTGGCCGACATCGGCAGTGAACTCGTTGCACCGTCGCGTTTCCCGGACCACCTCCGGGTGCGAGGGTCCATGTAATGTCTCTGCGCCAGCGAAAGGTCAAGATGCTTAGATCGAAACGTACATCACGTCGAGAATGAGATTCGTGAATAAAGGCTTTATTTATTCTTTTTTTTTTCTTATTACTCTCCAAATTTCTTAGAGCAAAATTTCACTCGAAATAGCAGCGAAAATACTGCCGCTCATTAAGAGGAATATTTTATTCAAACTTGAAATGAATTCTTAATCTATGCGAATGTTTCAATCGATTCGAGGGAAAATTTATTCTTATGACAGTGCAGAAAGTCGATTGTATATCTCGAAACGTTGTGAAAATGACAAAAATGAACAAATTTACAAGAATATTTATCATTTCTTTGGCCAACAACTAGTGAATTCGTTCATTTTTCTTCATTATTCTCACTGCGTTCTGAGAAGACATTGTAGTAAAAATTACCACACAAATTTTATAATGTTGCATCATACCGGAATTATAACTGAAATTACAATGTATTTCTCATAGTAATTGTGATTTTTAGTGACGTACTTCATTGTACACATCGCTAAAGATCACACATCATAATTTCAGTCATAATTCCGGTGTGGTCCAACATTACATAATTTACGTGGCAATTTCTACTAGAATATTTTCCCCGTGTACACAATCGATCCTCCAGTATGTCAGATTCTCTCCTCAATTTCACTCGATTCGATTCCGAACGGAGAATTTACTTTATACGAGTAAAAGAAAATCGAGCAACTCGGTCGTGCTTTTCGAGTGGATTTACACCCAACGAAATTTGACGAGAGTACGACACGTCAACGCGATAAAGTTGAGAGACTCGAATGGGGACACAAGAGCGAGGACGAATTCTCGGATAGGATCGACAAAGGCGTGTGATCCAACTAACTTGAAGTAACGACAGATGGGAAGTCGTTTCACAGGTTCGCAGAGCTTGTACCGCCGCGTTTTATCGACGATCGTGTGTCCGTCGTCCCCGTGAAGACTGCTGGGGCAGGCACGGCCGTTCGGACAACGGCATTGTCTCTCGACCCACGGTGCACCATATAAATCCACCTTGCTACACACCTCGCTTTGGTCCGCGCACTCCGGCAATTCCTTCTCGCTATCCTGCGCAAACAAGCAAGTTGCGTCGTTTAATAATGCCATGCGCGATTCCCCGCAACAACGTAAGCGGGGATCAATTAAAAGGAGTCACGTTTTCGCCGTCTCGACTCGCTGCGAATAAACAATTGGAGTTTCACACAAGTTTCCACGCACGTTTTGATTAATACGCGAGAGAAACGTCCCTACCGCGAGATTAGCCCGATTGCCAGAAATAGAATTATTATTAAGATAATTAAGACTGCCGAAATTGAAGATAATTGAGATTTTCCACTGGACTCTGCACTCGGAGAAGAAGGCTCCTTTGAGTTTAATAAGAATCTGTTCGCTTGATTTCGGTTTGTTTAACACGAACAACATAATTTAATATCAAATATTATTTTGTTTGTGAATGAAAATTGTTTCATTAGAGTAAATCATGTTTGACAAGAAAGTATTATTTAAAGGAAATACAGTTTTTCTATTTTTAAAAAATTTATTTTATTGTATATTAATTATTGTTTCACGGAAACAAATTCTTTAATATTTTTGTAAGATATTTTTCTGAAATCACTTGTTTAAAATAATTTATTGCATTGCGATGTTTGGTCGAAAATACAAAAGAAATATTGTTGATATTATTTGACGTAAAAATATTTATTGCTTGAGAAACAACCAAACAATATCCTGTTTTTTGTTTATTGAATCGAACATTCGTTTGCTCCATTCTAAAAAATAAATTTGTTTAAATTACAGAAATTTCATTATATCTAAAATCTATCTTTTTCTCTGAGTAGCAATCATATATTATAACTTTGAGTGGAATTTTTCATTCTTCGCTCATTATGATTCTGCGTGAATTCTGTCACAGAGCGATTACGTAGTTGGACGTGCGGAGAGTTAAATCACTAAACTCATATTGAATAATTAATATCTTGGACTAGGATGCCATATTATTCGTTTTTAAAAAGGTTACGTGCAGCCATAAATACTATAACTCTGTTTCGTGAGTACTAAGGAAATTATGTACTTATGCGGAAAATATATAGATTTTCACTAATTTTCCGCCTTCTTACTATTAGCTTTCAAGGCGAAAAGTTCACATGAAAAGTTCCACATTTTTACGGTTCGAAAAGTTACATGATTGCACATTTTTCACATTCCCGCCCTAGAGAAAAATTACGTGATCGCCGCCCCGAACGCGCACAGAGAAAAAGATTTCTTTAAATTTAGTATTTCTATTTATTTGATTAAAATTTGTTTCATATAAATAACATGTACTTATACGAAATATTATAAAAATGTTATTGTCTCATTCAAGAAAACTCTATTATTTAACAAAAAGAACGCTATTATTTGAAATAATATCTCTTAACCAAATAAAATGTGGTTACGATAAATATATAAAGTGAAATAAATCATTTCTTTATAAGAAAATTATCTTTCGTTTCAGAAACAAATTTTTTATTTAAAATAAAGATACGTGTTCGTTGAAAAGTCTAATAATTATATTTATTAATCGAAACATTAGTTTCTCTGAAACATGCCAATGATGAAATTTCTTTGGATGCAATAAAATTTATTAAATTTTGAAAAATCTTTTTCTCAGTACGCGAAATATTTACAACCAGATTGATCATATTTTTAGATGTTTCTTATTTAAAACTTATTATATAACATCGACACTTTCGTGTTAGAATTTTCGTCTCAAAGTGTTACCAGAAATCTGCCCCGTTCACGAACGTGACAGTAACGATGGGGGCCCTCCCTCCTCCCCCCGTAAATATCTTGAATCACAAAACCGCCGCGATGCATCTCGGAGCGACAACACAGCCGTTTACGCCGAAGAACGATTAAGGTCGCGGTAATTGTACCGTTGCGTAATAATAAACATCCTGTGTGTGTGTGTGTGTATGCATATAACGCGGCGCGCCAGCAGGGCTTGTTGATGAAATAAACGGGACGATTGCGCACAGACTCGTAACTAAAGTATATCCGCTCTTTCGTCCGCCGACACGAGATACAAAGTCTGCTGTAACTGGACTATTTAGATGTTGCCAGTCCATTCATTGAGGCAATCGCGTACGTCCTGTCCGACTGTATCGCCATCGACTGTAACGTCAAACTACTACCGTACCGCCGACCACGGAATCGCGAAATATCTGTCGTCGCGTTTCTCGCAATCCAGGCGTTCTCGTGTTGCGAACAAACGCCGTCTCTCTTTCGTGCGCCTCTCTTCTCCCCCGTCTCCTCGTGATATATTCGCGCCTGTAAATTTTGCGACCGTTTGATGGACCCTGTGTGATGACGGATAACGGATGATCGGAAACGAAACGTCGGCACTACGATGAATTTACAGCAATCGCGCGCGCACAGACAGCCCCGTTGCGGTCGCCGCTCGACCACAGTTGTTCGTCGATCAGCCGCTTCCACGAAGAAGGAAGAGGTGCAATCGTGCTCGCTCTTCGTGTTCTTCACGGATATTGCAGATTTCGAAAAATGGATCGCGCGTTCGCATTCTGTTAACGCGCTATAATTATCGGAGTACGCGCGATAGTGCGTGAGCAGTTGGAGGCGACCAGTGCCATTCAACGAAGAAACGTTCGAGGAAATGGCCTTCCGCTGTTTTACCTCGAGTCGAGCTGTGAGCATTCGACTTTTTGCCATAGCCGTCCGTTCATCTCGTTTGTCTTTTTGTCGCTCCTTCTACTACTACTATTATTACTACTACTATTACCACTATTACTACTACCAGTACCACTACTACTGCTACTACCACGGCTATCAGTATTATCCGTCACGATGCAACGGCACGAATAGCTTTTTACGGGGAAAATCCTCCTCGATCTCATCCCTTCGGATGGTGGTCCGTTCGCTCCGTTTGTTGTTGTGTACGCGGTTAATCTTCTGTCCGCAAGTATTACACGTTTCACCTAATAATCTCGTGGGCGGAGGAAGGGAACGTTTCCCTCCCCCCCCCCCANCGTGATTCTGAATCTCTTTTGATACGTGCATACATGTCATTTGTTCCTTTCGCGTTATTGAGCAGTAAACGACGGGTGTTTTTTTTTTTCCATTTAATATCACGTACGACGAACCTGGACGTTTTGAAATAATATATCAAATATCCCCGTGAGTTACGTATACTTTAATTATAGAAAAAACTACGACCTCTCGAATACGCTTTTCGATCGCGCTGACAATATTCTTCGCGCGTCTTAAGCGGCACGTTTTTTTTTTTTTTTTTTTTTTTTTTTTTTTTTTTTTTTTTTTTTTTNTTTTTTTTTTTTACATCAATCCCCGTTCTCGCGATGTTGTTCCGATTGTTAATCACATTTGTCCGCACTATCCTTTTCTGCGCGTTCCCTATATGCATATCCCTTTATCCTACTTCCTCCGGCGCTCTCTCTGTGTGTGCGTATATGAGCGAGAAAGAAAAGGCGAGGAGGAGAGGATGGCGAGGGAAGTTTTTGAAGCTGATATAGCAGCGGGATTCACACACACACACACACACACACACAGAGCGGTGGTAAACTAAAATGGGATAATAGAAGGACCGGAAGGGCGCCGTAAACCATCCGGAAGTTCTCACGCGTCTCTCGCACGGCCGCAATGAAAATGACACCTGGCACTCGGGATGGACATACTACACGAAGGCAAGGAGGAGGTAGCCGCTAGGCTACCGACGACGACGACGAGCAACGATGACGACGACGAAGAAGAAAGGTGCGAGACGAAGAGGAACGAGCTACGGGACAAAAAAAAAAAGAGAGAGAGAAAGGAAGAAAAGAGAGGACGCAGGGAATCTGGTCGGATGGATGGCGTTAGTAAAAAGACCGCTCGCTCATCGTTCCATATAGCCGTGTACCGGATGTTCGTAAATCTCGGGAAAATCTCAGTACAGTAATTGAAAATGCAGCAGCACTCGCGGCGCAATTTGCAACGTCAGTGGCGGGACTCGTGGAGTCTTGCCGAAAAGTAAACAATTGCTTATCAACAATTGATAATTCATCTTCCTTCGTTAAAACTGATCTAACGAAGCAAGGCAGTTCCTTTTAGGTAGAACAAATTTCGCGGAATTGCAACTACTCGGCGCGAGAAAAAATCTTGCTTTTATTCAAAACGATCCGTCGAAATTTCCGTGCTACCTTAATATGCGGGGGACATGTAAAGAAGTACACAAATTAAGACCTTGTTAAAGTAACGCAAAAAATGTATACAATTCGGAACTGTAACCGTGACTAAGCTCGGAATAAATTTCCGGCTCGTTCGGCCGAGCAAAACAACCGCCAGCGTGAAACTTGAGTTGTAAATCACTCCGAAATGACGTGCCACTTTTGCCGCGAGTTATTTCATTATTACAATAATTATTATCATACTCTTTGAAGGGGAACCGTGCGTTGAAAAAGAGGGAGGGAAAGAGGAGAGAAACACGCGTAAAAGAAGAGATGAACAACAGCAAAGAGAAAAAAGATAGAGAGAGAGAGAGAGATAGGAGCATTTTTGCGGGAACCAGCGCGCGTCTCCGCGACTTTTGTCCGCGATCGATGGCGAGGAGAGTTAGTTTTCTCCATCCCCACTGTATCATTCCTGCGCACGTACTCCGGCCCACGTGCGAACCGCACGTATCTATGATACGTACGTACGTCTTGCTTGTCCGCACGTAAAGACCTACGCGTATTTCCAACCCAAACATGCTCAGGCACGCACACACATATATAGAAGGGAAAAGAAAGAGTGGGAGAGAGAGAGAGAGAGAGAGAAAACTCAGACGCGTTCATGTGTACACCGTCGATACGTAGGTGTTTACAGCAACGACAGCAACAGGTTCGAGCATCGAGTGGGCGCCGCTCTTTGCTAACGGCTACGTTTCCCTCTCCTCCACTTCCTGCGCCTGTAAGCGGACGATTTAGCTTCGAATCCTCGGAATGCTACCCGAGTATATGAACGCGCGCGCGCACATACACACGGAGAGAAAAAGAGCAAGAGAGAGTACCAGGGCATACCAGGGCGTGCGGCTAAACTCTCTGCTGGACTGAAGCGCGACCACCTGTTCGCGAAAGAATCGACGGTGTCAGGAGTGACACGAGTGGGTCGGTGGAATTTTCAAGTTTCATGCCCAGCGGGGCGGACGGAAAGTGCGCGCGCGACCGATACTTGCGAACTAGTACGAGATAACACGTACGCTGAAATCGATCGCGTGGCTCTAATCGGATTAGAGTCGCCGAAGGCTTCCCGAAGCTTCCTCAAGCGCGCTTCGAAAGCTCGAAACGAAAGTCGCAATACGAGCTTCCATCGGCGCACGGAAAAAAGGAATTGACTGTTCATGTGATATGAATTGAAATTTAGTTACCGGACTTAGCCGTTTTCAGCTGTGGGAGCTAAGAACTAGATACAGAGACAAAAGAATTAGTCAACTAAATTTCAGTTATGTGGACAGCTAATTTTTACCACCTATAGGAGCTACTTTTAAACAGTGGAAGCTAAAAATTAGGAAGGAGGACAGAAAATTAGATAAATTAACTAGATTTCGTTTATATTATATGGGAGCTAGTTTTAAGCTGTGGAAATTAAAAATTAAATACAAGAGCAAAAAGAATCGGCTAAATCAACTAAATTTCAGCTGTATTATATGGACAGCTAATTTTTACCTGTTGAAACTAGTTCCTAGCTGCGGGAACTATTTTTTAATACTGTGCGAGCTGTGCCTTTTTTTCCGTACGGAAGCTCGGCGTGTTTCCTAGAAATAGCTCGATCGCACGAGTAGCAGTAAAGTCCGTATCAGACTACGGATTGAAGATTGGAGATTGAATCGAAATTTGACCAATCGGTGTCATTAAATTTCACTAGAGTTCAGTGAACTTCGTACTGATCGGGCAAATTGAATCTCAATCCCCATACGGGCTTAAAGGGACAGCGATTGTGTGATCGTCAACTTTCATCCGCTTGGGCATCGTTTCCATGTTTTTATACACGCTCGACTTTGAGGAAACGCAAATTATATAATGATAACACGCGTGTACCGGTCGCCATTCTCCCGATCTGTCGACTCGCGCTTAGACCGGCGAATGGGGTGAGCCCGGCAATCGGGAGATAAGGCTCCGTCTAAAAAAGCAATTAACTGTCCATGTAATGCAACTATATACTGAGCTTTAGTTACCGAATCTAGCTTTCAGCAGTGGGAGCTAAAAACGGGAACATTAACTAAATTTCATTTGTATCGCGTGGATTTTTTTACTTGTGGAAGCTGCTCTTCAATTCTTTCTTCCCCGATGCGGCTTACCCCGATTTGGTACAGCACTCTGGGCTCCTCGTGCGTCAATCGGTGCTTCCGGTTACGATTGATCAGGTCGATCCGTACGGTCGCCTCGTCGAACTCCCGCAGTTCGGCGAGGTACTTGCTCTCGTCGAAGAACAGATACTCGTTGAGGTACTCGTCGTCGGTCTCGTCGAACGGCGAGAACAGCTCGCATTGGTTGCGACGGATGAGGCCGACGATCGCCAGGGTGTACAGCAGATTCTGTATCATTTTGCCGGTCATCGTATGTATCGCGGGGAGCGCGGGCTCCTTAGAGAATATCGGTGTTTGCGTTGTTACTCAAAGCCGGCGGGAGGGGAAAAGAATGGAAGGGATTCTCGACATTCACCACGTCTCTCTCAGGGCGTTCGGAACGAGGAGGATACTCATAGTACTCTCAAGTACCAATGGCTCTCTTTTTCTCGCGGAAGGTCCGACGAGCCTGAAAACGAGTGTCACCGACTACTTGAAGTCCATCTTCGCGATTGCCGATCGGCCGATCGGCCGTGTCGACCGAGATTCGCGAATTAGATCGACAGGCTTTTTGAGTGGCGCGAACTTTTCACCGGAACTTTTCAGCCTCTCCTCTCATCCTCTCGCGCGCTGTTCGTACGAATTTCCTCGAGGACTCCTTAAGAGTATAATCGATCCGATGCTGGTCCCCTCGGCCCAAATCAATGAAGCGTGTCGCACTCGCGCACTCTCTCGCGCACTGAATCGGCCGAATTACTTTTCTCTCTCTCTCTCTCGATCGTTCCTCCTCTCGCGGTTTTTCCCCGGTTTAAGGGCCCCGTCGGGAATGGCGAGAGATCGATCGGCGCGCACAAACAGAATGTCGACGATATTACGACGAAGAGATCTCAGCCTCTATGCGAAGGTATGCCGTCCGCTCGACTGGACTCTTAAAAGCCAGAAGTAAAGCATGAATGGATGCCCCCACCCTTCGCCCTCCCCCTGCTTCTCCGCTCATTCTTGAGACTGAGTCCCCCGTCTCTTACGTCATCCCCACCACTCTATCCTATCTATCTCTCCTCCTCCGAACGTTTTCATCGTCTGCGGTAGCCTCCGTTCCTCGGGCGACACATCGTTGCCCGTTGTCCTTGCATCCTCTCCGGAGCGCGCTCTCCACTCCGAGCGTTTTAACGGGTGTCTTTCTCGACCCGCTTTTGCCATCGCCGCCGGTATCTCTCGGCGCGTTTTCTGTATAGGATAATTTGCATCGAGCGCGTGATCTGCCATTTCCTCGGTCTCTTTCAGCCCAGGTATCTCTTCGAACGACTTGCATTCTTCCCCCGTGTATCTTCCGGTAGCACTCGCCTCCTCTCTCTCGGCCTGTTGTCACGTTCCGGTCGATTCAGCGCACACCTGCGAGAAAAATGCGCAGTCACGCACGAAAATGCGTCGCTCTGCGGGCAGTTCGTTGATTGAATAAGGGTGCGATCGATGGGGCTCGTTCAGGATATAACGGGACACTATGAGAAAGAGCAAATCAAGGACAATGGTTCGTTTGTTAAAGGCAAATTGTACGCGGTGTTTGGCAAGAGGCAAGGCCGCGTCATCTCCGCGGACAGTGCTCACGGCTTCGGCGGACATTTCAGGGTATTAGCCGTCTTACCTGTCCAGGAGAGCTTCCACCTTGCGAGAGAACTGCGGACGCAAACGTCCGGATTGGCCAGTCCGCAGCTAGTCTTTAGTCATTGGGAGGTAAGCCCACGCATTGTGCTCTCTTTCTCTCTCTCTCTCTCTCTCGCGCGCGGATTTTTGAGAGCTAGCGCTCGTATGATTTTGAATCTCGGCGAGCCTGAAAATTCTCCGCGTCCGCAACGCGTTCTTCGCCGTAAAGAAGAAAAGGGTTTCCTTAAAATTTGAGCTTGCTCGATGCAAAGAACACAATACCATTTTGTTTGGGTAAAAATGTTATTTCCCGAGAGTTAACCATGTTGTTTGATAGAAAGAACAGTATTGTTTAGAGGAAATATATAATAATTAATTTTTGATAAAAAAATTCATTTCATTAAATTTATAATTTATATTAAATTTACCTATTAATTTATATACTGAATATTATCCTATTGAAATAAAAATCCTTTGATATTTTTCTAAAATAGTGTTATTTCTTTCAAATAACTTGTGAGAACCATTGTAATATTTAGATGAAAATACAAAAGAAACGTTTTATTTGACGTAAAGATATTTATTTACTGTTTGAGAAACTAAACAATCGTGTTTGTCGAATCAAACATTCGTTTGTTTATTCCATTCTAAAAGACAGATTTGTTTCAATTTAAAAAAAACGTTATCAAACCAGAAAAGTTTCCTCTCTGTGTAGTTGCTTCAATTGTTCGATTCATGCGATGTGTGCAGAGGAATGAAATATAAGCCATTTAGTTTGTGACGACTATTATTTCGATGTTTGTAGCTTTGATAATCGGGTGAAATAAGAAATCGGATTTAAACTGTAAACTTAATTTATGCGATCTTATCACGACGAAAAATGGGATTTAAAATTTCCGTTTTTTAACGCAATAGAGAGACATCGGAGAAATTTAAACATTGATTTCAATCACTTGAACAAATTCATTTCTACTTCACAGTTATTGGAGCAGGATCCTTACTGGGTACCATCTACGGAAGAGGAGTATCTTCATTTCGGTGAGAAGGCAGATTGCGCTAATCGGGCGAAGAAATATATGGACGCGGTTCGTCGAAGGAAAGGCCTTCCCGTGGACTCCCAGTTGGTTACACACGCCGAAAAGCAACGCACACTTTCCAAGAACAAGTGATGCGGAGTTCTTCCGCGCCGGACTATTGTCGATTGGATTTTCTATTTGCGACTGTACGAAGTAGCAAAGGACACTACGACAAAGGACTGGAGAAAAGGCTAAGAAAAAGGACTAGAAAGACGGCGTTTACATTCACTCCTCCTGATTGTTATTGTTATGAAATGAAATCAAATGTCGGCACCGGGGACACGAGTTAATGTTCCCGTGTGACCGATGTTTGCGAGGACACCGGTCCTCGAAGTGTTAATTGGTACAATAAATCACGTCTTGCCGTATAATGTAAGATTCGGCATCCACACACACACACACACACATCCTGTACATATTTTATTTCGTTTCCTTTTCCGTTCGACCGAACACATTTTCAGAGCTCGTATCGTATTTCAGTTTCACATATAAATTTCACTGCAATATTACACTTGTAACACGCGCGTAAAACAAGGTAGTTTTTAAACGTCGATCGACTTACAAGCGAGATACGTCCCGATTCGCGTGCACAGCGGACTTTATAGTCGGACTCGAAAGCATCCAATCTGGAACGCTGCGCGCAAATCGCAAGGAACTCGAATTGGACGAGCGAGCAAATGAGCCTCCAATTACGTATGCGACCGTTGCTCGCATCGTCGTACATGCTTGTATATATATACGTTCGAAATCGTGCGACGGCTGTATGTGAGAACGAAGATGTATAATGTCTGAATTATATTTTATTTCACGTAAGATTAAGGTCTAGAAAATAAAATAAAAAAATACATCGCAATATTATCGCAATATTCTTGTATATATTATGTACAATAAATACGTTACTCTTTGAGACAAATGTACATATGTATACATTTTTTGGACGAAACAAATGAATGTACGTTGTAAGCTAGCAGCGGCTGCGTTCAGCAAGCATAACGATCAACTTCTGAATGATGAATATATAATTGATAGATCTATAAAGCTATATGTCCCCGCCGGAGCAACGGACGAGAAATGTTTTTGTTGACGTTTCGTGTTTCTTAAAAAAATTGCCGGTTGTTGCCGAAAGTTTCTTGACGCGTCAACAAGTTGTAACAGAAACCGATGTTCCTTCGGCATGAACATTCAGTCGTCAGATATAACGGTATTTAATAAAAGATGATAATAAGAAAGTGTAGTAAATAAATAAATAAAAATGTTAGTAAAGAAGTAAGTAAAAAAATAAGTAAAATGGGATAATAATTTTATTATCAAGTTAATTGAAGAATACACGAGTGTTCATGGATTTCTTCTAATAAGAAAATATAAATATAGGAACACGAGGGAAGACGCTTGGAGAGAAATTTCCGAAGCTGTCAGAACAGATACGACGGAAAAACACAAAATGAAAAATATATTTTGCCAATTATCCGTATCATACGCTTGCAATAAACTGCTTTGTTTCTTGAGTGCGGACAACTAAAGACAAATGAGAAGACTGGAGGAGAAACCAGATTCAAATGTTTCCGTGATTATGTTGTTTCAATACAGACGAGATGTTTCTACAAATTGACAAATGTTGGATAATTCAGTGTCAAAGCAAGCAATGAAAAGTTTCTCGTTGTTACTCCGGCGGGGACATAGTTTAAGAGTTACCGATTCTAGATAATTATATTCTAGATAACTTCTATTTACTTCTATTCTAAATAATTTCTATTCAACGATTGCATAACCGTTGCGTTCGCTAAACATAATCGTGATTCGTGGTTCATTTTGTCCTTCTTCTCCTTGTAAATTATTACAATCGCGAGAAATCACCGAATCACTTTAATCGTCCGCAAATACAATCTTTTTTCCTTGAAATTTTTGGCCCATAGCTTCTAGCTGTTTCTTTTTAGCCAACCAGGAGGGATGCAAGTCGACAGTTTCTCCTCTGTCACTGACATCACTTGGATTATTCTTGCTTGTGCTTTTGTTGTTCCTGTTAAACGGCCTTTTCTCTTGTCTCATGGCAAAAGATTGCTCGTCCAAACATTCTTTATGCTTAGCCACCTTCTCTCCTCTCGATTGTTCCTTCAACTGATTATATTTTGGAGTTTTACTTCCTCTCACATCGTTCTTATACCTTGGGTTTTGCGTTTTGACTCGACTGCTTGAGCGAAGTGTTCTAGCTGGAGCATCAGATCTTGTAAATGACACTGAAGCATTCGTACGATTCTCTCGATAACCTTCTTCATCGTTTCCTGTGACAAAAAAGTCATCGACTGATTTTGCTCGCACAGTTATTGTACGTTCGTGATCAGTGCCCTCTGCAGATGTCGGTCTCTCCGGCGGGTCTCGTGCATCTCCAGCGGAATTTTGCTCCTCCAAGAATTCTACAAATCGTTTTACCGTGCCTTCTTTTGTAACGCTACACAGTTTAATTGCAGTTGGTTGTTTATTTGCATCCTCTAACGTATCATTTCCTACCAGCTTCGGTAACTTCTTATCAACCAAGGCTGTATCGTCTTTGTTCAAGGACTTTTTGCGCGTATGCGAGTCACTCTTTACTTCACATGATTTGGTTTCTTCATCCTTGGAATTATATTGAGACATTTCGGTAACTTTACCCGAGTTAACCTTTTGTTTCTCCGAGTCTTCATTGATATTATTGGAATTAACATTTTGTTCCTTTGAATCTTCATGCTGAGAATGATGATTATCTTCTGCCAAAAGTTTCTTGCATTTTGCCGAATCCTTTTTTTTTAACTTTGCAGTTTTCTTCTTGTCTTCCGACAAGTACATTTTATAGTCTGGAAATTTTTCTCTGAATTCCATTAGTCTTCTATTGAAAGATTTATAACTTATGACCCTTGCCAATATACGGTCCCTCTTGCTTGAAGATTGATCATTCACTATATCTTCCGCTTCCTTTTCATTCATGATGCCAAATTTAGAAATTTCATCATCCTTAATCGTTTTTAGCGCATAAACTTCCGCGACTAGCTTGTCGGCTTTTCTTTTATTCTTTTCCCGTTGCTTCTCATTTCCATTTTTATCCTGTAAGCGTTTTGCATATCTGATCAGTTTATTTATTACACAAACACGTGCTTGACGAGCCGTATGTCGTAATGAAACAATCTGAAAATATGATTTATTTATTATTCGATTAAATACAATACATTAATTATAGAATATATTTCTAGCAACGGCAAATGTAAACAAATCGTGCAAGCTTCATAGAAAATATAACCTCTCACCTCGTTATTAATCTCAACTTTTCCCATTTTAAGAACGAACCCTTCCACAATGAGGATGAATTATTCAATAATCATGTACTGTGCATGAACAGATAAACGTAAACAAGCAAATAATTGATTACGCGCTATGTATCATATTACAGCTGCGTTTGGAAACACACACATACATTCAGCAGAAGGTTTAGTTACAACTGTTGGAAGTTTCCTGTGCTGACATTAGGTCTGTTCGTTTTCGCTGCACCGCTGAACTAGTGCAGTAAGTTGAAAAGAGACAAGTATATGTTTTCTCACTTCAACTTATTGCACTAGTACGGCGGTGCAGCGAAAACGAACAGACCTATTGGGGCCACGTTCAGCAGAACGTTTAATTTGCAACTGTTGGAAGTTTTCTGAGCTGAGATTGGATTATTCTTTTGGATCTACAAGAATTATCCAATGCTAGCACAGGAACAATTGCAACTAAACGTTTTGCTGAACGCGGCTTGGATTGTAGATCTAAAAATATAATGCCATTGAACTATATAACAAACTGGAATAAACACTGTCTTTATTTCTGCTAGATGGCCGAGAGAGACAATATCTAAGTAGTATCCCCCGTCTTTGTCTTATGGCTTCTGTCCACAGGGCGCGGAAATGCTTGCCGCGCGGCAAGAAGTGACGTGGCAGCCAATCAACTTTTAGTTCTCGGAGAAACGGCACGGTTGATTGGTGTTGCTTCTTACCGCGGGCAGAAACCATAAAAAGAACAGTATAAGCTATGCTTATAAGCGCTTATAGCGCGTAAGCGTCCAAATTAAACGCTGCATGGAATGATTAATAATAATTGGTAATATTAACCCCTTCTTCTATTGCTACTAGAGTTGGGCAATACAGTATCGACACAGTTTAATTACACACAGTTGCTATAGTAGGGCCGGTATTCATAGTCGGATCTTATATTTAAGACCGTCTTTATCTTCAGATGCTTTGTGGCCAATGAAATGAGTCAAAAAGCAGCTGAAGATAAACTTAAGACGGTTTTAAATATAAGATTCGACTATGAATACCGGCCTATAACTGGTATCGCTATCCTTCGCGATTGCAGAACGCCTTTTAGTTCTCATGGAAAGACAGCACACTTTGATTGACTAGCCGCGCGGCAAGTATTTCTTTGTTCTGTGCGCACAGCCATAATGCAGATGTCTGTGCTCTCCCGCCCTTATCTCAATGGCTAAGCGGGCAACCTTTTATTTTCAAACAATACGATTCAACGGCGGCTCGAGAGAGGCAGACACTTTTTCCTTTTTCAAAAGCGCGACGATATTACGTTGCGTTTTCCACGTGTGACTGATCAACAAGAGTCGATCGATGTGATAGTCGAACATCATCAATTCTTCCGATTTTCATCGAAGTCGACGCGCCTCATGTTCGCTTCACCGGCCGCTCCGATTATGACAAGCCGAGTGGCGATGACAGCGTTTAATAGCGCGAGGTCGGCGTGGTGATCACATGGCGAGAGATAATGCGTGTGTAATTACGATTATCGTCGTCGCGCTCACCGACGGTGGGAACAGTCGTATTCGGAAATTCGAATTGACACTTCGAGGACGTCGGGAAGCGTCAAAGGTACATCTCGCTATTTACGAAGAGGAATGTCGCTGTGAGCGCGTTCGCTCACCGTCGTCCCGATGTTGTCCGCAACACGTAGCCGACGTTTAGAGTTAACCTATGATCGCCGCGGCTCGTCGGTGGGACGAGAGCGTTTGGAAGACTCAGTTATTAGCTCGAATCTTTATCACCCGCGATAACGAGCTTTTCGTGCTGAGTGATATGACTTGATTATCATCCATTATTACCCCCACGACACGAACAAGAGTATGTATATATGTGTGTATTTCTCCTTAGCTTTAGAGACCCTCGTCTCCGAGCGTGTAACCAAAGCTTACAGTCTTGTTGCAGGAATGCAGGGAGCATTGCAGGTATTGATGCAGGCCTAGTTTTATATGTGAGAGTTAGCTGGAGATTCCTATATATAGAGGTACTACGAACCGAACGAGCGAAGAAAATGATAGTACTGACTGCCTATTGATAGACTTTTCTAGTCAACCACAGGTAAGTGGCTGAACCAGCTACAATCATTTCCAGATGAGTTTTTACATATACACAGCGATACTTTGATTTGTGTTCGTATACTTGAGTGCAGTAATATCTGTAATATTTGTTTTCCAGACGTTGTTCTATTACAATGGATATCGGCATTGTCAAAATTGCTGAAGATAAGGACTTTGAGAAATTGAAGCAACTATACGATGATAATAATGATTGGAGATTAGATTACAATAAACCCGACCTATCGGTTTGGACAAAATCCGTCCGAGGAATTAGTTTTAGAATGGTGAAGGTACGTTTCGTTGCATCAAGCGATGCTGTGAACTCGCATTTCGATCAAAGTGAATTGGTTTGATGTCGTAGATCAGAACACGTTTTCCCGACGTTACACCAGAAACGCTGTACGATGTTCTGCATGATCCCGAGTATAGGAAAGTTTGGGATACTCACATGATCGAATCAAAAGATATAGGATTTTTCAATCCAAACAATGATATTGGTTATTATTCCAGTAAGTACAATGTATATCTTCAAAAGGATTTCAATCTTTTTTTAATACTTCAACGTCTTGTTTCATTAATATTTCGCAAACTTTAGTGGCGTGTCCATCTCCATTAAAAAACAGAGACTTCGTCCTGCAACGGTCTTGGCTGGATACCGGTGTAGAGCAATTGATACTAAATCATTCCGTTTATCACAAAGATTATCCGCCTAGGAAGCACTTTGTACGAGCAACATCTTACCTCACAGGTAAAAATATTCAATACAGATTCATACATGTGTCTCTTTCCATTATTTCCCACGAAATAATTCTTGTACGTCAGGTTACATTGTAAGGCCCTCGCGTAACGGAGATGGTTCCGAGTTGGGTTACGTATCGCACACGGATCCACACGGCAAATTACCCGTGTGGCTGGTGAATAAGGTTACGCAAATATTTGCCCCGAAAGTGAGTTATTTTCTAAAATAGATCACGGAATTTTTCCTAAGAAAGTTGCGCATGTTATATTCTCTTATAAAATTTATACTTTTTAGATGGTGAAAAGATTACATAAGGCCTCTGTGGGCTACCCAAGCTGGAAGTTAATTAATAATCCAAATTATAAGCCATGGCATTATCCCGAGCAAATAATGGCACCTAGAATACGTATTGAAGAAGTAAGATTAGCTTTTTATTCTTCTTACAAAAAAAAAAACCGAATTTATGCAGAGTCACCTGCTGTTTTCAGTGCGTCAAATCGACGGAAGAGAAGAATTCGAAGAATAATTACGTAGACGAATCTGACTTGAAGGAAAATTCGGTTAAAGAATCTACCGTGATCGACAGTGATTAAAGTGTGACGTAAGAAGGAGTTAGGTAAGTAATAGTAAAATGAAATAGAGTTGATACCACTAATAACAGTATTATGAACGAAGTAACATAATATGGATACACAATTTGTACAATTATGAAGTTCGATTTGCATATTCCTTATATATAACAAATTCTAATTAATTGTAATGTTATACATTTATATATACGTATAATGTTAAAGAGGTGAAAAAAGTTACGTTCATAATTATACAAGAACTCGCCTTACGTGCGGACGTTAATGTGTGAACGTCAAATGATAAAACATTTATGGCCTGCTTTGCATTAGGTACTAATTTCAAGTCGGAACGATCGTTGTTGTTAAAGCGCGCAAAACCGACGAGTATATGCACAATACGGAAGGTACACTTTTAAGACTTTTTATAATCTTTAAGTATCTTGAAGCGTGCCTCCGTGCACGCGCGCGTCTCAAAACACTCTTATACTTGGTTTATCTTCTATATTGTGCATTTCTCATATATATATATATATATATATAATTGTTATTTATTATAACAAATCTTCTTATAATACGTATGTGTGTGTGTGTATGTATACATACACATATAAAGTTACCGCAATTTCGTAGCATCGAGAAATGTTATCGTTCAGTTGGCAAGTTTTTCAATGCTCCGGTGAGCATCAGATTCAGCTAGCATTTCAGTTAAAGCTATTTGGGATGTTATCAAAGAGGACGTGTTGCAAAAAAGAAAGTGGGGAGAACACATTTTTTCTATATATATATATTATATATATACACAGATGTCTAAATGTTACAATTTCAATATAAAACTAATAAGCAGTATATGTCGGATAAAAAAACGCCAATGTACGTCTCATTCGCGATGTGAAACCCGATTAAAATTCTTCATTATATTCTAGGCAGATCGTAATTTTCTCCATTTCCTAATATGTATTGGTACTCGTGCATGGGTGCAGTAAATAGAAGCGACAAATGCTACCGCAAAAATTTCTTGAAAATAGTCCCTTGAATTTAGAATTTCTTGAATTTGGTTATTTTTATATTCATATATGTGCAGAATTTGCAGCGAACTTGAAGAGTGTATTTCTAAAAGAATTTTCACGTAAGAATTTACACGCAAACAATACGAGGATTTACAGCTAGAAAATATAACTTCAAAAGTGCAAAGAATCAATAGAACTACAGTCATCGGAGAAATATATGAATTATTTACGATCAAATTATTGCCAGAAAAATTCTTTCGGGAAATACGCTCGTGAAGTTTGATTTAGAGAGTCTTATGGAATATGTCGTTAGGGTACATATTTCAGGATATGATAAACAAATATGTACCATTTAGAAATTAATAACGAGATCGCCTAGATATTCAATATTACACAAATTATGAAACATATAATTTATATTTTAAATCTCTTCACTCTATGGAAAGTCTGTAACATGGCAAAATTTATAAGGTAATCGATTACTTTGTAAAGTTCACAATAAAAGGTATCAAAACTGGCGTTAGATAATCATTGCGGGTAAACTTACTCGGACTGAAACGGTAAAATAGACGTGCTGTAACAACCAATAGCAATGAAAAGAGCAGATACTACAATCATTCCTTCCTTTCTTCCTAAGCAGTGAAAGGAAATGTACCGCATCGTTATTGATAACATCGTTATCGTCGTTTAATGTTTGCCACGACTCGTGTGTAACAGTTGGCTTCGCAATTTATTCAATATTTATTTATATTTTCGTAAATCAGATATCTCGCCGTCAATCCTCTTTAGAAACTACATGCCGAGCACACCTGTTGCTTCTTTGATCATCAATTAAATTATCCCGAAAATGTAAATTCGTTTTCTCTACATGATAAATGCCGTCTTCTTACTCTTTTTCTTCACTCTCATTCTCTCTCTTTTTTGATTTTCTTTCTCGCATAAATTCCCGGGTAAACACATGTGTGCTCATTAAGATATCGTACATGGGAGGAAATAATAGTAGATTAATGTAGTCATCACTGGTTTCGCTGTATTCGCAGACGTGTCGATAATTGAAATGTATTCGGAGGTGCGGCGAGACGGAATGTATGACGTATCTTATTTGCAAGATCTGTTAGAGGATTTATTCTCTAAGTAGATAACACGACGTTGTACTGCCATGTATTAACTGCTAAATCATGTCTCAGTCAAACGTGCTCGGTTTCGGCGAATGTGTTTCTTTTTATCGCCAGAGCTTTTCTTTATTATCTTCTTATATCTTTTTATCGAACGCGTTACTTCCGAAAAGAGCGAAATGAAAAAAGTCGAGCGCATGATGCGTGCGTGAGAGCTTGATGAGAAAAGTATATTCGGTTTGACTCGACGATTCGAGTTACTTTATATATTTGTAGTCGCAATAACGTACCGCGACGACATAGTTCGCGCGATATCACGCGAACGAGTGGAGGAGGACCGATCGAACGACGTTTTCTCGCGGATATGTGCGATGTTAAGCCAATGTCCAACGACGATGCGAACGGCGGATATATTCGAACATCCGGACAGAGATACCCGGTCGTTGGTGGTGAGTGTAAGAGCGACCAGCAATTTCTCGCTGAGGGAATGGAAACGGAGGCGAGTGAGATGCTCGAGGCGGCAACGCATGACGGTAGCTTCGGCGAAAGGAAGCAGATTAGTGCCGAGGTAATCCATCTTACCACCTTTGTGACTCGACTAGTTTCTCGCAAACGGCTCGACGGACATTTCGCAGGGTGAGGCCGAGAGGAAGACTCACACGCTGATACCGTCGAAGACGAAGGGAAGAAAGCGGGCGTTCTCTCTGCTCGACACACTGATTTCTCTGAGCATCGTCGGACCGTTGGCGATCGGCTTCTGGAGGGGGATCTGGACGTGGATGGACCTCCACGCGGATCTGTGAGTAGGAAACGAACGACGGAGAATATTAATTATGCGACTCGATCGATCATTTGCGCAAATGCCTTTTCCACCCACACTCGGCCTGCGCAGGTTTCCCGACTGGTTCTGCTTCGCGTCCGGCGTCTTTCTGCACGTGATTTTCGCTTTCTACCAGGATCGCTGTCACGACGTGTACATGGACGAGTGGACGAAATCGAGCGCGCTCGGGCGGCTGCCCTATCGCGCACTGCGAATCCTCTACACGTACGTCTTCGGCGTGGCGTGCAACGCGCATTGGCGGGGTTGCTGGATCATCATCAGCGATTACTATCTCATGCACATATGGTAAGAGCGTCTTTGAAAAACCGATGCTCGTTTTCTCAATGAAGTGTGCTGTTTGATTCGACATTTATTCGAAATTTAACGGACGAAGACCGTTCGAGATAACGCCTTGAGTTTTTGGCTCTCAGACACAATGAAAAGAATAAGGAACAAAGAGTTCGGGGAATTAGAAGCGAGGAATTACGTTTTAATATGTGGACAACTATGCTCCGATAATAAAAGAATGGGGAAAGAAAACAAGCTCCCACAGCTAAAAACGTGCATAATACAACTGAAATTTAGTTTCCAAACTTAGTTTTTAGTCGTGAGACTGAATGATTCTTTCTTTCCGTATACGAATACAGTCGTAAAAATGAGCTCTCACAGCTGAAAACGATCTGGTAACTGAACAAAACTGGTAATTAAATTTCAGTTGTATCACATGGATAGCTCATTTTTAACTAGGAGCTAGTTTTTAGCTATTTATTTTTCTTTCGGTAAACTAGATTCAGAACACACTGTTGATCGATCGCGATCGACTGTCAAAATTCCTTATAACTTGTATGCTTATAGAGCTTAATAGCTGACTGTAAGTTTACCTTCAAAGTGTCCGACGATCATGAATGTACAACTGAAGGTCAGTTTGAATCAATCGATAATTATAAAAAGAAAAGCGATAAAAATGTGAATAATGACAGTGGCGATCTCGTTTGAAAACGTTCTTATATTTTATTCTCCATCCCTGTTTTAAACTAATTATAGCTTATTCTTAATATCTTACTCTCAATTCTCTATATTTAATTCCTTATTCCTCATCCCTTTCATTGAGCCCTTAAAATAAAAACAGCCGCTCTGTGTGTGTGATCGATGACAAACCGCAGTATAATAAAAAAAAAACAGGAAAAGTAAAAAATGGTAATTTAGATATTGAAATTTGGGGTATGAAACATTATCTTAAAATTACAAGTTGGCCACTCTGCCAAGTCCCTCAGACTCGGTCACGTACTGTAAAGTAAATACACCGAAAGATCTCATCTTCATAACGGAAGAAGCACGAAAGTGCCATTTAAATAGCACCGTCGTAATAATGCAATTCGATAATCATCGTGTCGTAATATCTCACTGTAGGATAACAACGTGCCTGATGTGTTTGCTACTGGCTTGCCTGGCGATTCTGCGCTGCGTGCGGAACTTGATAGCGCCGCCATTGTTAATCTTCATCGATACGCCGGCTCACGTTTTTCAATTTCCAACCAGATACAATGCGGTGAGTGAATATAAATGAAAAATAAGTCTCGATAAGGGAATGCTATCGCGACGTTCAAAGCTAAACATGTTCATTTTAATTGCGAAGGGGGAAAGGGTGACGAGCGAAATTGCTGGATCTGATCGGCAGCTGAGGGGAAACTTCATCCCGGATAATCTCTCTCGCGTAAACCGCTCGAAATTGACGGAGGAAAAATCCGTCGTTGAAAAATGACGCGGTGGAAGTAGGGCATCCCATTTCGTCACTGTTGCGCTGCATTGACAGTCGCGCGCACCGCGCTTCTTTGATTGCCGACCCTGTACTCAATTGCCAAACAGCGTCATTTAACGATTATACATACATACGGCACATAACGCCCCTTTTACACCGCGTCTTATTTAACCCACACTGTACCTTTCTTCGTAACGTCACACACCGAGGTAGGTTGTTTCATGTTTCCACGCGATAGGGACACCTGGCCTCTAGCCATTATTTCTCAACGATGGAAAAATTTAATATTTTTTTATGTTGGCAGCAGTGTTCATTCTCGTTTCTAGGAAATGCTAAATGTTTTTCTACTTTAACAGTTGAGCTCGCGATAACAGCAAAACGAGGATGTGTTTTATTTATACTTGTAATTTTCTTAATTTCATTTACCCAATTCTGTTCTTCGTGAATATTCAATTGTTCTTGGTTGTTAGATTTTATAATTAAATTAAAACTCCATAATGGAAGAAAATTTGATTGGTTTAAGAGGATGATTACAAGATTAGCCAGCAAAAATCTATTTGCTTGCAAAAATGACAATTTACAAAAAAGTATTATCCCAAATAGCCAAACCTGCCAGTGGCATGCATTCCTTGAAATATCGTATTCTCGAATTCTGAGACGAGATTTTTTCTCATGTAAAATGTTATCCAAAGCTTAGTTTTTCAGTTATAAAGATAAATTATTTGGCTATTACGGGCCGGATATAGGAGGCAGACAAGGATAGCACAATTCACTGTCAATACATTGATGTTGGGCGCTTGATGCGATGAGCTGGCGTCAATGTATGTGATAACATTCATATACCAGGTGTAGAAGTTTGAAATCGGAATTTTTTTGTAAAAATTACACGTCTGTTGTTTGAAAATGGTAAAAAATATTTGATTCAAAATAATGTCCATTGCTATTTATACATTTTTCCCACCTCTCCGGCAGTTTATGAATGCCACGCCAAAAAAACATTTCTTCTTTTGAAGCGAACCAGCTATCGAGCCATTTTCGTACATTTTCATACGAATTGAAGCGTTGTTCAGCGAGAGCGTGTCCCATTGATGCGAATAGATGATGATCGGACGGAGCCAAGTCTGGAGAATAAGTCGCATGCGTTAGTATTTCTCAACTGAACGCCTCGATCGTTTCCCTGACTCGTTTTGCTGTATGTGATGGGGCATTATCATGGAGCAAATTGACTTTGTGTTGCCTTTTTCCATATTCCGGTCGTTTTTCACGCAATGCTTGATTTAAATCGATCATTTGCTGTTGGTAGCGATCAGTGTTAACGGTTTCACCAGGTTTTAGCAGCTCGTAATAGATTACACCCTTCTGATCCCACCAAACACAGAACATTATCTTCTTTCCAAAGCGATTGCAGTGAATGTCGATGGTTCGCCTGGATTCATTCATGATTTCTGACGTTTAGGATTCTCAAAATATATCCATTTTTCATCACCTGTCATGATACGATGGAGAAATGACTTTCTTTTGTATCTGTTGAGCAGCATTTCACAAGTGGTTTTTCGATTTTCTTGCTGTCTTTCATTCAGTTCATGTGGAACCCATTTTCCCACTTTCTGAATCTTTCCCATGGCTTTCAAACGAATTGAGACAGCTTTCTGCGTCACATTCAATTTATCCGCGAGTTCTTGTTGAGTTTGAGTATCGTCTTCATCCAATAAGGCTTGCAATTCGTTGTCTGCGAACTTTTTCGGTGGTTTCCCACGCTCTTCGTTTCTCACATCAAAATCACCACTTTTGAATTTTTTGAACCACTCGAAACACTGTGTTTTACCAAGAGCATGTTCACCGTAAGCTTCGACAAGCATTCGATGCGCAGCAGTTTTCTTCAAATGATAACAAAAAACCAATGCTGTCCGCAAATCGTAGTTCGTAGGCACAAAACTCGACATGTTTAAGTTTATAGAAAAATATACCGGTGTATGGAACTTGGGTTGTTGTGTGTTGAAAATCTTCGTCAGCTGTTAGAGGGAGATGATGGCGCTGCAGAAGCGGTCTTACGGTCCCTAAACTGATGGCTAGCATCATCTATAGGGAAATTCCGGTTTCATACTTCTACACCTGGTATATTATATTTAAAACTTCCATTAATCATCGTGCGTAATAGGAAATGAAGTGTTTTCAATTAGTAGGATGCGATTATAATGAAATGTTTGAAGATAAAATATTATAGCTCATCACATCGAACGCCTAACATCGGCATCTGGCGGTAAGTTGTACCGCTCTTGCCTACTTCCTATGCCCGACTCGTAAAATTATCTTTATAACTCGAAAGCCAAGCCTCGGATAACATTTTGTAACAGGAAATATTGTTTTAGAATTCGTTCAAGAATAAATTGTTCCGAATCATTCTATATATATACGGTGTTCTATCTAATTCGAGCATCTGAAATATCTCACTTGTTTTTTACGATAAGAAAAAATGTCAAAGGAAAACATTGGCTGGTTCGGAAGAGCAAATATTATGATATACAAAAAATTTTCTTTGAGATTATATTTTTCGATATTTCAAGTTTATCGAAGTTTTTTTTGGATGTGTGTGTGTGTGTGTGTGTGTGTGTGTGTGTGTGTGTGTGTGTGTGTGTGTGTGTGTGTAAAATATTAAAGCAGAACAAATAAATACAGATGTTTGTTTTAATTATTATATATATATATCTTAAATTCCTTATATTGACCATACAATTACAAAAAGAAAAATAGTATTATCCCACTAGGCATTCGACATTTCAGCAACGTTTGTTCCGTAATGTTTCGACAGAAATATTACACTTTTCACCAACATGTCAACTACAATATTCTGACAGAAATATTTCTGATATCTATCTGCAACGCCGAGTGGATAATACTCCAATATATGAGGGCAAAGTGACCTCTACTGTTTGGTATAACAAGTGTCTAAGCTTTTGTAACTCAGCTTCTAAACACAAATGTATACGAAAATGCGAGCGTTTCCAACACGCTTCATACAACGTTACAGAAGTCATCAGCAGAGTGAATCGAAATACCGTCATTCTCATCCCGCACGAGCGCGTGTGTGTATTTTGTATCTCAAAGTCTGTCGACTCGTTTATTCTACGAGCTGCAAAAACGCTTCTTTTCCGTGCGTTATCGAGTCTTCCGCAACGGGAAGAAAAATGACGTGGCGCCTCTAACCGGAGATCGTTATCAGTTTTCTCTTGTCTTAGAGATATCGTCAGCAGAATTATACAAAATCAAACAAGATCAAATGCGTTTAGTGTTTACCCGTACATGCAGTTAGTTCTCAAATACGCTCTTCGTGCACGGTTTGTATTCTAAATTACATTGTTCGTTCGAACGGCTCATGGCCGGACGGAATGCACGACATTTGTATCGTGTACGGTGTAATCGTTTCTCTCGTACGATCACATATCCGACATCTGATCAAAATCGGAAATGGCATAGGATAATTACGATGACGTACAGAAGACTCCATTTTCGGGTAAAACAGAAAATGATGATGATATGAAAATGACGTTAAAATGATGAAAAAATGATCGAAAAATCAGTTTTATAATCACTTTCTCGTCATTTTCACGTCATTTTCACGTCATTATTATTTTCTGATCAACCTAAGTTAAAATGCTATCTCATCCTTTAGTGATATCGGAAATTTCGAATTACACGCATCATTTCTGAATATTCGTGCTTTATGACTGCTGCTTTGGAGCATCCTTGTCAGTTTGCAGAATAATCCCCAGTAAACATCTACATATGAACATATCAGTAACATAATATCAATATTATATTAATGTTAGTTAGTGTTTGCTGTTAGGGATTGCATTTATATTGTTGAGTGGGAAATTATAACATTAATATTATCCAAAGTAGCAAAATGACGACAAATGATGTTTCAATGGCATTTTTTTGACGTTAAAAACGTCATTAAGATGTTATTAAGACGTTACTTAGCATCATCTTGCTACTTGGTATGTTACTATTAGTTAGTGCTTACTGGGTTAGCAGTCATGATGCACGAATATTCGCGCATTATGCCTGTGATTGAAAATTTTCTGACAGGGAAGATCGGGCCTGGAAATCACACGGAAGTTATAGAGCTTATATCTCACGTAATAAATAAAGGAGGATATTTTTCTTTATAATGTAGCTTGCTTCATAATTTTAGTCTAATGTACGAAACAGCTTATAGCCAAAGCATCGTATATGGTGTTTACGAGCAGTTTTTTTTTTTAATTGGGTGCGTGAATAAATATTTCTCGTCTCTATTGTTAATGTTTTGTTGGTTTTAGGATTACTAGTCGCAACTTCTCTTTAGTCGTGAGAAATATTATACTGTTTGCTAATTTTCCTAGTATTTGCTTCATCGTTATCGCAACATTGTTTATAAATATAATCTCTTTTATCACAAATAAGCGTTTGGCATGAATTGACTTAAATCCGATGGCACTGGTTGTCACGCATTTTATGTAGCTACTGACGTTTCTTATACATGCGCGTGGAAGCACACGCACTGATGTTGTCAATCCGGTTAGTTTAATGAAGCATTTAAGTTTCTATAAAAGAAATGATTTATGTTTTTTTATTAATGATATAATATATAAATTAAAAAAAAAATATATATATATATATATTTATTAAGTCAGCTTTATATATTACATTATAACATCTCACTAATTTCAATAAAATATTAGAAGATCACGTTTAAATAAACTATTGTTGTCTTGTTATATGTCTTGTTTTATCTACATAAAAGATACATGACAATTGACCCAGGATATGGGCGTCATATTTGCATGACCTTATTTACAATTAAATAACTTCTGTGCATAAATATATATAAAGTTAATATTTCTTTTCTTGTGTATCTAAAGGATAGCTATATTATAATGTACACAATATTATGAGATATTGCATACAACTTTTTCTTTTAATCAATATGTAAATAGTGTGACCTGGTCTCTTCTAATATGCCTATGGAAGTGAGACAGCACTAATGGAGTCTTTTGTATCACGCGCGGAAAGATGCGAGGTTGCTTTCGCAAATTTCGCAAATAATAAAATCATGATGTCGCCGGCCGGTTTTCCCCGAAAGTTTACGAAATGTCCACATTTATTGTCCGGTGATAATGGCGATACGACGACACGGAGCTGTATGACTGTACATATACGAGTATTCCTTATCTGTAAAAAGAGAATGTTATCCGCACTTTTGATCGAAGCTTCCTCCATTTTATCTGCCGGCTGCCGGATTACAGCAATCTACAATCGCGCTGACGATTGTCAGGATAACACTGTTACCCGTGCGATTATTTCTCCTCAATGAGGAATTCACCGTGAATGATTTCGACCGTGCGATATATCCCGTGTAGTATACAATCTGCGACTACAGAATATGTGAATGGCACGGTACTGAACCGATATTAAAAAGCATGTGTCAAGATTGATCCAGTATTGGCCCAATATTAAAAAGGTTGTTAATATCGGCTTCGTACCCTTCGGAAGCAAGTTTATATATAATCATATAAAATTATATATAGTTATATGTGTTTTATATATAAAATTTGTCTCTATATAGCTACATATATAATTATATGTGTAGTCCATACGAAGTAAAAATACTGCTGAATAAAAAACGAAAAATAATAGTTTGATTCAATTAAATGTTTACATCATGGGCAGCCATAAACATAAGCATTTAAATTCAATTATATTCATGTAACATTTTTTAGATGTGTGACATATATAATTACGTATTGTTACATATGGGTATATAGAGATAAAATTCATATATAATATTTTCCCGGGTATCCAGAATCGGTACTAAGCCGATACGTACAGAAAATGTACAGAATACGTACAGAAAAGCGAATGCCACATGGAAAAAAATTGGTCTTTTTCTCATATATATTCTCATATATAAGCAAGAATAATAATATAATAAAGTATAATATAATAAAATAATAGAATAAAAGAATATAATCTTGTTAGAAGATTTTTAATCTTGAATTTGGTTCAAGTAATACTTGCATCAATATAAATTCAGTCGAGATTAAAAGTTTTCTAAGAAAGTTATGATATTCTTGCTTATATATGAGAATATCTATTTTTTATTTAAGATTGAATTTTTTCCGTGAATGTTTTGATACTGGCCCAGCATTGATCCAAACAGCATAAAACAGCATATTTATAAAATATTCTAAAAATATAAATATTAAATATTTTGTAAATATTCAAATGTCTGGAAAATTCAGATATGAGAAAGATTATTTTAAAAATCATGAAGAATATTTTTGATAAATAATTACGGTAATTATTTTCAGTACCATAATACTGATTCTCGGTTTTGTTACGATACTGGCTCGTTTTTATCACCTCAATATTAAATCAGTACTGACATCTAGTATTGTATACCACACTGGTACCACGCCGGTAACAAATTCCTATTTGGGGTGCATCTTCTTCTCCTTGCTATAACGATCGATCGGAAGCTTTCTTATTGAGACGCAATTCCTCGCGTCGTCGTCATTGCAAGTACATTATTAGTGAGTGACGTTACCAAGTTCCGAAAATAATATCCACGAGTGCACTCACGACGTGGTGTCCTCCGCACTGTATTCGCTGCGCGAATTTCGCGCCCTTGACGAGTATGTCCACCGATAGATTAATGGGCGAAGGTGAGAAGTCGTTGTAACTCGAGCTTGATTGATGCACAAAAAGGAGCCAATTAGCGACAACTTTGACCAAAGCGTTAACGCTTAAACGAATATACTCGGACGGTAAATAGGACTCGAGGGGAAAAAGGAGGCGACTAAAAGTTTATGGTTTTTTCCTGTCACGAGACCGCACAATGTTCCTTTCGCCAATGCGACAAGTAGCGAGGCGACAAATCGTTCCTGAGAGAAAGATATTTGCTATTTGTAACTATAATACTACAACTATAACATACACTATAGTAGAAGAATTATGTAAAAGAATCATTTTTCCAATAATTGTTATTATAGTGTCAGTGATAATAAGTTTATATGCATATTGCAATTATTTTTGTAGTAAAGCCAAAAAAGGAGTATAGTTGAAGCCGAAAATAATTTAATTTGTAAAATTTATTAATTAATTTTAAAATTAATTTAATAAACGATTGAATTAAATTTAATTTCTAAAATTTCATAATTAATTTTAAAATGAACTTAATAAATAATTAAAATATAATTTTTCTCACGATGTAACGATTTTACCTAATGAACTCTTATCTGTTGTGGACGTTGTTGTTTCTCTTCGAGTGATCGTTTCATCTTGGTACATTGTTACCGATGAAATCAACAATCTCTTCCGTCTGCGGGAAAAGATTGGACTTTCGTAACGATCGGCCGTTTTGATGCACCGAGAAAAGAGAATTAGTTATTTGTGACTATAATTACACAATCATTATACGGAGAAAATATTGTAATTACTATAAAATTTTGTAATGCTAAACCATACCGGAATTATGATTGAAATTATAATCTTTAGTGATGCGTACGCATGATATAAGTACATTACTAAAGATTACAATATACATCGTAATTTCAGTATGATCCAGCATTACGAGATTTTGTGGTAATTACAATATTTTCTCCGTGAAAGCCTTTTTTGTAGCGAGCGCTACATAGAATCAACGAATTTTTGCTTAAATGAACAAAATTTTTTCAAGCGTTTTCAACATTTAGTCCATTAGACACATTTTACAGTTGCTGTAATGAATTATCAATTGGTTCAACGATTTGGTTAACAATTATGCAACGTATTGTTGCGTATTGTTGCGCCAATGCGTAATTTGTTTAGTAGACACAATACTTTTTTTCAACGAGGGCAACCACCGACCCAACTGCTTTTTTCTCGATATACTATTAGTAATAATGTCACTTCTGTGTCAAAATAACCAGAAGTTGACTGTGGTCGTTGCCGAATATGACTTTCATGAAATCAGAAAGTCAATAGTATGTCTCAAGACGTTACAGCGTATTTATTAGAATATTTATAATGCCATTTAACATCAAGTTAACATCAAGTGGATTTACTCACTTTTGTAACTCCCACTTCGTTCTGAAATACCGATCCCCGGAAGGTCGACCGTGTATCTCAAAATGTAGTGAGAATGAGAAAAATGAGCGAATTCATTCGAATAATTATACTTTTATTGGGAAATAGTAAATTTACTTATTTTTATAACTCTCACCTCATTCTAAGATGCACAACCGATCCCCAGAAGGTATATCTCAAAACGTAGTGAGAATGAGCGAATTTATTAGAATATCTGTAATTTCATTGGGCAATATTTAGTGAATTTGCTTGCTATTGTAACTCTCACTTAGTTCTAAGATACACCCCCGGAAGTATATCTCAAGTATAATGATTGTGTAATTATAGTCACACACATATTACAAGATTGAATAAATAATTGGTAATTTTATTAGTCAACATTTGCTCACTTTTGTCATTAGTTGAGACACGCTGTTTCTCTCCTCCGAGCGCTGTACGATTTCGGCGTCGCTTCTCACCCTTGAAAACACGCTCGCCATTGACGCGACGACGGAAGGATCTCTCGGGAGGACCTGTCGAATCGGGGAAAAAACACACGCGGGCTCTTAACACGGCTCGATCGCTCTGATGGAGTGGATGGAACGAGGCGATTATACGCGGGCACACGTGGGTGGGGAGGAGGCGTAGGAGAGAGTACTATCCTTCGTGGTCCCGGCGCGCACGACGATGCTGTTCGCGACAGTGTCGGTCCCCGCGTTTAGCGCTTGGCGGCTGATAAAAGATAGCAGTTACATCGAAGACGCGTCAGTCGGTGCACGGCCGTTGCTCAAGCGATCGCACGAACGCCGGCGAGCGAATCGCCAAGAGACGCAAACTCTTCCGCCAGCTCGATCTTGACAGCCGTGTCGCCCTTGGATTCAGCCCCGACGAAGCTGAAGCGGGGGACAAATGAGCGAAAGGTCGAGTCGTGGCGGGCGAACTCGAGGAGTAACAGAGTCCCCCCGGGGAATGGCACCGCGCGTATTATACCGCACGTGGTAGAGAGAAAACTAACGATGCGGCACGATGATGAGCGGCGCGACTAAATTCGACCCGGACTGGATGAGAATGGTCGAGTTGCGTGCCGGCGCGATGACGAGCGCCGGGATGAGCACCACGAAGTCCTCGAACCGGCTGCACTATGCGATCCTCACGATCCTCGACACGGTGTTCTCAGCGCTGGTGGCCGCGCCGGCTGTGGTCGGCTATTGGCGCGGTACTTGGGGCCTCAGCGACCTGTACGTATACCCGGACGAGCCGACCTTCAGCAGCTTCACGTCGGTCGCGCTCGGCTTCGCCGGCCTGTTCGCCTTCAGTGTGCTGCAACACGGCCTGGACGATGCACTGCATCCGGACAAGCACCGGCTGTCCTATTACCTCGGCTCCCGCCTCTACACCTGCGTGTTCGGCTTCTGCTGCGTGAACGCGTGGCGCGGCGCCTGGAAGGTTCTGGACATGTACACGGAGCTGACCGTCGGCACCGTCTTCGCGACTACCGCCGTCAGCCTCCTCGCGCTCGGCATAATGCGCGCGATCCGCAACATCTCCGCGCCGCCGTTCTCGCTCTGTCTCGACTCGTGTCCGGGTTACTTCGAAGTGCAGACTATGTTTCGCGTGAACGTAAGTATACAGCGCACCAATTACTCAGATGTACAACCAGAATCCTAGTTATTACGATCAGATTTATCTTCTTCCAGAGTGTGTAAATCTGAAGCGATATCCTGGTTGGTTTTGGGTATTTACGGTTACGGCAATTTGTGTGCGAAAGCCCTGTCGAAGGCACAGTCGCGACGATTCTGCCGACTCGGAGCTTTAAATGATTATGTCAGCCGATACTTTCTCCTTCTTCTTCCATCGTCGACCGTGAAAAAGACAAGCCCTTGGAGTGACGATGAATAGTCGAGGATTGCGATATTGTCTTCTTCTGTTTTTCTTTGCCGTCGTCGTAAGGGAGACATTTTTCTTCGGAAAGTCCCCGCAATTGAAATTACGACGAACGATTACCTGATACGATATTTTCTTCATCTTCTTCTTCTTCTGCTTTCCTCCATTGTCGTCCATAAGCGGAATATTTTCCGTCCGAAAAATCCTTGAACTTACGACGATTGTGAAACGATATGTTATTCACATTCTTCCTCCTCCTTTACTTTTCTCCATCGTCGTCCGTAAGGGAGACGATTTCCCGTCCGAAAAAATCTTCGCGTTTGAAATCGTTAACTATCGACGTCCGCGCGACGCTTTCGATTGTCCGACACACGAGACAATCTTTTCTTCTTCTTCAGCGTTTATTTCCCTCACGTTTACCGTGAGGGAGAGAGACACTTCCCGTCAGATTGCACATCTAAAACTACGTCGGATAATCCACATCTGTAACGAGTGATAAGCTACACCGGTGATAAAAAGGTAACCTGAAAGTGAGCACATGATATTTTCGATGAAAGAAAAAAAACGGAAGAAACACGAAGATAAATTTGCGCGCACCTTCGACACACCGCTGACCACTACACCGCGACAGTCATCGATGACTGGCGCTATGAAACATATCCAGGCGTTAATTTACGTTCATAGGATACAATTAATTGCATCGACATCACAAATGAGAGATGCGACTGGTAGGGAGCCAAGAGGAACTTCGGAAGCTCAATGCAGAGTCAATGGATCTCGACACATTCGTTATCGTCTGTTTAAAACGCGTTGAGTCATTCGCTGGCTTTTAAATCATTTTCAATTCCACAATCGCGGTCTCTTACCTTTGCCAAGACTTTACGCGTTGATGTCTGCCTTACGCTCATAAGACCCTTATCTTCGCTTGGCCGTGAAACCCGCTTGTTTTCCGGTTAGCCGCCGATTTTCCTACCAATAATAAGCTTGTCTCGAACTCGAAATGAGCAACTTGACGTAACAAGTTACCGTCGTTTGAAATATAACAGCACCAAAGTGATAGAATAACATCGACTGGAGCGACAAATTTCCGTAATAACGTGCGCGACCAGCTCTCATACACGCTTCAATGCTGTGAAGTTTCTCCTTTATCGGTAAAACTTGAGCGATTCCGAGCGAATCGATCGGACTGTTTCAAATGTGCGAATAAATCCAAGCAGACCGACCGACTATCGCCAAGGTCGGAGGAAGAAGGTTTGCAAAACTTGTGACCGAAAATCTATAATAATAATCACGAACAAATAAAGAGGGGATAAACAATTTTCCTTCGTCGCCTGGCATTGCAACGAGCTGCGTTCGAATACAGGATTGAGAAATTCGCACACGCGCGAACGACTAGTTCTTGATAGCACGAACTGTTTTCGACCTTCCGAAGATTTGGAGCACTATTTATCACTCTAGTCGATCCACGTGCGATAAATTAACCGCCCGATAACATCCTCTCGACCGTGATATTGTCTGTCTATTAATCGTTACCGATCCCGCGCTGTAAAGCGCATCATAAATCGTAGATCGCGACGGATCGCATGTGCCGCATTTACACGCGCGTCGTACAAGCTCACGTTATACACGTTATCGGTGTATAAGCACAGTTTCCGGCTAAGTCCCCCGTCGATCGTCAAACACTATCGCGCTTGTTCGCACTAACGTGCAGCGTGCATGTGTACTAATTTACGCGTATCGCTTGTCTGCTCGATACTTTCTCTCTCTTTTCCCCATTCTTTTTGTGAACTAAAAACAACCGTCCAGTCAATAATGGGATCTATTTCCTGCGTTTTCTTCAGTCACAATAATATTCAATTGCGACGTACGTGTTGCAATTGTGCCAGGTTAAAAATCATTTCTATCGAACATCATGAAAAAATGTCGTAATATTTTTTTATCCACACGATGAAAAACACTCGTATATGATTCGTTTCAAAGCTGCTTTTGTCTTTATATATTCATATATTGTTTATTTTAAGGTTTACTACCATATTTTCTCTACTTTAGATTATTATTATAAATGTATCTCGCGTCTCAATATCGTTTGACCGTTGAGGAAGTCTGACGTTTTCAGTTGATTTCGTTAGACGACATGTGTTATTTCTTTCTTTTTCGATAATCACGATGATACCTTGATCAAATCAATGGAACGCTTAGTAGTGAACGATTAAACGTTTAACGGCATTCTTCCCTTCTCGCACATTTCGAGCAAATGTCGTTCAAGCAGTTCAAGTGAATATGACTGCAGCAAACATACACGACATTTAAGAGTTCAAAATTTATTTAGATTTTTCTAATTGCATAATGTCTCAGTTTACAACGCGCGGTGCTTATAACGCGCAAGTGTAAGCCACTAACGTGTATAAAGAACAATGAATTACTTTCGTGTCCCTGTATTATGAGATATCGAGCAAAACGAGAGAGAAAGAGAGGGGAGGTAAATGCAGATTTTTATTACGCGATGTTCTCCACCTTCGCTTATCTGTATCCCGAAAGGATAAAACATGCAAATATCTTTCTTGCGCATCTGTGTCAGTGCATTAATTATTTATCAGCCAGATAAGCAGAGAGTCGCCCCAGTATTAATATTTAGCGATCTTTTATTATCACTTAAATAATCTACCTCGATATCAAGTGGCAAACGCCGCTCTTGTAATGCCAACGCGATTATTGTGATTGCAGAATACGAGGGACTGGTCATTGTACTTATTGGATTGTGCCTTTAGCGTAGGCGTCGTGGGCACGTTGGTCGTTTTTGTCTGGAGAGGCGTCTGGATTCTATTCGATCTTTATCTGTTTCCAGAAAATCCAGGGTATTCCGCCGTCGGCTCACTTGTAAGTACCCGATCAAATGAGACCTCTCGGCTCGTCACGACGATCGCGTCAACGTTTATTCGCGCGAATTGGAAACTCGTCTCGTTAACAAAGTCGAATTGAAGATTCACACTGTTAATACATTTTCGTATTTTCCGCTACTGAACGGAAAATTATAGCTGTACTGATCTGATATCAGCGGCGCTGGTGGAATGATACGGCGGGCATCACCGCCGTGTCACCAAATATGAGACAATTCGTTGGAATTAATTAAGACTTGTGTCGTGCGACAAAAGCTGTAGAAGTTTTAGCGAAGGACGAAAGAGATTTACAACTGCGATATCTGCATAGAGTTTCAGTCGATATTGGAATTATTTCTTGTCTTTTTAAAAGCAGTTTTCGTCTTTATATATATAAGATAAATACATGCCAATATTTCAAGGGGTAAATCTACACATTAAAATAAGTAAAAAACGTCATATGAATATATGTCCTACATATTTTAGTTTCCGAGTTTATGGATGATTAAAGAAAATGTTCGAAGTGCCCGCCTCGTACGTCAACACACGTTACTATACACCTTAGCATTGAGTTCCGAAAATATTCTTCAAATAATATCAAATCAATTTTGTATCCTTTTTCGCTGATCGTGCATGTTGTTTACTTACATACGTTGAATACACAACAGACTTTAAATGGCCCCAAAAATAAAAATCTAGTAGATTGAGATGTCTGATCTATGGATATTATTTGCAAACAATACGTATATATGTATATACGATGTATATATATCGAACTACACTGGTACCATGGTACAAATGCTACGTCGTATGTTGCAAAATTTGCAGTTTCGCGTTGGCGAATCGATAATCGTCGGACGGGTAACGTTTCTTTCGAGCGATAGGTTACGATCGAAACGCAAAATTCCTTATACCGTGTGGACAATAACCAATTCCACAAAATAACACGCATAAAATTGTAGTTTACACATCGTAGTGTTATAATTCAAAACAAATAAGCAACACACACTGCTTATTTTTTGTGTTTTTTTTTTTAATTATAACACTCTACAGATCCATTCAACGGAACAACGATGTGTAAACTACAATTTTAAGCGTTATTTTGTGGAAAATTGGTTATTGTGCGCAAGGTACAAGGAATTTTGCGTTTCGATCGTGACGTATCGCTCGAAAGAAACGTTATCCGTCCGACGATTATCGATTCGGCATGTCAAAGCGAAAGTGCAAATTTTGCAGCATACGACGTAGCATGCATTTGTACCATGGTACTATACCGGTGTAGTTCGATTATATAATTGAATATTCGCCAATTGCATGATTGCCGAGGCACATGGCACAATTGTCGGTGTATGCGTATGAAATGCTTTACGTTATCCCTGATTCGTCATTTGTCGCATCGTCGTCGGCGTGACTGACACGGGGATGAGATACATGCGATTTTTCAAGTACGGTTGCGCCCCAAATTTCACAGGAAAATCGATTTTATCTCGCGGAGGATGTATCGATAAGTACCGTTGCTTTGAAACTCTTTGGCATATATAGGGTTGAAGAGTTAACATGTTACCTGTAGCGTCGTTACCATTACAAATTATTATCATTCAATAGTGATTTGGTAACACATATTGTGTTATTTCTTTTTTCATTTTTCTTAGTAACGATAACGCAATTTTAACTTTTCGCAGTAACGAGTATAATCCCCAATAAGCATGAACAGTAACATCACATCAATGTTATCACTTCTTACTCAACGATATAAATGTGATATAACATGCGTTGTGATAAAATAAATACAATAAAAAAATTTATGTTACAAACGGTTCACCCAAATTTTTATATTACTTTAACAAAGATATATTAAAAGAATATATTAAAATGTAATATGTTAACGAGTTGAATAATGTTAATTTAATATATTTGTATACTTTTAAGCATATTTCCCATGTTAAAATAACACAAAAATTTTTATGAGCCGTATGTAACATAAAATATTTTACTGTACATGTAATAGTTACATTGGGAAATTATAATATTCTTGTGATGTTACTGTCCGTTGGTGTTTACTAGGCTGTTACTCTTATCGTTACTTTATGCAGAGCATTTAATTTTAATTGGAAACAGTGGAATATCTTGAAAACGAAGCAATTGACAAAAAATGATTCGAACAAAAGTTGTAGGGTTTAGTTCAAGGGACATAAGATTTTAACTTCATTGTACAGACAATGATTCAAGATCATTTCAACTTCATTTTTTAATAGAATCATATAGTTTCTTTTTTTAACCGATTCTTACTGAAAAATATCGGAATAAAGAGTGAAACATCTCGAAAAATGTTCACTTTTCGATGATTTTATCCTAGTACTTTTATACGCAGGATTAATAGAAGATAATCGATTTATGTTAAAAAAAAATATACGATTCTATTAAAAAAAATTAAGCTGGTTTTGAAATAATTGTGAATTATTGACTATATAATGAAGCTAAGGACATCAATTTATGTTCCCCTCTAAACCCTACAATTTTTATCTGAACTATTTTTTTGTCAATTGCTTTGTTTTCATTGTTTCCATTAAAATGAGGCATCCTGTATATGTAGAAATGTGTATATAGGATGAATGACAACAAATGGTAAAAAGAGATTTACAAAACTTGATGAAAAAACAACGGAAATTGTAACGATTCGCTGCTTTTATAGTAAGAATATATAACGGGTTACTCTTCTAAAAAATAATTTTCACAATCTTGAAATTATATAGGAATCTAGTTTAAAATATTGTGGATTTTCTCATGATATGATAATTCTAAACATTCAATGTGAGGAAACACGAGCTGTGTGTTCGATTCATTTTCGTCGCCAGATAATAAGACGTAGCGTTACGAAATTTCAGGCCATCGGATACTCGATAGTGGCGGTGACGTTTTGCCTGCAGCCGCTAATGCGATACGTCTGCGCGCGTCTTCAGGGCCTGGTCCGCCTGGTAGTCGCGGACGCTTTTCTACTGTTGAGTTTTCTGGGCACCGTGAACGTCTGGCGCGGTATATGGATCGCGTTGGACCTCTGGCTGCTACCGGACAATCCAGAACTATCCTGCTGGATCACTCACATCGGCTGCTTCGTCTTTCTCGTCCTCCTTAACTGTAGCAACTCTATTCTAGTTCGTGGTGTCTACATCGATGCCGAGGAAGAGGAAGGCAAATGCGTTGTATTTCCGTGTCACTATCTTCGATTGTTCTTCAAGGTTTGTATCGACAGGAAAGTGTTTTTTAAATTTCTCAGAGTGAAATTTCGCTGACAACGAATGAAAATTCACACTCGAAACGGTAGTGGAAATAAAATTAATAAATGCCGCTCGGAGAATCACAAGAATGGATATTTAATTCGAACTAACAATAGATTTTTCATAATAATAATAATTGCTTTATTAATCGAAAAATTTATACTTAACAATTTGACAATCTCTGGCGTTTATAATATAAATTATACGCTAAGGAGTATTGAAAATACCGCATCCGGAAGGACGTATCGGATTGGGCTGAAATTTGGTAAACAGAGAGACGGAAGACTTAAGACCAAGTGGTCTCAATTCATCGGCAAAACAACCATGGGTTCATACAGGATAAATAGGACGTGATCATGTACTATTGAGGACAGGAGGAATGTAACTTTCGGCTCAATCGGATAAATCCTTTTGTGTGAGACATTTTTAATGCTCTTAAAGAGTAGTCTAGAAGAATTTAAGCCTTAATCATTTTAAAGCCCCGTTTTATATGGAAGTGATGTATGCGACTGAATAGCGCAGCAGAAATCTAAACAAGGCGCACAATCAAATGTCTCAATCGATTAAGATGAATTTGTTCTTATGACGCTGGTGTACGTCAGATTCACCCTTCAATTTAGAAAGAAGATATTCATTTGATTCAGAATTCATTCTCAATATAACGCGAAAAGTCCGCTCGGCTGCCGCTGTGCTTTTCGAGTGGAATTCGCTCGGGGAAATCGAGAGAGAGAGAGAGAGAGAGAGAGAGAGAGAGAGAGAGAGAGTACCACAAGCGTACAAATTTGTCGATCACTCTTGTCTCACATCAATGTTATCTCTCGCCTGGCAGATCGAACGCGAGAAGAAGGAGGCGAGACGACAGAAGCTGCTGGTGGCCTCGCGAGATTTCGACGGCCACGTCGACGTGAACGGGAAGGACAGCGACAACGGGACCCTCCTGCCGAACAACACCACGGTGACGATTATACCGATGAGCGCGGACTCCAGCGTCGCATAGGCACCGAGAGAGAGAGAGAGAGAGAGAGGGAGAAACCGATCCGTCGCGAATTCGCGACTCAGCCAGGTGGGGACGATAGTTCGCCGCGCGCGCGTGCACGAGCTCGGCACGGAGCTCGGTGAGGGATAGAGTACAAGCGAATCACCAGCAGGATCCTTCCTCCTTCAGATCGTCGTACCGTTGTCAGTTTTGCGCCGGTCCCTGTGTCTCTCGCAGGAAACGCGCGACAATCCTCGGCTTCAGATCGGTCGGGATACAGAGTGATTGCGAGAGAGAGAGAGAGAGAGAGAGAGAAACCGATACATTCGTTTGTTCGCGACGTGCAGCAAAAGAAAGGATCGGGAAAGTTTTGATCGACTTTTTAAAAGTTCTCTCGCTCGTACTAACGAGAGAAGGAAGAGCAGAGTAAAAAGAAAAACGCCGTTCGTTACCGGGGAAAGATAACTTGTTGTACGAGTAACGCGTTGCTTCCCGGCCGTGAGGAAAGGCCATGCTATGCGGCCGAGGAAGGCGTGTATGGCTGTGAACGAGCGTACAAAGTGAACACATACGTTTGCGCTGAGGCAATACTTGCTTTGTACGATCATAGGTCGAATATCGTAGGTCGCGGGGCGACGCTACGGTGGTGTCGCGCGAAAATAGGAATATACGACGTGTACACGAGTGATGATCGTCGTTGAAGCGACGTGACGCGACGTAGGAAGGGACCCGAAAGTATTTTAGGAACTCTAATGCTGCCATTCGTGCGTTTTATCTACACCAGGATCGCTCGTGTAGTCGCAATCACGTCTGAAAACGAATGCGTTTATTAAAAAAAAGAAAGAGAGAGAAAGAAGGAGAGAGAGAGAAAGATTATTTATATATTTATTTAAGTATGAAAGAGAGTAAAAAAACGCGAACTCGCGCGCGAGAATTGATTCATAGAGATATTTACCGAATAAATCAAATATTATATAATATCAATTGTTGTCGCCTGTGTATGTGTATGTCGATTATTCTTCATTGACTCGTTCACTCACTTTTTTCACTGTAGCGTTACGGTCTCCTCTGTGTGCTCCACGGATTGACAGTTTTACCAGTCGTCTACGGAGTTACTTCTTGAATCTGATAGCTAGTAGCTCTGTATGTTAATACAGCATCTCTGTAAACAGTAGTAGTGTGACAGTAAAATGACGAGCGGAAGCGAAACGTTGTAGTTAAAAAAATCGTTTTACTTCATTCTTCCACGGATATTGTCGGTTTCTTTCTCAAGGATAGAAGAATTCGTTTAGAAAAGTTCACGTGTATTCGACTAAAACTGAAGCTGTCAATCTTCGATCATTTTGAAGCTTCGGAAAGATTCGAAGCTTCAAAGAAAAATTCGGACTTTCAAATTTTGGTAAGGCGAAGTTTCGAGAGTTCGTTTTCAAAGGCCGTAACCTTCGAAGTTTCGAAGCTTCGAAAAGTACAATTCAGATTATTAAAAATCTTATAATTCCAATGCTTCGGGATTTTCGAAATTCGATTAATGAACGCCGCAGCTTCGAATCTTCGAAATTCGAATGTCATCGAAAGAAAACGCTAGACTTAGTTGAAACCTGCCACATTTCTATTCGTAAAGAAGATAATTGCGTGCGCTTAACTAAGTTAAGTGAACTTAACTAAGTTAAGTGAAGTTAATATGTCATATGATAAGCAATAACATATTACCTTCAAAGAATTATAACTAAATACATTGTGAACAAATGCGTAATATAATATTATTCAATGTAATATAATAAATGTTCATTTAACTTCAGTTAAATACACGAAATTACCTTCGTTACGGAAAGAGACAAATGTGTTGGATTTTAACCGAACGTACGTGAATTTTTCTAAACGAATTTTTCCACCTCTGGTTGAAATAAACCGAAAGAATCCGCGAGAATATTAAAAAAAATTTCGGGTTTTTCATTCTGTTACTTTCGGGACTTCCACTACTTTTGATTCGAGTCTGATCTCGTTCGAAAGGAAGGAAACACAAAAAAATAGGGAGGGGGGGGGGGGGGCAGATTACCCNGATCTCGATCTCTCTTCCCGTCGGCAGAATCGTCCTCGTACGGAAAAAAACTGTAAGAACACGAAAAAATCACTGGTATACATTTGAAGAACTATAGTAGATTTCTTTTCTTTTTCCGTACAAGTCGGCACTGTCCCGGGTAATTCCATATACGGAACGTGAAAGTGAGAATCGATTCGTCGTTTACTTATCAATCTTCGAGTCATGTTCGAAGTCGTCTTTGATTCGTTACGTCGCGAAACGAACGTCCGACCGATACTCTGTTGGTACAAATTTCCGCACGACGATCATCCACCGTACGGCCACGTTATCGAACGATTAGCATCGGACGAGACCTTGGACGACGATGGTAATAAATTGGAACAAGACCGTCATGAATAGAATGTAATCTTCCCTCCCCCCGTATCCTGTACACCTCCGTACTTTTTGCTCTTGTGCGGGCCAATTACTGTATCACCGGAGTACTAATGACTAATTATTCGAGGTAATGACGGGACAATGGGCAGCGGGCACGACGATGGGAAGTGCTTAGTTCGACGATAAATGCTTGCCCCCCTGGCCGACATTTAATGTTTCCACAGCGAACTCTCTCAAGCGCACAACAAGCGACAGGACGGAAGAGGAACCGTTTTCCGTATCGCGAGCGGAACGGTCGTCGGCGATTTCTTCGTTCTTCTTCCTGGTCTGTTTACGCCTCGATATCATCGTGATGATCGCTAACGACATCGTATTTTGTAGTTCCGTTGCCGATATACAGGCGTCCAATAAGCAAAATGTTAGCGATGCTAGCTAATATCTTGGCAGCGCACTGAAACCGGGTGGGAACCTGTAATGTATCTCATCCCGGACAGCCAAACCCGCAGAAGCAGATTTCGCGCAGTGTCTGCTGTAAATTTTGTCGGTAGTTCACTAGCAGAAATACAACAGGGTCTGTTAACAGAGCAGCAGCAGAGAGTTAACATGGACAGCAAAGACCGAGCAGGATCTGTCGTTCCGGCACCATTTAAATATATTTATCCTAGTAAGCAAGAAATCATTAACATAACATTATTATAATTATATTTTATAACATGTAGTTTTCAAATATGTATTGTTACATACAACGTCACTGTTAATAATATTTGACTCAAACGTTAGAAATAATATTTCTACGCTTTGATTTTGATATCTAGGAATACTATGTTATCAAGTAACAGTTTAAAAATATTTACAAAATATTATGTCGAAATATTTATAAAATCCATATAAATAAAATCAATGTTTCAATCAAAGATTTATTTAGTGTTTCTTGCTTACAGGAATACTGCATACTAAAAAAAATATTCCTTCACGTTAAAGACTGTTGCCACGTTTCGTTTGATCGAAAAATTCGTTTCGCAATACAATATATATGGACATTTTTATCTTCCTGCACAATAATATTAATATTAAATCTAGCACTAAGATATCCGTGCTCATTCCTCATGGCCTTATATTTCTATCATTACCATTTTAACGAAGTTGTAATAATTTAAAAAAATATTCATATATTAATCTATTAAAATAANTATATATATATATATATATATATATATATATATCTTTATATAGATGGAAATATATGTATATATTCACTATAAGCAAGAAATCATTTACACAAAGTTATTACAATAACATTGATTTTATAACATATAACGTTTTTAAATATGTAATTCTTAATGTTGTATACAACGTTGTTAACAATATTTGACCTAAATATTAAAAATAATATTTCTATACTAGGATATTAATATTTAGGAATATTAAATTGCCAAGTAAGAGCTTGAATATATTATGTACAAATTATGTACAAATGTTTATAAAATCCACATAAAATCAATATTTCAAAAGATTGATTTCTTGCTTACTGGATATTATATACATAATTATTAAATATATATACGAAATATATATAGAATTATTAAAAAGAATTATTAAAAATATATATAATTATAGAAAACTTCAAATCGCGGCGGGCAAACAAGCCTTTAGTCCCGGTCTACAATAAGTATTTTAAGCCCAAGAAATTAGCTAATCACAGTTAATTATTCTTTTCACATTCGACCGCCATTAGTCAGTTTCTTAAGGCTTAAGGCTTAAAATATTTATTACAGGCCGATACTTACATGTATGGGCAATTTTCGAGACAAGAATTGTCCACGGGACAGACTTGCCGGTAAACTTCTACGTCTATGATCGCTTTAAACTAATATTTTACTTATTAAGGAATTGCAGAACAATAAATCCTAATCCGCCATCGTCGGAACTCTCTGTTAACGGATCTATTGTATCTCCATTAGTAAATCGCCGGCAAAAATTTATTTGACAGACACTGCGCAAAATCTGCTTCCGCAGGTTTGGCAATTCAGATATCCTCTATATCGCTCCATCGCCTGGCGCCAATACTAAAAATACACGCAAAATTACTCCGGAAAGATTCTTATCTCGTAAGTCGCGTGAACATCACGAAATATAAAGATATATCAGATTTTCGTCGCGTGCTTAGCGCCATGTACGAATCATCCAACTGGGAGATCTTCGAGTGAGGATCCTCGTCGATCTGCCGAAGCGGTGGTGGGCCGGTCGCGTCGATCGATCGATCACGATCGAATCAACGTGGTGGGGTGATCTATTTGAGGAGGCGACGACGCCGTGCAACGAGAAGTCAGTCAGCTAGGTGAGTTGCGACGAAAGTCTTATCGCTGTAAAGCGAAAGTGACGAGCGGCACGTCGACGAGCACGGCGGCCGCGGCGACGACGATCGAGCGTTCGCGAGAGAGAGAGCGAGCACCGTGATCGGACTCCTCGTCTGATGTGCATCCTGTTTGTCGCCTGACACTCTTTTCCGATTGTCAGCTGACTCGTCAGGCGAGCACGAAGTTCCTCGTTCAAGCTCGAGCGGGATGGCGACGGATGATCCCCTTCGCCGGGAACCCCTGATGTCGGTTGAGTTCGAGGTTTTCGGAAAGGTGCAGGGTGAGTACCGTCGAGTATTACCGATCGAACGTATCGAGACAGACCCGAATTTATCTCTCCTCCTCTCGCTTTTCCTCGTCGGGTTCGTCGCGCGACTATGTCTAACGCAACATGCTCTATTCCTTTTTTCTATGTATATTTTATATATATTACATAGGTGCATGATATTCCTAGATATATAATATTATATGAATATTATTAAATATTAAGATAATATTCTCATAATATTCTTAGAATGTAATATTTTTAATATTATAGGAATGTTCTATCGATGATATATGTCCATTTCATATAATATTCTTGGCATATTATAAAAATGTTTTTAGAATATTAACAAAAATAAAATAATAATAATAAATAAATATAGAAAAATAAATATGAATAATGTGCGTGCGTGTGTCTTCATTTTCGCGCCATTTTTGTATATCGACTGATGCGTTGTCAAAACATCGTCGCACTTATAAATCTGCAGTTTTCAGTACATTAACGTTATTAAATTAGCATAAATGACAGATAATAGTCTGTCTTCACACTAAAAAATCTCGTGTACTTAAAAGTCTCTTCATTGCACGTAGATGAAGAGAGCCATCTCGAGAAAAAAGATCATATATGAAATTTGCCTATGTATGATAATCATATATGTCCACAACGAAAAAAATACTCTTATTTACAAATTATATGCAAATCCAATCGAAATAAATGCTTCTGGCTATTTGTGTTCCTGACAACACGTGATATCGACATTTAATTAAATGTCATTTTTTTTCGTACAGACATATATACGATCACATTTGGTTATATATGTAATCACATATATGAGCGAAATTCATATATAATTTTATATAATTATATATAATCATTATTTCGCGCGTTTTAAAATCTTTCACGAACTTGCAGGTGTGTACTTCCCGAAATATGTGAGAGATATATGCCTACAACTGGGGATTTGCGGTTGGGTGAAAAACAGTAAAACCGGCACGATCCTCGGGAAAATGCAAGGACCTCGGGCGCTCGTCGATCAGATGTGAGTCTTACTGAGTCGTCAAGACGTCGACGACTGTCAATGAATCTTTTAACACACAGTCGATCGAAAATAACCCAAAGTAGATATATACCTCGGAAGAAAAGAGCCAATGTCCACCTCTTCGATTTTCATTTCGAGATGGTACACGTTGACTAGATCAATTTATACTGCGGTGTCGTCGAAGAATCGTCGAAAGAATTTCAATTGAAACGATCGAACTCGCGAAGAATGTCCAAATCAACGTTTATCAATTTTACAAACAATCAACCAGGATTCCTGTAAGTGAGAATGCCGGAGTTGGTTTATTCTCCCCGAGATATGTATGTAAAATACGTTGTGTGTACGTCTCGTGGTTTTAATTAGCACGACTAGCTTGACTTTATCGATCTCGGAGAAGAAGACTTTGGTAATCGCCGAAAGCTGAAAGCTTCATTAGGTAATAGTGATTAAGCAACATATGCCGAAATGTATGCGTTGTCTAATAATAAAACTTGTCAATAGCTAGCTAACTGTTTACACGTGTATCACGCGTGACAGAGCTCAACTGTATCGGCGAAGCGAGAAAATCCGCGAAAATTCGCCGCGACGAACCGCATTCTTGCAATGAGCACGGCGTAAAATCGACAGTGAGATCCCGTAGTAAGTAAATGATAAGTTAAAAGCAGGATTGGAAAGCGACGCCGTTACCACTACAAATGCTATCTTTCAGTAATGGCTTGGTAACAGCGCCATTTTTTCTCCACCAGTCTCCAACAATAACGCAGTTATATCATCTTTATTCTGGTAATGAATACGAAAATAATCGTTACTTTGCACATGTAGAATATTTGTATATATAGAGAAAAAAATTTCTTTCGATTTAGTACACGTGTTTGACTTGAGGTTTTGTTTAATATAAATAATATAATTGAATATCAAATATTGGTAAAGAAATCTTCGAAACTCGATGAAAAGGGTAGCGGGAATTGTAACGACTTCTGTTACTTCTCAAATGACGATAATAGTAATGAGTTATTTTTTTTTTTTAACGAGCGACGCGATAACGCAGCAAAGAGCTATTTTATCAGTAAGAAGAGAACGACAGGAAGTTATTAACAAAAAGCGATTTTTCCAATCCTGATAAAAGGTGTGTTTCTCTCTTCAAACGATCCCTGTTGAAAATCTCTGCATTTCCATGGAAATTCAAGGGAATTTATATGAATCTATAGAAGATATTAAAAATTCATGTAAGAATCCACATGGTGCGTGAAAATTCATGTTGAAATCCATATGAATTGTTAGGTAACAATTTACAGAGAAAAAAAGAGGAAAATGTTTCTTTGGATTTAGTATATAATATTTACTTGACTTGGGTTTATTTAATATAAATAATATGATTTAATGTCAAATATTATTTTATTTGAATGAGAATGTTGTTTCTAAACTATTTCGTTTGATAGAAAAAAAATATTATATTATTTAGAGGAAAAAATAAATATTATGTTTTGTTTTCGATAAAAAAAAATTTATTTTATTATATATTAAATATTGTTCCACTGAAACAAAGAATTGTAATATCTTTCTATATAGTTTCTATATAGTGTTTTTTCAAAAAATTTATTGCTTGTGACAATCATTGTAATGTTTGCATGAAAGTACAAAAGAAATATGTTATTCGACGTAAAGAGATATTTATTATTTGAGAAACCGGATAATTCTATTTATTGAATCAAACATTCGTTTGTTTGCTCCATTGCAAAAGACAAATTTGTCTCAATTGAAGCAATATGATTAAATCTAAAGAAATCTTTTTCTCTATGTAGGACCTTAGTTTCCGGCTAAAGGGATAACCATGGGATTCCATGTGAATTTCTTGCATGGATCTTTCATCTGCTTTTGTCAAGCAGGGATCAGTCGAGGCCCAGACAGTACAAATTCCCGAAACCCGTCCTAAGAATGTCTAAAAAGAAATACACAAAACGTCTTCTGAACGCCCTTCTGAAGACATCTTTAAGAAATTCGTTTTGTCCGTTCATCGTGCGAATTGCCGTCCGCACTTCTCGACACGTGGCGTGGATTCCAAATAGCGCGCACACATTAAAGTCATTAGTTTATATATGCGGCGTCCGTCTTCTTCTCGGCTCCTCAGGGCCACGCGCGGCCTCGGCTAAAACTGATTTTAACGAAGTAATGACGCGCAGTGGCGGCGTATCATCTGTTTCCTCCGGTGGAGGAAACGCCGCGCGCGGAGAGCCGGGCTCGTCGATGTTGGGCTTAAAAGGCGTCAAATTGAACGCATCGCGTGTTTCATCGGCATTCATCGTGACGTAGGGACGTCGTCGTTTCTCTCAGTGAACGACCGTTCTCGCGGGTTCTGAAATAGAGAGGCCGGCAGATTTTAAGATGCCACGAGAGAGAGAGAGCGCTTTATAAACGCGCACGACGAAATAGAACGCTTTTGCCCTTGAAAGAGGGAAGGCCGCTGAAAGGAGATGCGGAAAATTCGTTTGCGCGAACGAAGAAGGTAAACGGATCGTCGTGGTGCGGTAATGAGCGACCGCTTCCTCTCGCGAATCGTCGGCATGCTCGGAGAGAGACGGTTCACCTTGGAGGAATAACCGATCGATCACGAGGAGACGATATCTTGGCGTAAAAATATCCGAAACGCGGCCCGATTAGCCGCTAATTATAATTTCGGAGCGGTGCGAAGCACACCGTTCATACACAGAACGCACACATAAACACGGTGTTGTTTGGTAACTCGCGACGCGAGTAACGATGTCAACGTGCAATTGGCAGCACGACAAACGTTCGCGTTGTATGACCTTCTTAAACTTGAAATCGTGCTCTCATCCCCGACCGTCCCGTAGAGATGGGCGAAACGATATTTCATATCGATGTTTTGCCATTTGAAATACACGTTCCTTAAATATCGATCGGCCTATGCCGGCCGTCCGTGGTGGCGGTTATTTTTTCGATTCGACTGTCTCCTGATGACTCATCTAAAAATTTTAGCAATGAAGTTATTAATTGTGTGACTTTAGTTCCTTCCGAGAGGCTATTTTGTAAAGCAGTTAAGATAATGACTGAGGAACGAAGTAAGTTGATGACCTAAAATCAGTTATCATTTCTATAATCCCGTGATCTCAGCGATTGGCATTTATAAATATTTGATTTGGCATTCCGAATTAGCGTCGCGTCTCTCATGGATTTGTTTCCGACGTTTCGCATACATTTCGTTAACAATTCACTTTTTCAGAATAAGGTACGACCCGAGATTGGCGTTTATAGAGAGCAATTATAAATTATTATTGTACATCTCTCATAAGTATGTACAAAATAACACATATAATTTAGTTTACAAATAAAATTTTATTTAAAATTTTTCTTTTTTACTTAGAAAGTAATTTAGAGCAATTATTTAATCATTATTATAAATACATACCATTCACACTGTTATATTTATATAACGTATACAGCATAGGTACTTTTAATCATAGTTGCTTGTAAAAAGTAACGCGTTATTTATTTACGTGCTATTACCGTTAGTTTTTCAATGATCGTTACGATGTTATTTTTCAATGGTAACTTTCCTAATCCTGCTTTTAATCCAATATTTTTATGCAATTCAAGTATCGATATTGATAATATCGGCACAAGACACATTTTGTATATCGATATTTTCATCCACGATACATATCGATACGACATATCGATATATTCGGGTTGTGTCGCCCATCTCTAGCCCCGTAACTAGCTTATGTAACTCACGTTTGTGATTCACACCTCATGGAAACGGGACATAAGGGAGAAAGAAAAAGCGCGTTTCTTGAAAACGACGCGTGATCGCGATCAGAGCTGTTAGATCATGGGATTTTTCGATCGTGATTCACGTGATTTTGAGAAATACGCCAATCAGAACGCAATGTTTCTAGCACGCAAGCATTCCGGCGTAAGAATAAACATCGTGTGGCTTTATATTCACATAGCGTGACGTAAGTCTTCCATCGCGTGAGAATTATGATCCAGAAATCCCACGATCTAGCAGCTCTGCTCGCGATAGAATCATCCTCTTCGTTGCTTTCGCTGTATCTCTCACGGTTGACCGATCGACACTTTGTCCAGCGAGACAACCCGATCGCCTCTCCGAGGTGTCTAATCGCGCGACGAATGTCTCATTTCCAGGGCACAGTGGTTAACCTCGGTGGGGAGTCCGGGTAGCGAGATACATCATTGCGAGTTCACGAACTGGGAAACTGTCACGAAGCAGCAGTATCAAGGCTTCGCGATCCGCTTCTGAGGGTATACATCGCATAGTTGAGTGTACGTTTACTTCGTTAGCTCAGCTCTAACGCGCGCGATAATTCTTCCCCTACACTGAGAGAGCTCGAGATTCCGTAATACAATCGAGAGAACGATTACCATGATTTCGCTCGGATGCATTTTCTCTCTCTCTCTCTCTCTCTCTCTCAGTGTATCTTGTTTCGCATTAATATATCGTTGGTTTCCGCATGTGACTTAAGACACGAAGCAGTAATGTAATATATATTTAACGTATTTTTAATAAATTATTTATAAGCTAAAGACCGCCACTCTATCGTACACAACACGTCCGGAAAAGAAACGTTATATTTGATTACAGACACATAATGATATAATCGGAATATTCTTCTTACATCACCGAGTTCGCGAGCTTAACAATGCCTTATGGATATCCTTGGAAAATCGAGAAACACGCGACGATTCTTGCGAAAAACATTTGATAAATCACACTTTGTACCTTAAAATGAGAACGATTGCTTCGTTCTGTGATACAACAGCATCAACGGAGGATAAAACACAACACAAACACACACGAACACACGCACGCACACACACACACACACATTCGGTTCCCTTGAGCCCGGGTGCTATGGACGATATTCATAGTAAGATCTTATATTTAAAGACCGTTCTATAATAGCATAAAGTCTGCATGTAAGACATAAGTAGTAAGCTAATTGACCAACCATAATCGATTATTTTTGAACCATACGCCCGAATCTACAACAGGTGTAATAAGCTTTAAGCCGTAAGAAATTGGCCAATCACAATTGATTATTTTCCTATAATTCGATTACAATTGGTTAATTTCTTCCGGCTTAAAGCTTACTACATCTGTTGTAGATCTGAACTAATCCCTTGTCCACAATCTTGTTTTGAAACATAAACAGTAAGCAAATTGGCTAACGATCGTTATTCTTCTAACAAACTACCGTAGTTGGTCAATTTGATTACTGCTCACGTTTTCAAGCAAGATTGCGGACAAGGGGTAAGAATCCAGTTGGTCAATTACTATAAGCTTACGTCTTACTGCATACTTGACGCTATTGTTGAACGACCACAAGACTGTTTTAAGTTTATCTTCAGACGTTTCATTCCATTAGGTTTGTTTGTTTTAGCCGATTAGACTACTATTTTATCTTTAGAACGAGACAAATGTATAATACCTAGCATTGAAGGGGAAAGGAGTGAAGTTTCAGTGTAACACTAGTTCAGCTAAGAACAAGCCTATTGGCTACGCAGCATCTGAAGATGAACCTAAGACGACTTTAAACATAAAATCTAACCGTGAATACCGGGATAAGAAGCGAGAAACGCTGTGCCAGGATTGTCGCTCGCGGCGTGTAATTAAGCCGCTCACGAGCTTGTAGTTTCATTCTCACTGACTTTCGCATTACCATGCACAAGAACGTAGGTAGTGCGTCTTTTTTCATTAGGAGACACGTTACCTCAAAATCGCAGAATTACTCCAGCAATGTCATTTCGTTGTAACACTATATACATGTCGCGCAGCTTCACGGAATCCTCATACATTGTCATAGGATACGTGACAGAGTCGAGAATCTAGCGGTTGCCCTGATAAATGAACGTCGCGTCTAACATCAACTCCGCGAGATGATAATCACAGTGAGTTTTAGGTAAATGCACCGACACCCGGCGAATCAGTTCCACGGTGTCATCGTTCGAGCAATTCGTAAAGATCACCCCGGGCATGTTCTGGAAAGAATTCTACAGTCAGAGAGGCGAGAAACACCCCGACGAATGTGTGACGAAATTGACGTTGGGACTCACCAGGCTCTCCAGATATCTCGTGAGCGCCGGACTTATTCGTGAGACCTCTTCCAGGAGATTAGGTGTTCTCGAGAGATACGCCATCATTCTTCTTCCAGCTACGGGCAGCAGATCCGCAGCCAAGCGTTCGACGTCGCTTACCGCCGTCATTATCTGATTGTATGTGTACATATCATGAGTAGATGTACAGGGTGTTTCGGAATAACCGCTTGTCCTTAAAAAGTTATATTTCCGACGGATTTGTCTTCCTAAACTTTATCCGAAACTTAGTTTCTGAGTTATAAAAGGAAATGATTTGCTTATTATATAGGTCGGGTGCAGGAGGTAGGCGAGTATGCTAAGGGTCTCTTTTGTTCAGATATTCTCTATAATACAATAGAAAAGAATGTTCAAACTTAGCAGCTACTCTAACAACGTTGTCATTGTGTCATGTGTGGAAAAGTCCAGTTGGTTTCCGGGTATCTGATACATTGATCATGCATGGGAGCGACTCACTTTCCTCAATTTTACTCATTTATTCTAAAAACATCTTACTTTTTCTCATTTCTAAGAAAAAATCTGTTGTTTTTTTTTCTTACTTACTGAACCTTTAAAAAAAAAACTCGACCGCAAGAAATCATATTTAATAGCTAGCTTCTCTAAAGATAAAACAAAAGATTCAATGAGAGAATAGAAAGTAACAATGACTCTGACATAATGTTCATAAAGTGAAGAATTGCGATTTTATTTTTAAGCTGTTTTATCAAGCTTGTCAGAAAAACAGGCAATGACACACTGTGTTGTCATGAACACACCTGTGTTTTTTTGAAATTATGTAGTGAAATCGTTTGTCTACAATTTGTCCGCGTTTGCCAAACCATAATTCTTGTTTGTCCACCTCAAATCAAAATTTATTCGAAATATTTACGAACGAATCTAAAAAAAATAGGCAATGAGTGTCAGGAGCAGCGCACCTGTTTTTTTAATTGGATATTATTGAATATTATTTTTAAAAAGTTGACTAGCTGGTTTGCTTTTAACGGAAAAAAATTATATATATATATATATATAATATGTAATCTATATTCTACAGCGATCAATTGATCACAATGTCCCACGTAACTTTGCCTTCTTTCTGTACCGAACCCGCGCAACGAACATAAACAATTTCTTTTTATAATTCAAAAACTAAGCTTTAGACAAAGTTGTGGGAGAAGAAAAGCCTCACAATCCAGTCAGCCATATATTTTTTTAAAAAAGAAGCAGCTGTTCTAAATCATCCTGTATATACCGCATCGGTACATTTAAATATCGTTGTAATTATACGGCACATTCGTATGTATATATACAGGCAATAATAAACGATTCGCATTATCACACCTACCTCTTCCGCCAGACGATCGAAGCCGTTTACGTACAACTGACAGACCTGATGTATTCTCAATTCGTCGTTGTTAATCTTCCAGATGGACGCCAAAGTCTGACACTTGCCCATCCATGAGATAGCTTGCGTGGAGCTAACCGTCGTACCGTCGCTGGTCTCTCGATGGATGAATTCCATCGACGCTGTGATTACTTTACATAAAAATTCCGTGCGCGTATTATCCCTCTTATCGTCCCGGTACCAGGTAAGCATCGCTTTGTCCGTGATATCTTGAAAGAAATAGGGCTGCACCTGAGAACAACAAGCTATGTGTTCGTATGTAAACGTACAAGCGACTGGTGATGGGTGAACTTATTTTGAGAAATTGTCGAGCAACCGTCATCATCATCCGAATAGCTTCCAATGTCACTCGAGAAATCGAAAAAGTCCCTCTAGCTTGACCAATCCAATTACTTACCACGGATTCAAACAGGTTATTCAATGATTTCAGCATCTTCAGATTGAGACACGCTATCATGTACAAGACGTTAGCCACTTGCACATGTAACAAAACCAAGTCGTACCAAGCTGGCGTCTGAGAGATGGCCAATGTGGCGAACGGTTGCGGTCCACCGGGGTGCCCCTCCCACAATTCCTCCGATTTGATCGTCGCGCTGTCTCCCCGTTCGAGTATCTCAGCCTACGCAAATGATAAAACGACCCATTTATACGAGAAAGTTATAATTGGCCTTAGTTACGTAAAAAAAAATATTCAATATACAAAATTTATTTTTAAAATCTCGTTACCAACTGGTAATTTATATGTCTTTCTGTGAAAAAAAAAAACAAAAAGACCCAAGTCATGGGCACCTATAAAAAAAAACTTCCCACTAGTGCCATTTTTTATTAGTTGCGTTTTATTTATCTATTTTTTAAGAGTCAAGCTTGTCAATGAATATCCTTACAGGAAAGAAAATGTCCCATGCCTGATTTTTTAAACAATTGTAAAGAACCTCTCACTGCTATCTATATTTTTTTAAATCACGCATCAAATTTTCATTTTATTTTTCTCAAAATGTACTCTCCATGCAGTTTGGATCTTTCTTGCATAACCTATGGCCAATTATAAAATACAACAATTTTCGTGATGCAGTGTAATTTCGTGTTGCGCTTATCGTGCTGCTCGTGTCTCCTACATACGCCTTCAACATACTAACATCGAGAAATATATCCAGGAAAGTGATGCAGTGTTGTAGGAACGTTGTCATTTGAATGTCCGATAGGCCGATGTCTTGCATGCACAATCTTTCCTTGGGTAGTTTTCCGAGTTTGTTCATCAGCTTCGCCGCCGCCTCCATGCGTTTCTTTATGTGAAGCGTCCATAGCAGACAGCAAACGCCTGTCGAATGTAAACGTGAGTGTTACACGTAAGTAGGAACATCTGTCCGAGATTTGTATTCTGCAACGGGAGAACAACAATGCAAACGCCATCTACCGTGTCTCATATGCTTCATGGGGATCTGTCGTAAAACAGCCAAAGCAGCTGCTAGCGATTCTAATTGAGATACATCTTTGTTCCACGACATCGCGAACTCCCAACACAGATTGGCCAGTAAGACGCTGCTCGTTAAACTGTACGGGAAGTGCCGTTTCAGCATAACCATATTGTCTGAAAAAATAAAAGAATTTGCATAATGAGACGCACCGTTCTCGGTTCGCTCGGTTCATTATTAACTCAGACAAAATAATTAATTCCTCGCTAACTATAGCGAATTTTGGCACATGACTTTTCTGCTCAGTTTCACTCGTTCTACCTCACACAATACGAAAACCGAGAATGATTTGGAACACCTTGAATAATAATAAAATTTACATATTATATTGGGATGTGGGAAAAAGTTCGTGGCGTTTGGCACTAGATGACATTACATGCTCAGCACTCGGTAACTACTAATCGCATCGACAACACTAGACACGCGTGACATTTCAACCTTTGTTTTAAGCCGAAAAAGATTGAAATCGGTAAAGTGGATCAAAAGTTATTTTATTTTGAGATAAATAAGGAAAAGATTCGCACTTATCATTACGATAAAAGCAAGAACGCTTGTGAAAAAATTTGTGCTGTTTACGGTGAAAATACTCTATCAAAATCAGCAGCACGGAAATGGTTCGCTCGCTTTCGTACTGAAAATTTCGATGTCAAAGATGAACTTCGTTTCGGTCGACCAATCACCGAAAAGTCCGATGAAATCATGGAAAAAGTTGAGCGTGTGAGCAATGTGGAGATTGCCAGGGAACTAGGCATTGATCACAAAATAGTGTTGAATCATTTACACAAAGCTGAATACAAAAAGAAGCCCGATGTTTGAGTTTCCCACGAGTTGAGCGTTAAGAGCATGATGGACCGAATTAACATTTCCGATACGCTACTGAAACGGAATGAAATTGAGCCGTTTCTGAAGAGAATGATAACTGGTGATGAAAAATGAGTCACGCACGACAATCGAAAAAAATCGTGGACAAAGGAAAAAGAGAAGGCATAAGCAATCGCAAAACCTGGATTGACGACGAAGAAGGTGGTAATGTGTGTATGATGGGATCGGAAGGGAATCGTTCACTATGAGCTGTTACCGCCCGGTCGAACAATTCATTCCGAACTCTACTGTGAACAATTGGAGAGATTACAATAAGCAATTGAAAGGAAGCGGCCGGAATTGATCAATAGAAATGATGTCTTCCATCACAACAACGCTCGACCACACACATCTTTGCTGACTCGGCAAAAATTGCGAGAGCTTCGCTAGAGAGTTTTGATGCATCCACCGTATAACATAGCACCTTATCGTTTGTTTAGGTCTCTGCAGAACTCTCTTAATAGTGTAAAGCTGGCTTCAAAAGAGGCCTGTGAAAATCACTTGAGGCAGTTTTTCGACCAGAAACCACCGAAGTTCTATCGCGATGGGATTATGGCTCTGCAAAAATGGCAAAATATTATTGAAAATAATGGAGCATATTTGGTTTGAATAAATTGATTTTAATACTCTAAGAAAAACACTTGAATTTTATTAAAATAACGCCACGAACTTTTCCCACACCCAATATATATATATATATATATTTTTTTTTTTAATCTGTTTTTCCATCATGATAATTGAGCGCGGAAAATGTGAACTGTACGGTCATAAACAATTTTAATCGCTAATAATTTAAAAATCATTGCAGCCTCACCATTTTCGGATTTGAATTTTCGCCTTGTCCCAAAGAATTTGTCGTGTTTAGGACACACGGTGGTTCTGGAACACTCCCTATATAAATGAAAGATACATCACTTGCCTAAAATGCACGCTTCCGCGGTCGAATCGACTTTCGCTTCGTCTCCGATCTCCACAGACAACGAAAGAAGTTTCGTTTGTTCTTGCTGAGGTACATCAATAGCGGACGCCTCATCCAGCGCGTCATTTAGTTGCAACGAATCCATTGATAACTGCAGCTGATCGAACTCGATGTCGGTTGTGTCGATCAACCGTGCCGGATCGATGCCCGTTGTACTGAGCCACTTCGCGACCAATTCTGACACGGAGCCTATTCAAAGAGAAACAATACAGTTTACATTCGTCGAAACGAAGTGATTATTGCTTGTGATTGAAATATACTTTTAGATCCACGAGAGATCTAGAAGAATATTTGGTAATTATGTAGAATAAGGACTTTTTCCGAATTTTGATATTCTTTTACCGCAATCTTAATAAATACCTTTGTTGTTATTCCAATAGTGATAATCAAATGGGAGAGCCCGAAAAACATGTAAACTATCTATGTTTTTAACTATTTTTTCTAATATATGATTGTACGTAGAATATCGTATCCCTTAAGATTTAAGACTGAAATTGCAACAAAGTATTGAAAAGATTAGAACATTTATTTATTAGCAATAAATACTATTGATAATATAAAAAAAATAATTTTCACAAAAATAAACATTGAATTTTTGCTTAAATTGGAGACCGAGTCTTCAAATTGTACATTGAGTTTTTTAATCGTATTTCAAAGATATGCAGCCATAAACAATAAAAAAGTATTAATTAATTATTAATTAATCCTATATTAGATTAATATAACGATAAAACAGAACAAAAATAAAAGCACGCAAGTATTGTTATTAGTGCCATCTATTTTGCTACATAGCATAAATATTGCTTTACTAACATGTTTCAACAACATTTTTAATTGATTTGGCTAATTCTTTTATCATGAATCATTTTTCACCACGGTTTCCTTCGTTATCGCGGTTTAATTCGTTACCGAGCGCAATGATTTCAAAGATCTTATGAAACCGCTGGGTATGGTCCGAATATTTTCGTTTAAAATAAAATTCTGCAATATAGCAGATATCCATATGGTACTCGCGACGTCCATAACGAGGGATGTTAGAACGGATTTCTCAACAAATACGCTTAATATTCTGCTTCTATATCTACGAAATTATAAAAGTGATTAACAGTCAGATACTAAAATCCTTCCGTATTTAAGCAATTATATGCTTTCCAACAATCAGAAATAATCGTGGATCCCGGTAGAACATTGCTTTTATCGCATTCAACAATGTCTCAGTTGATCTGTCCGAAACACAAATACTTCTTTTGAATCTCTCTCGAATTCGCCAAACAACCACTGTCCGTCAATAATACGTCCCCGGTGGTATTTTCTCTTGCCAAATTTTGCTTCATCAATCTCAACAATACGGCCGGCCAATTTGCTTCGAGTTTACGATACACCATGACAAAATAGCTTTTCAAATAAAATGTGACCAGTCAACGATGGTATGCGAAGTTATTTCCAATTTTCGTTCCAGAAAGTTGTGACGTCAAAGTCATACGAACTTTCTTGGTTAATCGATACGAACGCGTAATGAAAAAAATTCATGCATACCTTTGCCTTTGGAGAGGATCAACGACAATGAAACGTCGCATTTTGTAAAGGGTAGAGTAAAGAATTGCGTCGTTTGGTCTGGTAAAAACTGCTGGCTAAAAAAACAATGTATTTATTATTCCTGTGCGCCAAACAGAGAAAAGAAATCTTGATATATAGTTTAATTATTTATACTCCGTTATATATATGCGTACCTAACAACAGCATTCAGAACGGTAACGTCTTCGAGATTGCCGATCAACAGTGTAAATTGACAAGTGTCTTTACTAACATTTTCCCATTCGCTGTTTGAACTGTGCGTCTCGTCGTCCGGCGTAATGTCATGCGTTTCTACTTCATCCATCTTCATCGTATTATTCCCATTCTTAACGTCCTCCCCTTCGTCCTCGCTAATTCCCAGAGACTTCTGATATTGCAACTTTTCCTTATACCTTTCCATGATCACGGCGTTCGCCCTGCATGCCAGTGCGGCGGTGAGCGCATTGAAAGGTTCCGTAGATTCCGTGAGGATTGCGCGCACATTTCTCCACCACAAAGAGGCTTCGTTGTACTCGACACATATTCCCTCCACGTCTGTCGAGTTCAAATTCGATTCAATTCACGCACCACGGTGATCACGAACGATCACCCGAGAAGACAATTGAGAACTCACCGGTTAACAAACAGATGACATGCAGAAGCTGCGTGAAGCGTTTCAGCTCCACCTCAGAAACCACGACTTCCCTCTTGCGCGTCCAATAGATCAATGCCAATTGCATGAATATGAATGGCTGAATGTTACTGTCTTTAGCAGCCTGTTGCCATTTCTCTTTCACATCGTTAGAGTACATCCATCCTTGGTAGATCAGGCGCGCTGAAAAGCACACATTCGATGAGAACGAATTTCGAGCTCTCGTGCATCACTAAGTACGTACCGATCTCGTGTATCTTCTCCTCCTTCAAATCCTTCCGTAGATCGATCAATCTCGAGGCGCCGAATTCGAAGCACGAGAGAAAGTCGAAAAACGCCTTCCCGTCCTCTTGAAACTTGACCTTAGTTTCCGTTGAAGCATTTGCGTCCTCAAAGCTGTTCAACGTCTTGGCCAATTTCATGATACGGTGTATCTCCCGCTCTGAAGTAAACAGTATCGAGGACAAACTTCTGGCGTTCGGCGCACCACCGGCTGTCACCATGTCGTATTCGGGCGCGGTGTCGAGTTGGGATTTAACGTATTTATAAAATGTGACCATTCGCTGTAATTGCGTCGTTAATTGATAGAGCATCTTGGCAGTAAGTTCCAATTTTTCCTCCTCTTCTCCCTCCTCTTCTGTAAACTGAATCGATCAGACAATTTGCTCGTACGACTGCGTTTCGACATTGCAGCAATACTCACGCGACTTCGCCACGAAACAGTTCGTTGCGGCAAGCAAAGCGTTCGGCAAAATATGTTTGCTGTTCATCAATACCTCCGTTGTCTGTATCCTGATCTCATTGGTCTTTAACTCCAAACAGGTGTTGGTGACCTCGGAAATCAATTTTTCCTCGTCGAATTCCTCCTCTCGCAGGAACGTCCTCAGTTTCCTAAGCAGATGTATGTCGCGCGCACGTTTTCCATTTTTGCTATTGAGCGCGAAATGAAATGGGACGCAAATTTCTTTCAGTCCGCCCAGCGGATCCATAAACACGCACGAGTATTGCGCTTTGTTCTTAGACACAACAGCAGCGTTGTCGTTCATGCCCAGGAAACCATAGTTGATGTACAATAATCTACGTGCACATATCGAGCATTATTGACTTTGCGGAAAAAAGTGTAAAAAAATTGGGAAACGAAAAGAAAAAAAAAAAAGGTGAAGCAGCAAAAATAATCCATCGTTTACCGTCCGTTTTTACTGGCAGTAAAAGTAGTGATCTTCGGGCCCTGCTGTATGCTCCAAATATCTATCACACCTTTTTTCGGGGCGTAAATAACGAGGAACAGAGTGGTGCGCAACGGGGTTTTCTGCACGTGTCTATTGATATTCTTGTGGATCCCCCGATCTCTCTCTTCGTTGACCTCGATCCAGCCGCATTGAGCATCGCGATATCCTTTCCACATTCTCACAGCTATACCCTTCCTGTTATTGATGAGTATCACTCGGCCCATGGCGTCCGATATAACCGATAACATCTTATTCGGACTGCAGGTGATGCAATCGCCCTCCCTCATGATGTCGCTTAAGCCGAACCGACAAGCCATCGTTTCCACGGAATCGTGAACGTTGCTCTTCAACGTCTCGGGTGTCGCATTCTTCGAGCTGCTGCGAAACCATCTGGCGGGGAATTTCGAGCCTGATCAATTGGATCGTTCATTTTTGGGGAAGAGATCGAAAACAGAAACTTATCGGTACGTACGGTACCGCCGTGCCGATAGCGCTGGCCAGTTTGCTGGCCATAGCAATGGCAACGTCCGACAAGACGGGCGCGTTGCCGCCTTCGAGCGCGTAATGGAATCCTACGAACGGCCGTTTCCCCGTAGCGAGGACCAAATTGTGTTGCGGCGCGCTGGATCTGTACGTTGCGTTGTATCCGCCGCAAATCGAAGCGGTCATCAAATGATCGAAGCTATTTATCGACGTTGTGCCGATTACTTCCGAATCATTCGAGATGTCTTGGCTCTTGAATGCCCATTTCTTGTATGATAAACTCGTGACCGGCGGCATATCGTCGCACTTCGCTTGGACTACAAAGTTATCGGACTGAACACTCAGGGAAATGTTTTTTCTATCTGCTGGACATATTGTCTGTGGTACATGTAATTTACGGTAGCAACATTCTAGCAATATGTGCAAGAAAATTCTGTTACTGATTTTTAATAAGAAATGTGATTGGCCTTAATCTGGATGGGCTCCACAAAAAGATCTTCTTGCTAAATTAGACAAATAGTTCAGATAAAAATTCTGTCTCTGTCACTTATATTGATTAGATACAACACACATGTGACGTGTTTGCCAGACATTTATCCATCTTATCCATTTATCAATCTAGATGATTTTTCTTATGACTGTGACAAAATTATTTTTTTTCGTGAAATCTTGGCCAATGTAACATACCTCTAGCTAAGTGGTTTCTACAGGCACGTAAAGTCGAGAATAAGGGAAATCCCTGCAATATGCAGACACCGCTGTTGTAAAAGATATAGATTTCTTCGCTATAGCCAGCATCTCCGTGTTTCACCGAACAGAACGACTGACATTTTATTCCCAGAATTGACTCATTGTGAATCTGTTCTCCCAAAAGCATTGCGCCTGTCTAATATGAGAAATAAATTAATATGGTGAATTAATAAAGTGGAATAACAAAAATAAAGATTATACACTTACTTCGGTGTAGAATCTAACAAAACCTGTGTTATATCCAACAGCTATACAAGTCCAATCCGGGCCACTGGCCTTTCCTAAAGATATTAAAGGCAAGCAGATCACTGATGTTATCCATTCGCTAAAATATACAACTTGATTATAATCGTAAATATATTATTTTATCTTGTCTTGAAAAAGTATCACTCACTTTTGTTCTTTCACTACTTCTCCGTGCCATGTTATGTGAAATTTATTTTTTACATCGTCTAACTCTTGCGAATCCCATCTTGCTATTAACAGATATTAAAGTATATTGGATATCTTGCTAATTATGTGATTTTTTAATTTCTCGTTGATTCAAGAAAAGACACAAACTATATTTACCGATAAAAAAATGCTTACATATTTATATATGTGGCAACAATGAATGATTAACAGAAAGATGACATTTGTACTTACAAACAAATATAATCATTTTTGTATTCCATGCCATAACAAGCACATCTCCAACTGATGACAATGATACATGACAGTCTTGCAGAGGTAATTCATTGCTCGGCACATAATCGACTAAAACGTAAAGCACAGCTGTTTAGGATAGATCTCGATTTACATCAATCTTACTTTGTTATTGAATAAAACTTACACTTGCTAATGGCATCACCATAGAGCAATTTCTTAATGTTACTTATGTCCGGTATGTTCGCAATTCCTTTAATTTGACAAGACATCGCGCTTAATTTGTCACATTCGAGAATATCCTTTTCCAAAGTGACTTAATTTTTTGACATTTATTTACCACTCATCACACTTGGTCTGTTCTTCTTAACTTCATTGCTGAACTGCTGCAATAAGTTAGAATGAGACGCTTTGTCTCACTTTAACGCTGCGGCACACGATGCTTGTTTTCGCGCTGGATTGCTTGCTGGATAGAAATACTGGTTGGTGCATTTCCAAAAATGGATGGTAATACACCAATCAGTATTTCCATCCAGCAAGCAATCTAGCGTGAAAACAAGTGTACCGCTGACTTTACTTATTGCACTAGTTCAGCAGTGCAGCTAAAAAGAACAGGCTGTGTGTGTGATATATTGCTGATGAATTCGAGTTATTTTTTGTTAAATGATCGATTATCTATTCAATATTTTCAAATTTGATTAATTATTGCATACAATACTTCATTCTAATTATCACAAAACCAGTCATACATGTATCTTCATTTTTCAGTATTATAATTTATCGCCAGGTTAAAAAGACTTTTGCTTCACGTTGATAAATAGAGACAAAATGTTATTTAGTCCGCTGTTCGATTGTACTACTAACGAATAAAACATTCGTCCGATTTTTGAGAGTCATTTGATAATAAAATGGTCTTTTAACTTGAGTCATGCTGTTTGAAAATTAAAGGGATATTTGATCAGCTGTTGAGTCGTACTACTTGCAAACAAAAGTAATTTGCCGTGAATTATACCATGACCTTGATTTTTCATTAAAAACAATGGCGATTCGTAGCAGAGACTGATGAAAAATGAAAGGTTTTTTTCGAAGAAATGTTAAATTCTAGGCAGTTGTGAATGGCTGCGTTCAGCAGAGAAAGCAGCTTTGCAACTGTTGTAAAATCCGCAAGTCTGATTGGTGTATGTTCTTAGATTCGATTAAGAGCATACACCAATCAGATTTACGAATTTTACAACAGTGCAAAGTTGCTTTCTCCGCTGAACGTAGCCAATGAGTGGCTACGTTCAGAAAACACAAAAGTTGTACAACAGTTGAGTAATATCACTCTTGATATTTGATGCCTGATATCCGATATCTGACATCCAATGTCAGGAAAAACTGTTTTTCGGAAATATAAAGGGGGATACGAAATTGCATCTTTGTTTTTCGCTGGATGTTAAATAAAGATAGCATAACGCTCGTGTCGTTGCGAGCGTTAAGTGGAACTGTCCCGAAGTCGCTAGAGAACTGTAGAAAACGAACTCTTCTATTGGACATCGCATTATCATATTTGAAATGTTACGTGAATCCTCCACTAGAGATAATAATTTCACTTAGTTCCAAAGTTTTCGTCACGAACCGCCACCGTCTTTATTGAAGAATCGTAGTATTTAATACGATTACCCCGATATAACGTACTTAATTTACTTTCTGCGCCTCAGTATTAAATAATATTTAAATTAATTGTATTGAATAGACTTTGTTTCTAAATTCCGCACTACTTTCGTATACTCTTTATATTAAAAAAAAAAAAGAAAAAAACGAGATCGTAGTACGACTCAACGACAGATAAGACGAATCGTTTATTTAAAAATAGTACAACTCAAAAACTAGACAGACGAACTTTTTATTGAAAGATAAAAGATCTTTTTCATTTAAATATTACAATTTTCTCTCTCTCTCTCTTTCTCTCTTTCAGACCTACGCATCCATTTAATAGATTATCAATAACAATTTATGAAATATTTATGAGAGAATCAGCGGTGAATTGATATAATTTTTGCTGTTCCTAAGAATATGTTTGTAATTTTTTTGTATTATTCGCGCATAACGTTAAGTTAATCCGGTCGGTTGGACCGAGAAACGAGAATTCTCAAGTCAAAACTAAGCGCACGTGTTGTATACATGACGTCAGCGACGCTAGTCCAACGTCACCGGAAAGAGCCGTTTAACGTCACGTCTATTGGCCAGGGATTGTTCGTGAGGGCCAATCGTGATCACAGTTTATCCGCAATGGTCGCGTAAACTTTCCGGCCATCTTGTTATTATTTTCGAAAATCTCGAGGTTGGATTTTCGGGAAGACGTAGTAGGTGCGAACGCCTTTCGCGCTTGTTTCCGATCGGTCTTCGACGTTGAGAGAAAGACAGCGGCTCTCGTATGAGGTTAAGAGCACGAGGTTACGACGAAGAACGGCCTCGGTGGGTATCTCGCGCGACTTCGCGGAGTCAGTCTCCTCTCCTCGCTGGTGACCGTCGCAAAAGTAGCGAAGACAGAAAAGGGAGAGACGAGGGAGTACGTGCAGAAGATAAAGTAAGAGGGAACACGAGAGAGAGAACGAGTAAGAGAGGACGAGTGAGTGAGTGAGTGAGGAAGGAAGGAGAGAGAGAGAGAGAGAGAGAACGAGCGAGCGAACGGGCGAGTGAGAGAGGAGGATGCGCGCGAGGGAGCGACAGTGTGGAATGACGAGTGTGTGTGTGTGCGTGTATGTGAGTGAAACGAGGAACGAAATTGGTCGGGCGCGCGGGAATCGGCAGTTGTGTGTTTGACCCTTTTACGCTTGTGATTTGCATCGATACACCGCCGTGATCGTCGGTGCGGGACGTGTGCTTCTTTTCATTTTCCGAACGGGGAGAGTACGGTGTGTGAGAGTGGATGCGGTAAGTTGGCGCGTCGTTCTCGCGCGCGGCCTGCCGACTTCAACGACGCAACGGACGGAGCCCGCCGCGGGGACGCCAAAACGCCAATGCGCGACGGCATCGTGGGCCGCCTTCCCCGACCGAGCCCCGCCGTCGGGAATAACGTTGTTTACGTCCACGCGCGATAATTGTACCCGCGATTATTTCACATAACCTTGCTTCCTATTGTCAGATGTAGGTTAGGTCGGGCGGTACGGTGACCTTTTCCTCACGGCACCGAGTCGCCACCGAGTCCCTTTATACTCGGTCCGCGCCGATGCTCCTCGCGCTCTCCTCGATTTCTGGCTCGAACGGCGCGAACGGAGGCGCGACCAACACGCGCTGCGTGCCATGCCACTTTTGTCACACTTATCACTATTGTTTCCAAATACTCGTGTTCGCCGTACCTCCTGCGACTCTGACATCGTCGCGCGATCCCAACGATGCTTTTTCCACGCCAAGCCGCTAATTAAGAGCCGCGGTACTTTATGAGAGAAAAACCAGGTAGCATTAACACCCTATTCGCTACCTCGTGGTCCTCCGATCTTACAATTAAAGATACCCTATAATATGCAATTGAAATCAGTGTTAAATTAATGTATCCAGCTTAGTGCTGGTTTTGGGTATAATTGAATGCATCGATGCTGACCAGTGTGCCCGTATGTTCGCAACAGGACAGTACGGTTCGTTATTTCTTGCTGTTTTTTGCAGAACAAAGAGGTTAAACCATGTTATTGTGTAAATAATGAGGTATATTTCCCTTTAGTTCGTAGATTTATTTCTTATTGCGTGGTAATTTTAATGCTGAATACAGGCACACAGAACAGTATTGATACAATTAATTGTACAAATCTCACATACGTGTTAACACATATTTATTCAAACCTTGTGACAAAACATAACAGCATGTTCTCTTTTATTTAGAGGATAAGACGTACGGAAGGACATAGTTACTATACATAATGGCAACTTTGGCTGAGCAAGCCTCTAAATTATTGGACTTTAATCAGAAATTGGATATAACATTACTCGACAATATAGTAGGATGTATGTATACTGGGATAGGTGAGCAACAGAGAGTCGCTCAGGAAGTGTTAACGACGCTTAAAGAACATCCAAATGCTTGGACACGCGTAGATACTATTCTAGAATTTTCACAGGTAAATATGTTGCAAGGTTATCAGTTTCTTCATTATTATTGCCTGCATGTACTTGCAATTAACTTGATCGACACGTTATTGTACAGAATCAACAAACGAAATATTATGGCTTGCAAATATTGGAGCAAGTTATAAAAACACGATGGAAAGTATTACCAAGAAATCAATGCGAGGGTATAAAAAAGTACATCGTAGGCCTTATCATAAAAACAAGCAGCGATCCGGAAACAATGGAAGCTTCCAAAGTTTACTTAAACAAACTCAACATGATTCTTGTGCAGGTGAGTAAACTTGAAAAACGATCTATATTTTGTTGTCAGGATATCATTGCTCATATTAATCATCAATGTTTCCTGCATAAAGGTGCTTAAGCGTGAGTGGCCAAAAAATTGGGAATCTTTTATCGGTGACATTGTCGGAGCGAGTAAAACTAACGAGAGTCTCTGTCAAAATAACATGGCCATCCTGAAACTTTTGTCAGAGGAAGTATTTGACTTTTCTAGCGGCCAAATGACCCAGACAAAGGCAAAGCACTTAAAGGATACGATGTGCAGCGAATTTTCACAGATATTCCAGCTTTGCCAATTTGTGATGGACAATTCACAAAATGTTCCGTTAGTGGCGGTCACATTAGAGACACTGCTAAGGTTTTTAAACTGGATACCTTTGGGATATATTTTTGAAACGAAATTAATAACTACTTTAATATTCAAGGTAAATTGAGTCTTATGTATGATACTTTACATATGTTTCCTACAATTGTTTCTTCATTTCCCCCCCGTGAAGACGCGTAACTTCATCGTCAATATTCCGCTGTTACATTTCTAAGATAACTTTTTCTTGCAGTTTTTGAACGTACCAATATTTCGGAATGTTACTCTAAAGTGTCTCACTGAAATTGCGGCCGTCTCCTCTGTGGCGACTTATGACGACATGTTTGTCGTGTTATTTATCAATACGATGCAGCAGCTGGAGCTGATGCTCCCGCTGGAAACCAACATACGCGAGGCATACGGAGCTGGTCAAGACCAAGAGCAGAATTTTATTCAGAATTTAGCCATGTTTCTCTGCACTTTTCTCAAAGACCATGCTGAGCTGATAGAAAAGAAGCAACTGAACGACACACTATTAAAGGCATTACACTATCTCGTTCTTATCTCGGAGGTTGAGGAAGTTGAGATATTTAAGATTTGTTTGGAGTATTGGAATGGATTGGCCGCTGACCTGTACAAAGAAAACCCCTTTATGACTACATCGCCACTTTTCGTGACTAAAATAAACGTCGGCACTCGTAGAGTGTTCTACTGCCCAGTTTTGACAAAAGTGCGTTATATTATGATTAGCAGAATGGCGAAACCCGAGGAGGTGCTCGTTGTAGAAAATGAGAACGGTGAAGTTGTCAGAGAATTTATGAAAGACACCGACTCTATAAATCTCTATAAGAATATGCGAGAAACTCTCGTGTATCTTACTCATCTCGATTACATGGATACTGAAAGAGTGATGACCGAGAAATTACAAAACCAAGTCAACGGTACGGAATGGTCTTGGAAAAATCTCAACACGGTAATTATTTATCTCAAGACAGCCTCTGACGTTACATAACGTGCATGTTATGTGATGGTACATTTAATCTCGTGTTTTGTGTTCAGTTATGCTGGGCGATAGGCAGCATTTCCGGCGCTATGCACGAAGAGGATGAAAAACGCTTCTTAGTAACGGTAATTAAGGATTTGCTTGGTCTGTGTGAACAGAAGAAGGGTAAAGACAACAAGGCTATAATCGCCAGCAATATCATGTACGTTGTTGGTCAGTATCCGCGATTTCTCCGAGCCCATTGGAAATTTCTAAAGACTGTTGTAAATAAACTGTTTGAGTTTATGCATGGTGAGTAGACATTTCGTATCACGAGGACTTTTTGTCGCTCATGATGAAACTTAAGTGCATTTGTTACAGAAACGCATGACGGAGTGCAAGATATGGCCTGCGACACTTTTATCAAAATAGCATTGAAGTGCAGACGACATTTTGTCACCGTACAAGTGGGAGAAGCCTTGCCATTTATTGAGGAAATTCTTTCTACGATTAGCACCATTATATGCGATCTCCAAACGCAACAGGTAAGATAGTTCTACTCTGCTTGACCGTCGGTGCTTGACATTTTCATCCGGTTGAAACGATTTAAATACTTTCACAATATCAGATCGTACCATTCGGGAATTTTTGATTTTCACATTTTCTCTCTTTCCCTTCCTCTCCCTTCCTCCGAACTGTAATATATTTATGTGACATTCAATTACACATATAACGTGCATTCTGCAATAGGTACATACATTTTACGAAGCGGTTGGCTACATGATAAGTGCACAAGCCGACACCTTGATGCAGGAGCAGTTGATTGAAAAGTATATGCTTCTTCCTAATCAAGTTTGGGATGATATTATAAGTCAAGCATCTAAAGTATGTAATACAATACACTGTAAAGGGAGAAAATACTGTGCGTTTATTTTAAAAAAATTTATATATATATATTTTTTTTCCTCGCTAGAACGTGGATGTCTTAAAGGACCAAGAAGCAGTAAAACAACTCGCCAGCATCTTGAAAACAAACGTTAGAGCTTGTAAAGCTCTTGGACACCCGTACGTGATACAGTTAGGGAAAATATACTTAGATATGTTGAATGTTTATAAGGTATGTGTGTGTTTATTTAAGTGCCGAATTCGTGCGGACAATGATATATAAGACGTGAATTCACATTCATTTAGGTTATGAGTGAGAATATAAGTGCTGCGATATCTGTAAATGGCGAAATAGTGATGAAGCAGCCTTTAATAAAGAGTATGAGAGTAGTGAAAAAGGAAACGTTGAAATTAATATCCGATTGGGTGAATAGGACGAGTGATCATCAAATGGTACGTTTTTTCACTCTCAGATTCCTTGTTTTTCCTTCGCATCGACACGAAATATATTAATTGAGATTTCTCACGGTCAGGTACTGGAAAACTTTATACCACCATTGCTGGACGCCGTCTTATTAGATTATCAAAAGACAAATGTCCATTGTGCTAGGGAGCCAGAAGTGCTTAGTGCTATGGCCACTATAGTGAACAAACTAGAAGCCCATATCACTAGCGAGGTGCCGAAAATATTCGATGCAGTATTTGAATGTACTTTGGAAATGATCAATAAGGACTTTGAAGAATTCCCTGAACACAGAACGAATTTCTTCCTTCTCCTGCAGGCAAGCTTAATTCGATGCGATATTCATTCATTTCTCATGTGAGTAAAGATTAGTTATATTGCTCTGTCTGTTTTTCAACTTAGGCGGTGAACATTCATTGTTTCCCGGCATTCCTGTCAATACCACCAGCACAATTTAAATTGGTCCTTGACTCGATCATTTGGGCCTTTAAACACACAATGAGGAATGTGGCGGATACTGGACTACAGATTCTCCACCAACTTTTACTGAACATTGAACAACATGAACAAGCGGGTCAAAGTTTTTATCAGACCTACTTTACAGATATTCTACAACATATATTCAGTGTTGTTACGGATACATCACACACGGCAGGTAAAATATAATTGAAAAAATACGCAATCTTTATTAATTAACTTCCGAGCTAGAGTCTTTAAATATTATTTCGAGTAACAGAATTTCAAGTAACGAACAAGAAAAATTATCTATAAATAACTAATAGATGTTTATATTTGTTACGAATAATAATTTATTATACTTCCATATATTAAATTTTGTTTCTTGTTACAACAGTAAGGTTGTAAAAAGTCATTCGAATTTTAATCGAAATATTTACTTCAGTAATGTTCGTCTCTAACTGATTAATATACCGCTGTTTTATCAATTTTATTAATTGCAGGCCTTACGATGCACGCTACAATTCTTGCTTATATGTTTACATTGATTGAACGTGGAAAAATTCAGGTGCCGCTCGGTCCTGTACCTGATAATACTTTATATATACAAGAATTCGTTGCAAGATTGCTTAGAGCAGCCTTTCCGCATTTAACTGATAATCAGATTAAAATAACCGTGCAAGGTTTATTCCATCTTAATCAAGATATCACCATGTTCAAGGAACATCTCAGAGATTTCCTCGTGCAAATTAGAGTAAGTAATGTTCGACATTTGGACTCGTGTATAAAATTGACAAAAGACATGCATGCACAGGAACGCGTGCGCGCCTACACACACACACACCAAGTGTTATATTAATACATTAAGATCTATATTCGGACATAAATAAATAAATAAATTCTCGCACCTACAGGAATATACGGGCGAAGACGATTCAGAGCTTTATTTGGAGGAACGGGAAACGGCTCTACGGCTAGCACAAGAAGAGAAAAGAAGGCAGCAAATGGCTGTACCGGGTATTCTTAATCCTCACGAAATGCCAGAAGAGATGCAGGACTGAAGTATCAGTAGTCCTTGTTTATCGTTTTCTGCACATCCGAATAAGAAACACCGTTTAAGGGATTACTGTATCCTTTGAGCTGTAATTATCCCTGCGACATCACCGTCATCACACCATCAGAGAACGGATAAATATTAATTATTTACTAAAACCGAATCTGTGTAAAACTACACCCTTGTCAAGGAGGTAAGCCCGAAACGTGGTGACTGTTTGTCTGTTATAGGATTTTTAAAAAATTCAAATTTCTGTTATGGATAACGGGACAATTGCCTGCTAGCGATGCTATTTCATGTAACGCAATAAAAAGAATTACTTCTCAGAGAAAGTCGATTGTCTAGAAGCGTATGTAGGATAAAACCTTACAGACTATCAATTCCCATTACTCAGAATTACAAAAAAACGATGGAAATGGCAAAAATAATGTTATTATTCTTCAGAATTACTGTCGAGTAATTTGATACATATATTTCTGTATAAGAAATTTTGAGACAAAATACTACTATATTAAGTTTCGTCTTTGGCATTTCTATGCGAATTAAGAAAACGATGTAACCCACAGAATTTTTTGTGCGCATTCTTGGCCGTTTAAATTTACAGTCGGATCGGTACGAATATGTATGTATGTATGTAAGCTTACTTGTGATAGCTTATACTAATGTATTGATACATGAATTTGTTTTTATAATATAAATAATACAAAGAAACTCTTCCTGTTCCATATTTTTTATTCGGTAAAATGATATATTCTTCATTTATATAATTGAAGACGTATCAATGTTCAGCAGTGATGCCAATAAAAATCATTTTTATTCCCTAAAGAAATAATAAATAATTGGAGGAATGTTATTTACAGATGAAATGAGAGATACGCGTGTGGGTGATAAAACTTGAACGAATGCAAATACATAGTACATCTAACAATTGTCTGAGTAACTTAAAGTTATATGTAAAAAAGTACACAACAGCAACTACCATACAGACATACATATATGTGTATATATATGTGTGTATGTGTGTGTGTGTGTGTAGATACATACATATGTATACATATGTGTGTGTATATATATACACACACACACATGTATATATACACATATATGTACATATATACATATATGTATATGTACATCTTTAACTTGTTAGTATGATTCTGATGCATTTATTTGATCATTATATGTATATAATGATGATCATAAGGTTTCAGTGAATACTTGGTAAATTAGTGTATTTTACTGAGCATGAATGGATAGGAAATTTCTGATATAATGTGTGAGGTATTATGTGCATAAGTCATAATTAGTTTGATTGGTAAAAAAATGATATAATCACAATGAATCGTATAGTGATTGTCGTGTGTATGTTCAAATTAATGTAGAGCTTTAAAGTATAATAATCGATATTATATTACTTAATATACAGAGAAAATACACAATAGGCTTTTGAATTTAAATATTTTGTGAATAATTTGCATAAAATAGTATCGTCGCAGGCTTTGAAGATGATGTGTAGATGAAGGTGTGTGTGTTTTTATCTGACGATGAGCGAAGTTGTAAAATAATATCATTATTATTGCAATTATTATGAGAGCCATAAAGTGAATACTTGTAAATTAAACTGATCGCAACGTATATTTAGCACTTATTCAGGTTCCATCCTTTCTTGATTTGTGTTCCTAAAATAATAGAGATCACACATGAAAGTATAACGTTAAAGCATCTTCCTACGAAGACACGTTATATTGAAAAAAAAGTCAAATTTTTTTGAGAGTCGTTTCTTTTTTATAAATTATTACATTATCAATATGTGACATAGAGGTTGAAAGACATCATAGAGGTTGAAAGACAAGTTCAAATAAACAAAATTTGATTCATTGTCTTATTACCTTGCTTCCACTATCTTTCAATATTTATGAAAAAGAGAGAGAGGGAGAGAGAGAGAGAGAGAGAGAGAGAGAGAGAATATAATTTTAGTTTTAAATATATATATTGTATTAATATCTTTAACTATCATAAAATTTTTGGTAAAACAATATAAAGAAATACAATAAATAATTTTAATTATACTAGTTTAAACAATATAGAGAAAAAATATATTCGGTAATTATATATGGTGTTAGTATAAAAAAAACAATGCACGGTAGCATGTATTATGCAAAAATTAAGATTTATTCAATTTACATAAATTATCAGTACTATAGAATATATTACGAGTTTTTATTAAATTTTAGTATATTTTAGATCGAATATAGTTTAGCGAGCACTTTAAAGAAGATGAATTTCATCATCATTCGAGCTTGCCTCCATTATAGTTAATACTACAAGTGCTTGAACTTTTAAATAATAATAGATAAATAATACAACATAAAATATACGTTTAATATTTGAAATATGATTTATAGAGAATCTGTGAAAACGTCATATTTATTAAATAAATATCTCATACATTTTTCATAAGAAAAATATATTTAAAAGGAAATGAAAATTTTATTGTGTCGCTTATGTGACACATTCAATCTACTTCGATTCGTCACACGCATGTACGAAAGCACGATATATATCTTTTTATTACATTTGGACATATGATACTTATAAAATGACAAAGGGCGGTGAAAAATCTATTTTAAAACTTATCGATAGAAATTGAATATTATTGCGCAGTCGTAATGCCTTTTAAAAATTACATTTATATATTTTATAATTATAAAATCATAAGAAAACACAAGAAGAAGAAATTATTCTATTTTCTCATCATACATATGTATGTAGGTAGGTATTGTGTAAGAGTATTACGTTTGTGAAATAATATAGAATTGAAACTTCTGTGTGTATGTGTGTATAGTTTTGTGTGTGTGTGCGTGCGTGCGCGCGCGCGCACGTGTGAGTAGATTTAAAAATATAAAAGTACAAAACGTAGTAAAGTATTTTTGCGTGAATGAAATCAACTTCTAAGTGTCTGGTTAATTAATAACAATAATTAAATGTCATTCATTTAGATATTAAGATATGATCGAGTCATTAAAAATGGCCGCCATCCCTCTTCCTGAGTAGTTTGTCTGTAAACAATGTATAAAACAAACCATTAACTCGGCCGAAATATATGGCCGTAGAACATATAAACTGTGTTTGAAGAGTGCGATATCAGCGCTATTTTGTCTTTATCGCATATTAGAAAAAGAAGGATAGAATGACATAATAGCGCTGAAAACGCACTCCCCGAATGCAGCTGTAATATTTGTATAATCAGTTGCGAAAAGGTTGTGATATATTTTTTTTATAAGTTTCGGACGCATTCCGAGCCCAATAGGAGAATTTGTTTCTTAGTAATTCTTAGGAGACACATTTTCCTATTGGACACGAGATGCGTTGTGAAATTTATTGAAAATAAGTGTCACAAACTTTTTGTGACTGATCATCATCGCTTGACAGAATCTCGCATACGTCGTCTAGGTTGCGTTTGAGAACGTCGTCCTGGTGTGAATTTTGCCAAAAAAGAGTGGGAGTATAGTGCGCCGTTCGTGACTCTGAGTTGCCGAATAATATAGTGCGAACATAGTACTATGAGTGCGTTCAGGCAGACGTTATTAACGCCATAAACGCAAACACTACTAAAGCTGAGACCAATAACATGAAAGTAATAGCAAACTCCATGAGCGACGTAAGCGTAGTGTTAGTATTTGGTCTGTTCTTTTTAGCTGCATTGCTGAACTGGTTTAATAAGTTAAAATAAGACAAATATATTTTTTCTCACTTTAATTTATTACACCAGTACAGCAGAGCAGCTAAAAAAAATAGACCAATTACTGCGTTGTAATTATACCGAAAATTTATTTCCTCACAACTGTTTATTATGTACAGGAAGAGTAAAAGAATAATGAATATGATGTACGATATTCTTGCGATATCAAGAGATCTAAGATCTGTTCGTTTTCGTTGCACCGCTGAACTAGTGCAACAAGTTGAAGCGAGACAAGTATACGTTTTCTCACTTCAACTTATTGCACTAGTTCAGCGGTGCAGCAAAAACGAACAGACCTACTGCGTTTTGGTTAGTGCATTTCCGAAAATGGATGACGATACACCAATCAGAACGCAGTATTTCTGTTCAGCAAGCAATCCAACACGAAAACAAGCATCGTGTGCCGTTGGCTTTACATTGGTCCTCGGACGTGCTGTGAATTCTACATTATTGTTACGCGAGAAAGGCAGCCACTAGTTCGTATAGTCTGCTACGTCGCTGTCAAAATTATCCGTTTACGCGTGTACGTGTGTAATTAGTAGGAATAAAGTCAACACGTAAATATACGGGCGGATATCAAATAAAATGGCTATTTGAACGGTATTTTGTTACTTGACACGTGAAAAATGCGACATTAATCGGTAAGCGTCTTCGTGCAGTACTTCTTCGTTGCACTTTCACTTTGCATATGTGTACATTGGAATATATTAATTGTTATCAGCTTGAAAAGAAAAGATTATGTATTGATAACATTTCTGCGTTTATCGGTTAATAATTTTAATTAATTTTCGCACTCGGCAATTCAACAGATTATTAATTTACTTCGACGCAATCATCCTTAACCTGTTATCGCGTTTCACACAATACTTTCATCTGATTTTTAATTCTATCTGTATTATCGGCACTTATAGGTATGTTATATTACAATTACACTGTGATATGCATATACGAATAATAGAGATCTGTTACGTTACCTATATTGCTTAGGAACACGGATTTCTCTATGCATGCATATGTTTATTTGTTTTTTTACTTGTGGCATTGATACAAAAGAAAAAGCATGAGAATTATATATTAGTATAATTCGAGAATCATATTTTTAATTCTAATTTAAAGTTCCTATTAATGTTCTTGTTTGCAGGATTTTGTAAAATTTTTGACTATAAATATGTTTTGAAGAAAAATGCCATCTGAAACAAATGCCATGGGCAGTGTTTCCAAGCAAGAGGAGGATATTGAGAAATCTAATGAACAGCCTGTCACATCAAGGACTTTAAGTTCTACAATCCAAGAAATATCGAGTGTATCTACAAATCATACAAATATTTATGTAGTAAATGTTAATAGTGACCAGGTATCTATATCAGATATCAGAACTAAATACTTGAACTCAGCTGGAGATGCAGTTTCATCAGCTACTGCTAGTTCTGTAGCAGAAAGTGATTCGCCAGAAATAGATGCTCTGTGCCACGAAGAGATGACAAGTAATATCGATATGAATTGAAACTATTTCTAAAGTTCTTTTCATGTTCATCGGAAGATAAAAACTTATCTGATTTCTAGATTCAAAGGCTGATAACGAAGACGACGAATCATTGGACATTACAAGTGCATCGGCATTAGCTAAACAAACCGAGGAGAATAACGACGAGGCGAATAAAAAATCGATTGTCCTTGCTCACAGAAATCTGTCCAGGAAGAAGTGCTTGCTGACAGAGAATATTTCTGAAATTCGTCATAACATCTCAGAGCTGACGGCGCGCTCCGACAGTCTCTTGGACTCTGAAGAAGCTTGTGGCAAAGATGTAGCAACGGAGGAAAGTGATGGTATCATTGTACAGTGCAAAGGTCTTGAGGGAAATGCGGGTGATCCGTGTAAAGGCGGATCTGATGACGATGTTGCGTCGGGGCATAAATCAGTGAAGGATCACGCAGTGCCGCGCAAAGTATCCTTAAAAGATAACGACGTCACTGTGTACCATGGCCAAGTGACGAACGTATTATTGAAAACGTCTAGCGATTACAACGAAGACGACGACGACGACGATGACGACGACGACGACGACGACGACGTACGTAATGACGCGAATCTATTAACGGACGGATTAGCATCTCTGCCTTCACACACGTTTAAGGAACCGTTGGATTCACAGGGTGCTTTACTGACGCGTTGTAGCGACGTGACCAACGGTGCGAGAACATCCGCGGCGGACAATAATAATAAGGGTAGAAACTCCCTGGAGGATGCGGTCGACGGGAATGAGGCGGCTGTCTTGCTGGGGCGCAAAGGGTCGCGAGACGACGTGACTTTATCGCGCTACAACGACACCGCGAGTACGAGCAAGCCGTTCAAACTGCCAATCTTAGAGAAAATGCACAAAACTGCCAATGTACAGCCGGCCGAGCTCGAGGAGAACGCAGTGGCGCTCTTGGAGTCGTCATTTGCCAGACAGGATCATTTGGAGGAAGTGCGTTGCCTGGATCTGGAGCCTCGTTCGTCGAGCGAGGAGAGCAATTCGGACATGGAGTCGTCTCAGCACGCGAGCCGCAACGACGTGAAGAAGGTGAGCGAATGTGCGACCGCGTTGGTTTTTCTCGTCCTTTGTTTTCTATTCCTGCACTGAAACTATACCGAACTAGCCCGAACCGACGAATGCAAGGGCCCTCGTCAGAGTGGTTGTCTGAAAAAAAAAGAAAACCGATTCGATGCATAAAGAGATCACTCTATCTTCAGAGACAATGCAGGCCCAACGGAGTTGTGACGCAGGAGGGAGTGGAGTATTATCAACTTTGGCGCAGTAGAGGCGGACTGTCGTCCCCCGAGTCCTTGTACGAGACCCTCTACCCGATGCCGCCACCACTTCCGCCGAGGGCCGCACACCGGCCGTTGCACAGGAGTAACGCTTTGCCGAGCGGCGCGCCCGAGTTACCCAAGAGGCATTCTCAGAGGCACCCTACGCCACTGCATCCCGAGGACTGCTTCGGTTTCGAGATCGTGGACGTTGACGAGGCCTCGAATCTTAAGGTTGACAGATTGCCTCCTACGATTATCGTTCTGGTCGCACCTGTGTAGACCGTAGTACGCAGATGATTGTCGAACATTTCAGTTGAGGACAGCGGTTACGAAGAGCATCGCGTTGTTGAGCTCGCCGAGGTCGCACAGGCAACGAGAGAGGCCGGAATCGGCCAATCAGTTGGAGTGTCCACCTACGCCTACGCATCGACCCAAACCTTTGTGCCCGTTGCCTGTCTGCCAAACGTCCAACGTATCATTATCTTCGGAGGAGCCTCTGCCGCCGTGTAAGTGACGCGGCATCCATCGTTCGTACTGAATTCGTCGATTGTGTATCTCGAAACATAATGACGAAAAAAATCGAGCTTTCGTTTGATCGGGCAATTTTGGCACCATAATGAAAATGCGATACATCTCACGCGGGGGTTGTTCGATGAGTTAATAATCTTGCGTCGGTGTCGCGTTTATTCAATCGCCTGTACTTTATTTGTACGAGGGTGAGAAAAGTCGACGGAAATACACAATCAACCCCTCCCGATTGTGTAAAGCGCACAATGTGGCAAATGTAGACGAACTTTGGCGATTGCCCCCAAATTTATCACGTATGTCTGAAAGGCACGATGTCTCAATCTGACATATTGATCACGTATGTTGGAGGTTAATATCATAAAAAAATATACGTGATCGCACACAATATAATTGTCAATGATCACCTACATTTGCCGCGTGTGGAGCCGGCTGAACTTTTCCTCGAAAACTCGAAAGGTTTCAATTCGAATGTGAACATCGGAGATGCGAGGAAACGGTTCGCTATCCCGAAGATGGAATCTGACTAACATGTTCTCCTCTTCGTCGATCTGTGGTACTATCAGCAGTGTACACGTTTCAGCTTGGGAAGCGAGGATCGACAGCCACGGCCGAGTGTTCTACATAGATCACATCAATCGCACGACTACGTGGCAGAGGCCGACGCGCTTAACGACGCGCAACACCGGCTGCGACCTGCGGCGGCAACAGCTGGACAGGCGTTACCAAAGCGTGCGACGCACCATTTCGCGGCCCGACAACATCGACCGCGAAGCGAACAATTCGAACGGCAATCATTTCGAGAACACCGAGCGAACGCCGAGCGAGCGTGCCGAGCCCTTCGACATCACTACGATACCGCCGGTGTTGTTCCTGACGCGGCCCGATTTCTTCACCGTGTTGCACACTAACACGGACGCCATGGAGGTCTACAACCGCAATCCGAGTTTGAAGCACATGATCAGCCGAGTCAGAAGGAACCCGTTGATTTTCCCGAGGTACGAGCACAACCGAGACCTCGTCGCCTTGATCAACTTCTTCGCCGATCCGGGCAAGGAGTTACCGAGAGGATACGAATCGAAGCTCGACCGAACGGGCAAGGTGAGCTCGCCGACTCCGCTCGAGGAGCTGCCTCCCGATAATACCCGTAATGCTCGTCTTGTAACCAGATGAAATTGTAATTTCAGAGATTTTTTATATGTCATGCTAGAAAGGCGACCTCTTTTATCGATCCACGATTACCTACCGAATCCGCACACGTGCGAACGTTGCTGGACGAAGCTCCTGTACCGCCGCCTAGGCCGCAGCAGTCGTCCGTAACCGCTACGCCCGACATACCCGTGGCCTACAATGACAAAGTAGTCGCTTTCCTACGTCAGCCTAATATAATAGATATTCTGAAGGAGAGACATTCCGCATTAGGGCAGAATATCGCGCTGCGGGAGAAGGTTAACACTATTAGGGTCGAGGGAACCACAGCGTTACAGAGAATGGGACACGACGTTCCTCTGGCGTTATTGCTAAGGTAGGAAACGCCCGTGGAGAGAGATGATAAATCCGTATGTTGATCGGCCTTTCCCGTAGATTGTGCGGCGGTTCTCTGATCGTCACGTTATCGCTTTACAGTTTATTTGAACAAGAGATCATGTCGTACGTACCTGGTAGTATGGGTAGATCTCCGCTCGGTAGTCCGCACGCGTCACCCGGCTTGACGAGGGCTTCCGCCAGAGCCCCGGCGCCGTACAGAAGAGATTTCGAGGCCAAACTTCGGACGTTCTACCGAAAGCTCGAGAGCAAAGGCTACGGCCAAGGCCCGGGTAAATTGAAGTACGTTTCAGCCATCGTGTGTTCTTGTAGCGCTAATGGCTTATTTTTGACACACTTGTAGATTCTATCTTTCCCATTTTTTCTTCGGATTTTTATCACTGGGCAGCCTTCTTCATAAAGTTCGAAAAATTACAAAACAAGAGGTGGATCAAAAGTGACTTATTTGCAGTTTTAACAAATCACTTTCTATCACTTTTTCCTGACAAGTCGCTAAAAAATTCTATCGTCCAGAATAAATTACTACGTCACTTTTTTCGCGAACTCCCGTTGTAAAATATAAGCATTTTATATATTTCTTTGCCGTTTCGTCTGCTGCCGATTGCTCTGTATTTATGAAGCGTATTGTCCTTTGTTTCAGAGCTGCTAGAGATTGTGGGACGCGAGATACCAATGTATATATATGCGCATACCATGTTCGCGTGAACTTCGCTATTCGCCATTTCGGCTATATAAATATATTATGCGCATGTATGGTGACATACCGCGTCTCATGATCTCTGCTTGGTCTTGTTATGAACTTTCAAACTACCATATTATGAAAACAAACTCGTGTTAAGTTATCCAAAGATAAACTTGAGGAGATAAGAGTATGTTACTATTCCCAGAATTTGATAAAAAAATGTTTTTTTTTTCTTCACTATTTTCATATCTGAGAAGTTACTTTTTATCAGGAAGCAGAAATTATTCCATTTCTTTTTGCTCTGGATGGCATAGCTGTTTTCGTAAATATATCCAGATTGTTATTGTTTCGTCGCGAGACTTACACTTTCGTCTCTACATGCTTATGCGCAGGTTGCACATTAGGAGAGAACACTTGCTCGAGGACGCTTTTACGCGTATAATGGCCGCGTCGAAGAAAGACTTGCAGAAAGGTAAACTGGTGGTGATCTTCGACCACGAGGAGGGTTTGGATTACGGCGGGCCGTCCCGAGAATTTTTCTTTCATTTGTCGCGCGAGCTGTTCAATCCTTATTACGGATTGTTTGAGTACTCGGCCAACGATACTTACACCGTGCAAATCTCGCCGATGTCGGCTTTCGTGGACAACTATCACGATTGGTTCCGCTTTTCGGGCAGGGTTCTAGGCTTAGCGTTAGTCCACCAATATCTGCTCGACGCGTTCTTCACTAGGCCATTTTACAAGGCGCTCCTAAGGATACCGGCGAGCTTGAGCGACCTGGAGAGCTTGGACCAGGAGTTCCATCAGAGTCTGATGTGGATCAAAGAGAAGGACATCAGCATCGAGCCGTTGGAGCTGACGTTCTCGGTGACGGAGGAGCTCCTAGGTCGAGTTGCTGAGCGCGAGTTGAAGCCAGGCGGCAGGAACATCGCGGTCACCGAGAAGAACAAGAAGGAGTACCTCGAAAGGGTGGTGCGTTGGCGTCTGGAACGCGGCGTGGCCGAGCAAACGGAGTCGTTGGTCCGTGGCTTCTACGAGGTGGTGGATCCGCGCTTGGTGTCAGTTTTCGACGCCCGCGAGCTGGAGCTAGTGATCGCCGGCGCGGCCGAGATCGACCTGAACGACTGGCGAACGCATACCGAGTACAGGAGCGGATATCACGACGCGCACCCGGTAGTAGAGTGGTTCTGGAGCAGCATTAGCCGGTTCACCAACGAGCAACGCTTGCGATTACTGCAGTTCGTTACCGGCACTTCGAGCATTCCGTACGAAGGATTCGCGGCGCTGCGGGGCTCCACGGGACCGAGGAAGTTCTGCATCGAGAAATGGGGCAGGCCGAACAGTTTACCAAGGTATTCCTCTCTCTTCATCAACTCACGGACGTTGCGTCTTTTGTAATACAGGATATTACATGACATATGAGGAGTATATTTCTGGTGTAAATTGAAGTAGAAAATACTTCGTAACGTAAATCCGATTCAGACCAGTTGTTCATACACAAAATTTTAAGTTTATAAATGATACAGTACATTTTTTGGAACATTTTTTTTATACAAATGGAAAGAAAGAAAATATAAAATTTACAAGTTTAGTATACGAAAAGAAAATTAATACTCCGGCTGAATTAATATAGCGTATTAATGACAAACAATCATGACGGTCTTCGTGCGGCTACTCGATCCATTTTAGATATCGTATCGCATCAAAACAAATAATGAAGGACAATTTGTATGTTTTTTCCTTATTTCCCATTTTTGATAAAAAAAATGTTCCAAAAGATTGTGCTATCGTTTAAAAAACTTTAAGGAGGTTGTGAATGTTGTATTTTCACTAGCGTATTTTGAGAGGAACGCTCATAAATTCAGTATTTATGAAAACAAAATTATGTTCCTACACATTTATTTCATTACCAAAATGAGAAATGTTAATTTGAAACGAAGTTGAGGTAAAAATATATACGCAATATTACGAATACAAAAATATTATTTTTCATTTTTCTTATTAATGCTATATTTATGTATCAGCTGATCTGATAGAGATGCACAGATAATAGAAAAAGATATATATAAGTGTTTAAATATATGTATTTCGAATATTACTATAAACTTTACACCGTTGTATTTTCAAAACAAAATGGTCAACATAATTCTAAAATTTGTGTATAAAATGTCTGCATATTAGTCCTTAACATTATAGTAGTTTTCATCAAAATCTTATTTTTAATTTAGAAGATATTAAAAATAGAGCTCAAAAATAACATGCTAATCTTGAAAACACATAAAAGGTAAGACATATTATATCTTTTTTTCTATTCAAAATATGTTCTTAAAGTTTATACATAGTATGTATATGCATAACACTTTACATGATTCGCTCAGGGTGTGTATAAAAGCAATGAAAAGTTGGTTTTAATGAGTTGAGCATCATTATCGCCAGGATATGGCCAAGTCTACTCTATTTCTGAAGTTGAAAACTTCTTTGTTTGATCAACAGAATTCTAAAAAAGGATCAATGTACACGAGTGGATTTAGTGCGATAAAAATTCAAAGTCAAATTATCACATTATTTCTTCATTTAGAGTGCTGTGAAGGTATATGTAATTAGGTATCTCAGTTTGATCAACGCTTCCGATATTTTTTCTCCGAAAAGTAGGAAAAGTTAAGGATTTAAATATCGCATCGTCATCGCCTGTCCTTCTCATGATTATTGTTGTGTGTTTCAGGGCGCATACATGTTTCAATCGCTTGGATCTCCCACCTTATCCCACGCCCGAGATTTTATACGAAAAACTGTTGTTAGCCGTGGAGGAGACGAATACCTTCGGCATAGAATAAAGCAACGCGCGCATTGAATTTATAAATTATAAAGAATTTGTACAATCGATAGAATATACGACGAGTCGCACTTTCTCTTAAGGAGGGATAGGTTTTTTGTACATGGGCCTAACAGCTTACGAATTACGCGGTTCTTTACTAATTCGACTTATTCAAATCATGTAAATAAATCGAACGAATTTTGCAGCCTCGTGATGTTTCTCGGAGTTCTCGCGCTTTCGGGAAATGTACGCGCGATTTATCGAAGTGACGTAGGCAGATTCTCCCTTCGGATTTTCACGAATTTCTCACAGTGAATTGCGATTTGTTCGGCGAACGAAGACGCGATGTGCGAGAATAATCAGACAACTTTCTTTCATTATCCTTGGATACACCGATCCTGGGCGAACTTCTTGCCTTACGATTACGTGCTTTAGTCTTGATGGCTGCCAAGTATCTCGTTCGCAACGTTTAAAAGCAAAGTCGCTTCCATAACGACCGCCCCGTTCGTTGCCACAGTTGCCGTGAGGACATCGTGTCCAGGACAATCGATGGAGGACACAACAGGGACTAACTGGTGTATCTTCCTGTGCAAACAGAGCGTAAACTAGGAAATGAATCCTTACCGGATTCTTAACATTCTGGCGGGGGACACTCCTCATTATCGCATTTATAAAATTTCGCGTGTGTGTCTGAGCTTAATAATGATATTCCTCTACAATTCGTTTTCAAAGCGAGTAATCCATGCCCGAAGCAGTCCTTACAATCGTTGACTTTCCGTGCGATACGCACCCGGTAATGCCGGCATTAATTGTTGCTCGTCTACTCCGCGAGGCAACGCGAATAAATCAATTTATTCACGCGTATTTTAATTTTATATAATTATATATAACTATAATTTATATTTAATATTTATAATTGTAAATTTTAATTTTATATATAATTATTAATCAACACATCACAATTATGTATAATTATAATAATTTATGTCTGGTAATTTATAATTGTGTAAATTATAATTATATATGATTATATCTATAACTTATATCTAATAATTTATAATTCTATAAATTATAATTCTAATAAATTATAATTTTGATAGGTCTTGTGCTTGTGGAGATTCAGTCAACCGGTGATAATTCATCTCGGGTTCTCCGTCGCTGCGTATTTCTCACAACTGCGACGACGATGACACATGGCGTCTCGCGACGTTGTCGCATCTATTCACACGAGGTACAATTCCGGCGTTCGTTCCCTTCGCCAGAGAACTGTACAGTGCAGAACGTAATCTGTTTATTCTAACTCCGCATTTCTCGATACGATTGTTAATTAAGTGCGCATTACAAGTCAACCCTATCCCCTCCCGTTTCTCGGTCTCTCTCTTCTCTCATCCTTGTTTTTTCTCTCCTCTCGTTCTCGCGGGAAATCGCTTATTGAAATTGGTTGGAAATTTGTTCACCAACACGTTTCAACGCATAAATTTCAACAAAAACGAACACATTCCGGGAGTCATTACGTTACGTACGTGGGCTCTTGAGGTTGAAGAGATTAATTACAGACACGGCAAAGAACACGCTACTACCACTGCTACTCTATCGCTAATTATTACTATATTACTATTACCGCCGCAACTATACTGTTAATACTACCATTGGTATCACTACTACTTAAATGAATAATACTAATATGAATATACTGTGCTGTTATATAATTACTATTTTTATCATTAACTGCGATAATTATCGCTTTCACTTGGATCTCGATATAAGATTTTTCGCAAGAAGAATTAGTACACTATGAGTACCGATTACGCACGAAATTATATTTCATAGCCTCGCTAATTGCTTCAAACGGTATGCGTACATTAGGATGGTTCTTCTTCCTCTGTTTTCTTGTTTCTTATAACGAACTAATGTGCCGAATTAGATTACCGTAAGATACGATGTTACATAAGAATTGAGTTTATTGTAGCGTAAATGGAAATTGTTGTATTCAATTCTGCCACGTGATACATCGGTATTTTCACGTTTCTTTCTGTTATGCTACATCGAGATTCGAGTGTACATTCGTCCTTATAAGAACGCCATTTAATTTTTCATCCACGACCATCACTACCCATCTCTAGTCCATGAATTGAAACTCGACGTGCAGCTGCATTTTATTGTATTTTAACATTCCGACTCTTGTTATTCATATTTAAAGAGTTTATGGTGTGAATGTTGATGCAAATATCACCTCTGATGAGTTGATCGTTTAAAAAATGTTCATCGACGAAGAGCACAGACCTTTCACCTTTATTTCTATTTTTTCTCTTAGTCATGATGCAAGAATAATGTATAGGCTCTTTGAGATATTTTGCACATAGAATAATGAAAAAGTTAAGGGATAATTCATACACGAGAAATATAGACTTATTACGATATCTTTATATTATGTATAAGAGCGTATATGTTGTTATGTATATATATATATATATTTATTTATATAAATATATATATATATTTATTTATTTATTTATTATTAGATCCTCTCTCCTAATGAAAGTTATGTATTTGTACAGCTGTCATATAGTCGTTATATATGAGCCATAAATAAAATACAACGAACAAAGGACAACGGTGTTATTGACTAATGTCTTGACAAACGAATGATTTATTTTGCAGTTTGAGAATTTTCTTGGATGCTATTTATTGCCGAAATATTTAACTAAATTCTGTGTTCATCTTTTTTGGAATTATATATAAAAACATATTATTATATCGTAGAGTTTTTATATTAATTCAAAAATTTTTTTCTCATCCACGATACAATGAGTGCGCTTATATATATATATATATATATATATAATTTGACACAATATTTATAAATATTTATCTTACTTGTCGGTCTTATTGGTTTGGCAGTTAAAAATTTCCATTCTCCCATGTGAACATAGCACTTGTATCTTTCGATTTCTAATCAACTGCATATTCACTATCCAGAGAGGGTTCTGGCTTTTCGTCACTTTTTATATATTTTACTTCGTCGTTTTGCCAATTTTCATCGTAATTTTCCCCCGTTTTCGGCTCAATGTCTACGTAAAATATTTGTCATTACTAATTCCATAATGAAAGTATAACTTGAAAAAGTAACATATATGGCATAGTCGGTATTCGACATATGTGTGTATACAATGTTATAGCCCGATATAATTATCAAGAAATTCACGGTTAATAATGAGAAAAAGATTAATAAAGTAAATAGATATAGAGTTTCTTAGTCACATCGATACATACTAATAGTAGTCATTCCCACAAATCAATTCGGGATGGTTTTTCTTTATCAAAACTTAAGAGTATCCTTAACAAAGAAATTTCTTCAAGACAGAATTTTATAGGCCTTTTTAATTATCTTATTACCTTTATCGTCCCATGACATTATACCCCTAAACTGGATTGAATGTTGCGATTTCGTCTTCAACTTGAAATTCTTAATGTCATCTTCAAACAAACGTTTCTGTCGCATTTGATTTTTGAGAATTCTCTCCAACTTTCTTATATCGTCCTTGTATGTCTTTTCCAGCTGCAACATTTCCTCCTATAAATACAGTAAATCGATAGGCAATTTTTCACGAGATCCACCAACATCCATTGGAAAATAATTCGTATGAAAAATAAAAATTTGACGAATATTATACAAATGCGACTTACATCCGATGTAATGTGCCGTCTCAAGAGTTTCTTCAGCTTCGATTGTTCTTCCACCAAAAGTGTCAGAAAGCTTAGCTTCTGCGTGTGTTCTCGGACCATGTGGTTAAAAGTAATTAATTCCTCAGCGTAGCATTCCTTGACCTCTGTAATAAGATAGTAAAATACGAGGGCTGTTCGATAAGTCCGTGTAAAGTCAAGAGACGATGTCTATAGTATAATGTCTTTCCGCTCGTAGGAACATACACCAGGTTTCACTCAAATATTCATTCATTATTCTGTTGTTGGCAGTCGTTTGAGTCGATCGAGTTTTGTGGATTTGTGAAACATGGATGAAAGAGAGTGTAGTGATTATCAAACATTACTTTTTGAAAGGCAAAACGGAAACTATAGCCAAGCTGGATAAACATTATGGTGAGTCTGCTCCATCGATTAGAACGGTTTACAGACCGGTGGTTTGGTAATCTTTGGAGTGATCATATGAGCACAAATGACGCAGAATGTTCGGGACGGCTTGTTAAAGTTACAACTGCAGAAACTATTTAAAAAATCTATAATATGGTGATGGAGGACAGAAGATTGAAAGTGCGTGAGATTGCTAAAACACTTTAAATGCACTATATTTTAAACATTTACATATGAGAAAACTGTTCACAAGATGGGTGCCGTTCACAATCCAGACAGCACAGATCTCCTTGGGACGTCCTGAGGACGTCTACAGGATGTTCATATAGAATGTCCATGAGACATGCTATTTGGGAATTGATCACAAGCGTGAACGAGAAAACCTCTTTGTAAGCACGGTTTGTTTCAACGTAATCTAAAGGAGTTTTTGTACCGTTTCATAACAATCGATGAAACTTGGATACATCATCTGCCTAAAACCAAGGAACAGTCAAAACAATGGGTCGCATTCAGAGCATCTGTTCCAAAGAAGGCGAAAATCGTCCCATCGGCGGAAAAGGTGATGTCTTCTGGAATATTCGTGGAATAATCTTTATTGGCTTTTTGGAGAGGGGTAAAACGATAACCGGACAATATTATGCATCTTTGCTGGATCATTTAAATGAGAAAGTAAAGAAAAAACGACCACATTTGGCAAAAAAGCTTTTTTTTTACCAAGACAACGCACTAATTCACTCTATTTAGCCAAATTTAGCGCCCTCGCACTATTGTCTGTTTCCTAATATGAAGAAATAATGGCGGGAAAGAGATTTACATCAAATGACGAAGTCATAGCCGAAACAACTGCCTATTTTAAAGACTTGAATATTATACGGATCATATTATATGGATGGATCAAAAATCTTGAGCATCGTTGGACTAATAGACTTGAAAGGAGATTATGAGAGAAATCAAAAAGATTTTTCCCAAAAAATTGAGACTCCTTTATTTTTGCACGGAATTATCGAACAGTCCTCGTATATATAATACAAGGGATATGAAGCAAAGAATTAATAAAACGATGCGATTAACTCACCCCTGATCCGTTTGTTAAACTGCATCGTTGTCTCGTTTAAGTTGGCTTTGATATCGTACATCATTCGACGCAGTATTGTTTCGTACAATTCAGTCAGAGACACATTCCGGCCGAATTTGTCTATTATCTTTTGCTTTATCTCACTCTTCAAGCTTTTGTTATTCATACTCATATGATTACAGTCGATTTTTATTCTGTGAAGGTGTGCCCGAGAGCGCCTATAACACGTTGTGTGTCTTTCATTATTAAGAAACCTCGATGTTTGTTATTTATAGATTCTTCGTGCACAAATATATACAGGGTGTCCCATATCAATATGGACAAACTTCGTGAGAGAATAGAACGGATTGAGGTGGACAAAAAAGTATTCTAATTAATAACTCAAAAATTTGCGAAATGGTAAAAGACTTTTTTGTTCAAAGTGATCTAATCTAGGAATATACGGCAGCTGTGATGGTGACAGGCATCAGTATATTAAACCTTGAACTTGTGGGTGCAACAATTGTCATATACGTGTAAATTAGGCCACTCTGAATAAAAAAATTCTGTATCATTTCGCAAATAACATGCAAATATTTGAGTTATAATTAGAGAAGCCTCTATATATGGCCATTTTCAATAATTAGTAACTCGAAATTTCTTGCGTGCTATTTGCAAAATGGTAAATGCCTTTTTCATTCATCTCAATCCGTTCTATGCCCTCATGAAGTTTGTCCATATTGATCTGGGAATGACCCAGTATACTTTAGTAACTTCAATTAACATGACAGTAATATTATAAATTCTCACTCAACAGTGTAACTGTTATATACGTATGTTGTATTGCACTTACATCGTCAAGTGAGAAATTATAACATTGATGTAATGTTACTGTTGGTTGGTGTTTACCGGGACGTACTTGTATTTGGCGTGTAATTCGAGCGTTTCTTCATGTAATTCCTGTATTCTAGCGTATAGTTTGGACAGTTTTTTCTTGTCGAATACAACGCAATCATCCATCTTGGTCACTGACATGTCGGACTCTTGGAGATACTGCAACTGGTGCAACTTCATTGTCACCGTGACGTCTACGTCGTTCAATTTCCCTTGTTTCTCGAGCTGTCGAGAAAAATGCGATTAGACAAGTGACTCTCCTGATTGTTACAAATAGCATTCGCAATACCATAAACATTTTTAAATCGTCCTCGTGCGCCTTCAGGTTGTTCTCTATAATTCTTAACTTTTTTGCCTCAATTTCAGCTTCTTTCTGAAGGCTTTCCATCGTGTGTTGCACATCCTTGATTTCGCGTTCGTACATGTACCGTCTCTCTCTCATCGAAAACGCCATGTTGTACAATTCATCGTTACATCCCGGAGGGCATATGTTTTCGTCGAAATAAATCAACTCTAGTTCTTTGCTATCGACACTGTTCGTTTCATCCGAAGTTGTTTCAGTCGTTGTCGTGGTAGTTTCTGAAACAATGACATCATGTAATCATTATTAGCCGTTTCTCGGCTGTGCATGAATATACAAACTGGAAGCTACTACAGTTTTATGTTTCAAAATGTTACAACGGCTTGGTTATACGATTCTCTCCAACTTTTTTGTCCGAAACCCCCCTATCCCGAAGTGCTCTTTAAAATAGTCTTACCGTCTTCTTCCTTCAACGCTTTGTACTTTTTCTTAAATATCCTGCATAGGAAATTACGAAACTTATCTTCGCTTATGCTTCTCATATATTCCGAGGTAATATCTTTGATCTGGTTACGTAGTTTTACTATTTCCTTCATTTTACCGTCAGCTTTGTCGGTAGCCTCATGTATCTGAAAATATCGATCGTCGTGCGTGACGTATTTTTCCAATGTTTATTTATGCTTGTCGGCTATATGGAACTGCCCGGCAACAAATTTTTCACGTATAATCACACATAAATAACTAGATAAAATTCGATGTGGCTTCCGAGTTGGCGCCGCGTCTTTCGACGTTTCGTGAACTGGCTTCATCACAAGCAGCATCATACATAATTATATAAAGAGTCATGTAAAATTATATACAGGGTATCCCAAACCGTTCCCATGATGTGCAGGTAGAACGGATGAAACCGAGCAGAAAAGTCATCTTGCAAAATTCGCAATAGTTCGTGAGGAATTATTTATTTTGTCTGAGCTAATAAACGTACGGGGGAAAGGATAGATTGGACACTGTATAATATCAAGAAAACTATATATAATATAAAGAAAACATATATAAAGAAAATGACTTACTTCTGAAGATCTCCTAGAAACGACGAATCAATTGATAGTGAGAGACGTGTTTCTTTTTAGTCCTGCGTCATATGTCGCTTGCTGCGTTACTCCGCCTTTAGAAATCAATTGATATTCATTGTTACTAGGAAATCTTTAGAAGTATTTTTCTTTATACAGTGTCCGGTGTCTACCCTTTTCCGTATGTTCATTAGCTCAGAAAAAATAATTAATTCCTTATTAAATATTGCAAATTTTTCAAAATAGTACGTGACTTTTTTGCTCATCCGCACACCACGGAAACAGAGAACGCTCTGTAACAATCATGTAACTGTATAATCATATTCATACATAATTTTATATATTTCTGTGATTTTTTTTATAAGTATGATTATATTATGAAAAACTTTTTATCAAGTAATAACGTTTTTGTCAACTAACTTTTTGCTTTACCGCAGCGACATTTTCTAATTTACGATTAATTTGGTCGTGCAACGCATTCTCCATTGTTTCATATTCTCTCAGTATAATATATTCCTGACGAAGTGTCAATAAGAATAAATTGATATTGACACTCTCAGCGACAATGTCCAATCGATCGTGCTCCAATTCGTCTAACTTCTTATCCAAATTTTCATAGCTGGTCCGCACGTATCGCAATATGCAGTCTTGTTCGTATGTCCTGCGTAATACACGAGCAGCTATCATTTCTTTTTCCCACTCCGTCAGGCTGTCGGATTCGTCGCTCAAATAAAGCAATGACATGTCATCCTGCACGTTGGAGTCAACTTTGATTTTTTTTTGCACGACGAAGAATGGCGCTAACGTTTCGCCAGAGATATGTGCAGCTTTTGGAAATTCTTGATCAAGCAGTAACACTTCGTATTCTTCGTCCGGACAAATAAATATCGGCTCCGGAATAAGTGAGAGCCTCGGTCGTTGCATTCTTTCTGTTTTTATCGTATATTTTTCGAGCTGCATAAAAGTAAACGCGCGTCTTTATACGTTATGGCTTGAATTGTATATATATATATATATACAGGGTGTCCTGTTTTAAAAGACCCATTGAAATATCTTTTTAGAAAAACGTTTTAGAGAAAAATGTTTTTCTAAAAAGATATTTCAATAGGTTTATATATTTCTGTGATTGTGACAACTTGATCTCAAGACATGAAACATAACTAAACGTCAGACTGCTCTGAAAATGCTTTATTTATTTCTAGAGTGAACATTTTTTGACCTTGAAGTGATTCTTTGGAATAAATTTGACCCCACATATTATTACATGTTTTTAACGTAAAATTTCCTCCTCTATCGATTTCCGGTATCAAAAATAGGCCATTCTATTTAAAAAACAAAAGTTGACCTTCAAATGAAAAAAGACATCCGTGACAAAGACAAGGTTATCATCGGATGCCCCCTTATGCACTTTATAACTTTTGCTTAAAATGTTTTTCTCTAAAATGCTTTTCTACAAAGATATTTCAATAGGTCTTATAAAATGGGACACACACACACACACACAATTATGTACATATAACATATAATTACGCTATTTACATACATGATGCACATTAATGCCTACCGTCACTTTTTTTTCAGGAAATTCTATGTCAGTATTTAACATAGGGACAAACGGCAAGGGCTCTATGTTCTTCCGTGGTATCTCATCGTGAATTTCTCGGAGAGTTTTTATCAAGGATATAATTTGCGCATGTAAATGTTCTTTCTCCGTTCTCGCAGCCTTTAATCTCCCGTTAAAAGATTCTTGCAAATAATAAAGCTAATATAATAAAAATCGAAATTAATAAAATATAATAACAGTAATAAAGAAATAAGGCATTAACACGTTGACCGCCACGCCGAGTTCATATCTTTTGCTCAGGGCGCCACGAAAGTATTTTCATTATTCTAAGCATATAATGATAAAATAATAATAATTATGGTTATATAAGATCACATCTTTATTTATCATTATTCCTCATTTATCCATAGAGCGTTTATCTTGGTGGTCATGGGTGACCACCGTGGCGCCTTGGTGCACCCGATTACACTTGATAACTTTTGGAATATTTACTTACATTATGACTATTTACGACGCTTGCGCGATATGGCCAGCCTTATTTATGCTTGAAATGTTTTAATACAATATACCGTTAGATAGAAAATTTGATAAAAATTAATCTTTTTATTCCTCCAAACAAATGCACTCATGAAATAAAGTTAAACATAGTGGTTAAACATAGCAAATTAAATGCAATATATGATAGATTAAATGTGCTAAAAAATGTTTGTTCCGTTTCACAAACGGAATAGGGCAGCTATTTTCTGTAATAAAATATATAATATTTTAATTAAAATTTTTAATTGTTGAATAGTGCACTTTTTATCGCGAAGTATTTTTTAATTAACTATGATGTTCAAAATTAGTTAGTTGACGATGTTCATTCAATTTTTACAATTATTAACATTTGAGGCACTCTGGTCACTGATGACCACCGTGGCGCCACAGACAAAACAATCTGCGGTCACCAACGTGGCGGTCAACGTGTTAATGAGGAAAAACCGTTGATCTTTCCTTTTTTTAAGATTTGACAAAATCATATGAACCTTTTTCCAACAGTTGAACAGTTCTTTGTGTTTTGAAAAGAGAGCATCCCGTTCTTCCGATAGCAAATCAAAGGTCAGCGATGTCTTTAATTTATAATCGCCGATAGTTCCCTTCGCTTCCTCTATGGCAACTATATCGTGTAGGTGATTAATGGACGCATCCGGTTTCTCTTTGTGTATAACTCTCCACTAAATCGAACAATGTCTTATCAAATTGCTTTAAATTAAATTAAATATCAAATTAAATTTCTCATTAAATGTTCTATTAAATTTCATCAAATTGAAAACGCATCACTTATTCGTCTATCTAATTGTAGGGTGTATTAATAAAGAGTTTCTTCCGTTCAAACATATAAATCGTAAAACGTTCTACGAAAAGCTTCGAAAATGCAGTTTTTGGGAACTTGGAGATTGTATTATGAGCAAATAAAAATTGGAACATTAGCAACGTGTATCTTTTAAACGAACATGCCGAAAGAATAGACAGTACGTAATATTTCACTTATATATTTCACTATGCAACACACTTGCTTCTCACGTTCCTCCAGTCTTGCCTTCCTCAATGTATATTTACGTAAGATTTGAATCAATCGAATTCCTTGGCTGTTATCCATATCTTCATGATCAACGTCTTTCAGGATATCCGCGATTGCTTGCTCCTGCATTCTTTCCGCCTCGGCTTCTTCCTCAGTTTCTTTTTCTTCCTTTCGTTCTTCTTCATAACGCTGCATCGGACCGTTCGCTATGCTACAAGAGAATTAAGAACGTGTGCTCGATTGTTTTGCGTTAATACTTATTTAAGCATGTAATATAAATTACCTGACTCCATTTGCTTGTTTATCAGGCGTATGTACATGTTTTATGGTGTCCAAATGCGGCAAGATACCGTCAGTATTCAAGACGTGTTGACGCAGGGAATGGACCGCGTGATCTGGTTGTCTACAACGATACGAATTAGAGTTTGGACAAGAGAGTCGAACGAATTGCGTGATCGAACCATACAAATATTTACATATCAATATAGGGGAGCATGTAATGGGTAAAAAAATCGAATTTTTTTGTATAATTTAACATCTTAACGCATCAAGAATATATTTCTTGAGTCTTAGAACGAAATTCGAAGCATTAATGTAGCTACAGATGTATTATTATATTTAGGTAATATTTAGATACGTTAAGTCAGTTATATTTTTCTTTTACTTTTTTCAATTATATTATTCTTTTTTTTATTTTCTAACGTTGAAAGGCAATTTTTACTCACAAAACTTTGCAGACTACAAACGGCAAGCCTGTGATAGGATGAATAAAATGTTCCATAAGCTTCCGCAGTCCGATTTCGCTTTTCTCCACCTTGAATGCGAACTTTTCTCGCACCGCGTTCATTTCCGCCTCCAGCTCCTGATTCAAGTTAGCCGTGATTCTCGGATCCAATTCCAATTCATCGCGAGTTATTTGATGAAGCTTTGGTAGTGCGTTATTCCTGATAATATAAAAATTAAAATGGATAAGTATGATCGTTATTTTCTCATTCAAACCGATCAATCTACTACATTTTTGGCACAATTCAAACCTTTCCACGATTTTGCTGTATTCCTCGCTCAACTTGAACAATATCTCCTGAATCTGTCGTTTACATCGCTCCGCTTCGTTCGTAACCCTGACTTGTTCGGCTTTTTGAATCGTCTCTTCCAGGCTCGCGTGCATATCGATTTCCTCGAGATCCTCGATACCAGATACGTATGACTGTATCACGCGGGAATAAATCTCATTGGGTCGTATGTTCATCAAGCATGTCCATTGTGCGTGTCGCAATAAATTTAAATTAATAATTTTTTAATTAACACATTAACGGCGGGCGATCTCGACGAAAGTATGCTAAGTAGCGCGGCGGCCGCCCGCCTCGTTTTTCGGCCTAGAGCGGGCGATATTTTGTGTGATCATAAAAAAAAAGACTTAAAAAAGTTTATTTAAACTCTTAAAACTACAAGAAATATTAAAAAAGAACTAAACACTAATTACAAAAAATGTTTTAAAGTACATATTTATGAGGAGAATCTAGTATTTTTTAAGAGTGTGGTAATGTTGATAACACTCGCCACGGTGAAGAGGTGCATTGCAAAACTCGCATTTGAAGCAAGTCAACTTTCTTTTTTTATGTGCCGCACAAACTACGCAGTTTCGTTGGACATATAGCTTTTTGCCTTTATTTTCTATCCGAATTAAGTTGTGCTTTTTGATGTCTAGCGAAAGACGTTCAGGCGGATCAATTTTATACCGTGGAATCCGTGGTGCCGAGTTCGATGTACCACGTTGTGGCTCTTCAATGTTCATCAATTCCAGATCTTCGGTTTGTTTGTCAGTTATAAGACAGCGTGATAATTCTAACAAAAAATTTTTATATGGCAAGCTACTATTATTATGCATATTATATACTAAATAGGAATTGAAAAATGCACAATTTAACAAATACATTACAGCCCGCTTGGACCACTTTTTTGTTTTTCGCAATATTGAGTAGTACGAAAGGTACTGGTCTGCCCTATCAACACCTTTCATATAGTTGTTGTATTCTATTACGCATTTTGGTTTTATTATTTTTGTCTTTGTGTGCCAATCTGTATTGGAGCTTTCTAATAGTTCACTCGAATGAATATTCGAAATCATCCTCACTTCTCTCTTTGACTGCCAAATTTGTACTAACACGTCTCCTTTTCTCCGGAAAATTGACTGTCCGCGTTGCAACTTATTATTTTTTAATTCATGTGGAAGTCCTCGGTTTACACGTATTGTTCCACAACTTCGTATTTTATGTTTTAAAAGAGTTTCGTTTATATCTACACTGTTATAATAATTATCCATAAACACATGATAATATTTGTCTTTATATGGAGTAAGAATATCTAATATTGTTTCCGCCAGTTTCCTTCCTTCTCCACAATACATTTTCATATTACTAATGTAGCCACTTTTC